ATTACTTTGGTTACCTATCAATAAGACAAATTTTTATTTTGTTTGGAGAATGAATTTGACTAAAATAGTAACAATACTAAAACTTCTCCAAACTGATGTTAGAAAGTCTAAATATAGAAACTTTTACGAGAGTGAACGAAAGTGTCCCAGACGCTTGGCTTTCTCCCGTCTTCATTAGCAGCTCCTTCCCACTTCCAGAAACCAACACAAATCATAATGGAAAAACAAATATTCAAAACAGAAAAATGGGATTTGGAAGAAGAAACCATAGAAGTTGAAAAAATGAATAGCTGGTCAAAACCTGATAAGCAGAAGCGCCGGCACCGAAAGCAAAGCCCTCGGGAAATCTTTCCTGCTGTAAACGCTGCTGCATCTCCCAGAAGAAGCTAGAGCCAGAAAAATGGTAATGATGAGAGACAAAATCTGATTGCTCTCTCTCTCTCTCTCTCTTTGTCTCTCTTTGGCTCCATTGTTCGTGGAAATAAATAGAGACTCTCACTAACTACCCACTGTGTGACGAAGAATCAAACAAGTGTGTATCAGTGTTTAGTTTTTTTTTTGTTTTGGGTATGACATTTATTATTCAGTTTGCACTCGTGTTTTTCATTTGATAAAAGATATGAAAATTGTCAAGAGTGATATTTAACCAAAAAATTAAAAGAAAATATGTCAAGAGTGTGATTAAAGATGGAAGATTTCAGTCTTTGTTTGCTCAAGGTAAATCCCTTTGATTAAAACGATCTGTGCGGTTTATTATATTAATATATAGGGTCAGCTATTAATATTCTCAGTATTTGCAGAAATGACGAAGTAATGTTTTCTTACATGTATTGTTTATTTATCGAACAGTACGTGTTTGCAAAATATCACAGATCTTGACAGATTGGCGATTGCTAAGCAAATGGGGTGTTATTATTTTTTATGGCATCGTGTAGAAAATGTCGCGTTTTGTGTACTATGCACGATATTTATGAGTAATAAAAGAGAGAACGATGACGGTCCCATAATACTCCCTGGACCGAGACTAGCTAGTAAATATGTCACTACAAAGATTTATATAATATCATTTCGATCGTTCCAACCAAAAATCAACCTTTGGTTGTGGCTGTGGCTTTAGATTTTTGGCTGTAGAATTTAGGCTGTAGGTTTTAGTATTGTGGCTTTAGTTTTTTAGTGCTGTAAGATTTTTTTTTTTGTAGATTGTGTATTAAGTGAAATATTAAAACAAAAAAAAGAAGATATAGAAATAAGAGATTAAAAAAAAAATAGACAAAATAATAAGGAAAGAGAAGAAAGAAAATTTAGAGAGCACTAAATTTAGTGCTCTAGAAAAATTGTTTTCCACAGTTACGGAACTTCCATAAATAAATAAAATTGTTTTATGTTTCAAAAATGGAAAGAGATAAAAGTAGAACATGATTGGTAATTTTAAAGTGTTGTAGAGAGATATAGAGCTGTAGAGAGCAACCACAGCTCTCATCAATCATCCCCTAAATAAATTTTTGTTCTTAAGTGTATTTTAAGATCTCTAAACAAAACAAAGTAACACCTGAGGTAACCAAATTTAGTCCACTTTAGGCATACCAACAAAATTTAGTTCACGTCGTCTTGCCTCCCATGCAGAATTTACGACGTCGTTTTACTAAAACGGGCTTTCGTGTACCATATTGCTGTGTAAAAAATCCCAATCAGTTTTACCTGGTGGGCCTGCGCAATCACAAGTGTTAGAAGCACAAAATAATGGTCAGAGAAACGTAGAGAATCTTAAGGTGAACTGTGAACATACCGGAGTTTGTAAGAGGCAAGAGACAAAGAAGAAATTCAATGAAAGTCCCAAAAGAGAATTCACAGTCTCTGAAGTCTGAACTAATAGCTCAAATGTTGATCAGAAGATATTTTATTCTGCTAAAGAAACCATTAAACATGCATAATCCAAGATATGGCTAACCAGTTTGTGCCTAAACTTTGTGTTGAAACTGGATTTGATTGGTAAATTTTACCGCTGTGGTACACAATATACCGTTTTAATGAGTTACCAATCACAGAAAATATACCAAAAGAACATTTGTAGAGTGTTTTTAGCTCAACTTCTTGCAGTTTTAAGATTTCGTATAACTGTTTCTCTCTTTTTCTAACTCCTAAAAACGGATACCAATTTAGGTTACTAACTGAGTTCATTGTTTGAATGACAAGATAAACAGCATTTCTCCCGATCAAATCATCATCTTAACATCTATAGAATGCCGTAGCATATAATTATATAAACACAAGACTCAAATGATCAAATCTCAAGATATTAATTTATGGTTGTGGCTGGAATATTTATCACTTATCCCATCTGATTTTATTTTGTTTTTTGATGTTATTAAGACAAGTTTGATTACCGGTCTCAAAAGATTTGTGGTTGTGGTTGAAAGATTTATCACTTGTCCCGTCTGATTTTTTTTTTTTTAATGTAATTAGGACAAGTTTAGTTACCAGTCTCAAGAGATAAATAGTTGTGGTTGGAAGATATATCACTACTTGTCCCGTCTGATTTAATTATTTTGTTTTTTTATGTAAGACAAGTTTAGTTAGATGTCTATATTCCAAATCTTCTGTGGAACTAAAATATAATTGATAAGATTAATTGGCATTCTCAATGAAATTTGTCACTCACATTAAGTTGTAGGTTGATTTTTTTTCTTTGAGATTTACATTTATCCAGTAAATTTAAATATAGATATACCCCATATAATATAGATTTACATTTACATTTCTGGATCCGCCCATGTCACACACCCCTATTATTGAATACCATATCCATATGGTAGACGGGAAGACGTGTTGAGGATATGCTCTGTTTTAGGCTTAGCATAGGCAAAGTGAAGCCTTTTATTTAGTTGATGAACACGTGGAAGAGCTACAGCTTATCCATAAAGTAGTAACTAAGGTGTTGATTGGTTTATCAACTGTCACCCATAAATGCTGCATTTATGGATAGTAATGGTTATTAGCGTTTAATAACAATCATCACAAACGCTTTATACCGTTTCAAACCACTCAAAATCCTTTAATATCCCTCAAAATCAAAAGCTCATTCCCAATAGGTTTGCGGTTGTGGGCAGTTGCGGGTAGATAATTAAACAATATATATATTAAAAAACACAAACTTATTTAAAACCCGAAAATAAATCATAATATTTATTAACAAATAAGATTTGAATAATAAAATCATAATATAAATAAATAAAATTAGTACTGTTAGTCAATATTTATTAAATTATATAATACTATCTTATATATTTATAAGTTCTATAAATCAAAATTCTCTTGATAAATATTCTTTTCATACTAATACATATATATTTAATAAATAAAATTATATTGTAAATTTAATTTTTGCATTAAAAATATATTTTGAAAATAAAATCACATTTTTTATTTAAATTATAGAAATTAAAAGATAGACATAAGTATTATATACATACTATTCTTTATTAAAAAAAATATTTTTAATTATGTTAAACCATAAATTTAAAATTTCTTTGATATTTTTATAATTATATAATGTGTTTATATTATTATTTTATTGTTTAATCGTTATTACATTTGCAAGTGAACCAGTCATAAGTAATCTGCAAACGCATTCATTTTTAATTATTATGTCAATCGTACAAATTATTTATATTTAATAACACTACTAATTATAATTATTCGTTTCCGCAAATTTCTATATCTATAATGATTAAACCAGTCAAGCTCTAAATGCATGATTGTATGGGAAGCTTTTCAGGTGTCGGCAATGATTGATAGATTGTATTCATCTTTAGCCGACGATCATAAATCATCCATGCATAAAGAAAACGACATTATTATATTGCGTACGTCACTTGAGGGTTGTTCAAACTAATTCGTCCGATACGAAAACCGGAAGAGCCACTTGAGGGAAATATCAATGTCTTCCATGCAGCGAGGACAAGTGTCAACAGTAGATCAAAAGTGGTTCACTATTATGAGAGTGTAGTGTAGGAATAAAATTCATGTTTTTTTTCTTTCTTGACCGAGTCAAGATTATGGCATAATTTGACAAATTACAACATTATGTGAACTTTAAATCTATTACAAACAAAAGAAACTTAAAGCCACTCAACATTTTTGTCGAAGCTTGTGATAAAATCTCAAAATGGAATATTTATCACAATCAACAATAAGCTTTGGATTGTTTCCATTAACTATGAATTGCAGAATATATTTTTTTTATCCAAGGAGCTATTTGAAATAAACTATAAGTCAAGATTAATTTTTTCGAAATAAAGAAAAAAAAAACAAAATATAATACTTCTTTTACTTCTCCAATCTATGATAGTAATGATCACATGCTTTGTCCATATGCCACTGACTCTCTACCTAAATGGGCCATATTGTATCCCCTAAACTGACCCAATCCTAACACGAAATCAACAACACGAGGATCACGAGGTACACGGTACACCGTACACATAACATTTAGGTTATGGAGAGAAATATATTTCATTAGATTTCACTTCTTTTCATACAACTAATTGGTACCTAAAGGATTAAATGGGCCATTGTTTTGTTTGCCACCATTACCCAAGATGATACGAAATCAGATGTGTGTGAAATTAGATTTAGTTAGATTCGCTTTTTTATAAGCTAAAGATAATTAAATTGTATTCATTTTAGTACATGAATCGTTCACTTATAGGATCATTTTACATATTTTACAACATTTTTACCATTATCTTTTTTTTCCAGTCAGTCATTAAGTGTACTAATTTATTTTAGAAAAATAAAGATTGCTTTATCCTAATTTATTTTTACTCTTGTCTATATAAACGTATGTGTGTCGTCGTCTCTTGACTCTCGAGTGTATTCTCAGCCAATTCAGAGAAACAGAAACTTCTATTTCAATGGCTACTTTACGTATGGGTTCAGCTCTTATTTACCAAAAAACTTTTACCCACAATCGACGTCCTCTGCGTTTCATATGCACATCGATGACCAAAACGACACCGGCTAATGGTTCTGTAGACGTCGTCCTACGTCGACGCTCCGGCAACTATCAGCCTTCTCCTTGGGACCATCATTATCTCCTCTCCGTCGAGAATAAATATGCGGTAAAAAATATTTACGTCCAAGTCGATCGGTGTCGTATTAATCACTTTTGTGTATTAGTACTACTATGTTCATCAATACTTCAAATATATATTAGCAGTATTAGATATTCTTGATATAGCTATTACATCATAAATCTTTTTTTTTTCTTCCTAAAGTTTTATAGTATGACTTACTTAATTACAATACGATGCATCATGCAGACGGAAGAAATATTTATCACTAGAGATTTGTTGAAGAATAAGGTGAGGAAGATGCTTGATGTTGAGAAGACGAGTTGTCTCGAACAATTAGAGCTCATCGACGATCTCCAAAAACTTGGGGTTTCGTATCATTTTAAACCAGAAATAAATAAAATCTTAACGGATTTTCATCATAAGAATGGAAGAAATGAATGTAACAAGGAAGAAGATTTACATGCCACCGCACTCGAATTCCGACTTCTTAGACAACATGGTTTTGATGTCTCAGAAGGTTAGTATTTTAACTTTTATCACAACCAGTAAAATTACCTCGTTATGTAAAATTTCGTTATACATATATGGTAAATGTAACGTTTTCTACAGATATATTTGATGTGATCATCGAAAAAATAGAAAGTGATACGTTCGAGAGTGACGACATAAAAAGTATCATCTCTTTGTATGAAGCGTCGTATCTCTCTACTACATTAGATACTAAATTGCATAAAGTCATCAGACCTTTTGCAACAGAACAAGTTGAGAAATTTGTTGATAGTTTTGATGATGATGATACATACAATATTGAGGAGCGTGAGAGGGCGATCCATGCGTTAGAAATGCCATACCATTGGAGAATGAGAAGGTTAGAGACGAGATGGTACATAGACGCATACGAAAAGAAACATGACATGAATCTTGTCTTGCTCGAATTCTCCAAGATCGATTTCAACATCGTACAAATTTCTCATCAAGAAGATCTCAAATACGTTTCAAGGTAAGTTTTTCATATATTGCATGGTACTTATCGTAAATATCATTTTTAATTCTCTTTCTTTCAATGATTTGAAGCTGGTGGAAAGAAACATGTTTGGGTATTCAACTTCCATTTGTAAGAGACAGAATAGTGGAGAATTATTTTTGGACGGTTGGATTATTATACGAACCTGAATTTGGATATATCCGAAGGATCATGACAATAGTGAATGCACTTGTTACAACCATAGACGACATCTACGATATCTATGGCACTCTTGAAGAACTTGAACGCTTCACTGGCATGGTCGATAAGTAAGGACTCTCCTACTTCTTCTTATTTTCTAATTTCTTTGCATATTGATACAAATACTGAGAGCATTAATGATGATATTTATAAAGTGTTATATGTACTCTATTATTTTAACTTTATCGTATGTGTACATGTTGCAGTTGGGATATAAATCGACTTGATGAGCTACCCGAGTACATGAGGTTGTGTTTTCTTATTTTGTACAATGAAATCAACAGCATTGGATGTGATATTCTCAAGTACAAAAATATTAATGTCATCCCTTTTCTCCAAAAATCGGTAAGTATAATTATTGTTTTATTGCTGAGAAAATTACGAGTACGAAGCTTTTTTAATGTTTTTTTTTTGGGTGAAAATTAGTGGGCAGATTTATGTAAAGCATATCTAGTTGAAGCAAAGTGGTACAAAAGAGGATACAAACCAAGCGTGGAGGAGTACATGCAAAATGCTTGGATTTCAATTTCGGCCCCAACAATATTAATCCACTTTTACTGCGTTTTCTCTAACCAAATATCAGTTCAAATCTTGGAGACACTGTCTCAACATCAACAAGACGTCGTCCGATGCTCTGCCACCGTTCTCCGTCTAGCTAATGACCTTGGAACTTCGCCGGTAAATAATCCATCTTTTAACTTGTAGTTATGTGGACAAAAGTCTTCGGTTTGGCAGAACATGAACAAAACTTGTATTAATCAATTTAGACGTGAGACGTCTGCCTAATTTCATTTCTTTCTTTTTTCAACATTTTTAATTGAAATACTAATACTAGAATCTTTGCATTCCGAAGAAAAAGAATGTTGAAGCTATTCAAAAATGGGTATGATTAATTGATTATGATGTAGTGCTGTCTTGTTTTGGTTTTATATGTAGGATGAATTGGCTAGAGGTGACGTTCTCAAATCGGTCCAATGTTACATGCATGAGACAGCTGCTTCGGAGGAGAAAGCACGTGCGCACGTGCATCGGATGATCAGTGACACGTGGTCAGAAATGAACTACGAAACAAAAACGGCACGCAGTTCTGTATTGGGACTTCATCGAGGTTTTGTGGAAGCTGCGATGAACCTGGCACGCATGTCGCAATGCATGTATCAATACGGTGACGGTCATGGATGTCCGGACAAAGCTAAAACCGTTGATCGTGTCCTATCTTTGCTTGTTAATCCAATCCCATTTGAGTAGTTTTGTTTGTACCAAAGTTGTTTTATAATAGTACATATATATTATACCTTTTTTTTTGGGAGAACTTTTGATTTTACAAAACTGATTGGAACCAAAAAGAAACTATCAAAATACAAAAACATTCCAAACATGAGACTTTTACAAAGTTATCACTGAATTTTACAAAGTTAATTTCTGAACACTTTTCGGAGTAAGTCTTATCATCATATAATTAATTTGACAGAACATAAAATTTATATATATATATTGGTACAAACGAAAGACCCTTCAACGAGTCATCAACAGCAGCAGCAGTAAAATCCACTGAGAAGAACCAAAACTATCAACTATTAAGAGACAAACATAACATGTGAAAATAATGCTTTCTTCCTATAATTTATCCAGTATCACAAGTTTTATATAAATCAATAATCCTACAACTTTTTCCTCTCAAAATTAACCAGTAAATTTTTTTTTTCTGAATTGAATGTTAAATTAATTTTAAAAAAAAAACGTTTTTACAACTGGTGTTACTTGTATCTGAGTTTTGAAAGTGAAAAGGAGAGAAAAACTAAATGTTACAGAAAAGGTAAAGAGTTTGTGCTCAAGAGTTAGCAAACCAGGTTTGCAATCCAGCCTTGTATCTTCCGTCACCCATTTTCCGAATAGAAGTCAATCTATTAGGGATCTGCTTGTCAATAAACTGCTGCATACGAGTTGGGAGGGCGGGTTTGTCTCCATGTCGTCGCCCATTCCTCTCTCTCCAGATCCAATAGACTGTTGTTTGAAATGCATATTTCAGAATGAACAGAGGTATCATGTCTTGTTCCTCATCAAGAAGAAGATCAGTCATATCCTCCCACTTTCCCAGCAAGACCTCTCCATACCATACCTCCTCCGAGTACTCGCAGTCCAAGAACAAATGGTTTCTACTCTCCATCTCCCCACAGAAAATACAAGAACCTGTGGCTCCAATATTCCAGCTTAGCATTCTATCTCCTGCGGATAGGCGATTATGAATGAGGATTTCGGTGTTGACTACTGAAACCATACACCTTTATACCATTCACAGACTGGATGTGCGTCACGGAGCAGAGACGTCTTCAATAACCAGTAAAGTTTCAATAAGCAGAATTCAAATAGTCAAAACAACAACATACAATTAACTTTTGTATTGAGATGTGTAAACACCACTTATTTGTAAACCAAACAAAAAAAGTCTCTTCAAACACCACTTATTAAAAAGAACGTAGGAAAACCTTATTACCAACAAACCAAAAAGGAATCATCACAATATATCAAATGCAACATTATTAGGAGGAAGAAGAGAAGTTCTGTGCAATTGGGCGATGTCTTGGGAACCAAGAAAGTGTGTTGCCCTTGAGAAAAGCAGAGTACCAATGAGCAGAGAGTTTTGGAGACCTCTTGCGATGAGGATCGCTGAAATTCACATAGTACAATCCAAAACTATAGTCGTATCCGTCAGTAGTTCGAATACATCCATAAAAGACCATACGAAGTAGCCTCTCGTGTTTGATCCATTCCTACAGTAGTAAGTAATTAATGTGTTGTCTTCTTTATTACATTGACAAGAGAAGAGGATATGCAATAAGACTTCACTCACCTAATGGATTTGAGCACAGCACCAATGTAAGCTTGTAAGTACTCAATCCTTGGTGTGTCCTGCAAATCTTGCTTCATCGGTGTACCTATACGTTTCAATTGGCAATATAATTGAGCAGACTAAGACAAAACAAGAGAGAGAGAGAGAGAGAGAGAGAAACCATTCTCAAGAATGTAGAGAGGAGGGTTGCCATAACTCTGCTTTATATGATCCAGGACAGCTTCCATAGCCCATGGATTAACATCATACTTTTCCTAACAAATACAAAAAAAATCCAAAAAAAAAAACTAAGAAAGATGGATTGGGAACACTTGGAGTGTTGGAAAAAGACCTAATAAGCCTCTGAAACTCTTACATTGAAAGCTGAATAATTCCCAAGACTGTCCTCCGAAGCAGTAAAACGAAGAAGATGATTAGCCAAAAACAAATATTGAAGTAAAAGATCAAAGATCTTGTTGTGTGTTATTTAAAGATCGAGTCTGATTCCTACAAGTTATAGAAGCGCCCATGTCTGAGTAAAATCAGGATGAGAAGGTTTGGATTTGATGTTTGTGACAGAAGCCGCAAGATAGTGAATGATTCCTATGAAGTCAGACGAGCCTTTAACTTGCTCTGACTCTTCCTCTGAGAAAACTGGCAGTCTTGATCCAACGGCTATTTTCATTTCATCGGGATAGTCTCCGAATGTAAGAGGCCCAAGCATCCTGTATTTTTTATCTTTCAGCTTAAGTAACACGTTTGCTTCATTCGAAAAAGACTTGTGTGGAACCGTTTGTAGCTGACTCACCAGCCAACGAAGAAAGCTTTGGCTCTTTGTAGAGCGAGTTCATCATCCTTGGAGCTTGTAGAAGGAGTAAACCCAAACGTATGTACGCTAAATCCTACGGAACCTCCACTACAAAAATATTGGTTTTTTATAGCATAAATTTATAGCGTTTTTGATAAAACAGTTAATCTACCGTATTATATAGATAGCGTTTGTTTTTTTGTAAACGCTATAAATACTAGTGAGATTAATTAAAAAACAAATCCATGACATTTTTAAAGGGGAAGGTTATTTTTAATAGCAGTACTAGTTTACAAACGCCGTAATAGGGTTAGGCGGAAAAAGGGAAAAAAATTCCCGCCACACTTAGTAAAAATTAGATGCGAAATCGATTTGGATTTAGAAATCCCCAATTACCCTAACCTAAAATCGTGTTCTTCCTCTTTCACTCACCTCTGCTCGATTATCCAATTCCCCGACTAATCCTACTCTCTTTCTTCTCCATTGTTCAATTGTGATTCCTTCTTGCTCGATTCGAATCTGTGGAACCCTCTCCTATCTCGGTTGAGGTCGACGAACGCAGGACTCGAGATTGAGGTCCAACCATTCTTCGCCTTTGCTCTTTCTTCTCGATATACCATTTCCGAAAAACTCAGTCGGCAGACAAAGATACTTTCACTCCGACACAAACCATTACCGTACACTTTGGGGTTGAAGCTTTTCGATTTTAAGGTGAAATGAAATTTTCTCTTCCTCAATGTTTAAATACTTTAACTACGAAATCATGTTTAGTTATCAATTAGTAATGATTCAGGCAGCTTGCATGTTCAATTGATTCATTCCGATTTGTCTTATCTCTTTTCCACTCAGATTTCTTTACTATTCTTGTGGCTTAACGTGATTGTGTAATTGGTTTTACAAAAACACTTGGTCGGAGCTCTTGTATCATGGACAAAACTTGGGTCTGGCTACCAAGATACGTTTTCACTAGACCTACACTTTTCTGATGTCTTCTCTACTTTAGTTATAGATATCGTCATTTATTTTTTCAGTTTTGGTTAAATTTTAGGAATAGTCTTGAGTATGAGGAAGGAGCTACTAAGTTCGTCTGTGATTCAGTTAGGAGTTTGGGTAATCCGTCAGCTATGTTCTGTCCTTGCATTGATTGCCGCAACGTCTGCCACCAATGTAGTGAAACAGTTTTGGAACATCTAGTCATTAGAGGGATGGATCATAAGTACAAGAGAAGTAGATGTTGGAGTAAGCACGGCGAAATAAGGGATGGTAAGACGAACGATGTTCAGACGTCAGAGCATGAGGCTTATGATCTGATTAGGACAGCGTTTACGGCGAATGAATTCAAGCACACTACTCAGAAGCAAAATGTGGATCAATTGGATGATCCACAATACGATGAAGAAATTGAGTTTAGGAAGAAGTTAGAGAATGCAGAAACTCCATTGTACTCGACCTGCGAGAACTACACCAAAGTTTCTGCAATCATGGGTCTCTATAGAATAAAGGTGAAGAGCGGTATGTCTGAGAATTATTTTGATCAGCTTCTAATGCTAGTTAGTGACATGCTACCTGGAGACAATGTCTTGCCTAAGTCCACAGATCAAATGAAGAAGTTTTTGAAGGTTTTTGGATTTGGCTACGACAATATTCACGCATGCAAGAATGATTGCATTCTATATAGGCATGAATATGAGGAATTAGTGAGCTGTCCAAGATGCAGTGAGTCAAGATGGGAAAGAGATAAACACTCTGGTGAGGAGAAGAAAGGTATTCCGGCTAAGGTGCTCCGTTATTTTCCGATAAAAGACAGACTACGAGGATGTTCAGATCAAAACGACTGGCAGAGGAGTTACAGTGGCATTTTACTAATGCTAGTACCGATGGTACTATGAGACATCCAGTGGACTCATTGACATGGATTCAGGCAGATGATAAATGGCCAGATTTTGCTGCTGAGTCGAGAAATCTTAGGCTTGGTCTTTCGACTGATGGAATGAATCCTTTTTCTATTCAGAACACCAAGTACAGCACATGGCCAGTGCTCTTAGTCAACTACTATCTCTAAATTATTTAGTATATTGCATCAGGTAATAATTTGGTCTATCGCAGGTTACATTTGGAAGAACTACAAATCAATAATACAAGATGCACTAAGAATGAAACTCTTCTATGGAAGTATCATAATGAAAGATTCTCGCAATGGGTTAAAGAAAAGGTTTGTACTCTTTTTGTTTCTTTCGTGATTTTCATTTAAACAGTTTTCAATGTTAATCTGTATTCAGAATTAATTTCTGGTTTATTACAGATACCTACAAACTCAAAAGAACATTCAACTAGGCTTCGATGGCTTGCGTTTGGACCAAGACGTATTGCTCAAAGCTACAAGGGATATGTCATAAATGGTCATCGTTTCCATACAGATGACGTGAAGAGGAAGACACAGAACAGTGGTATATCATATGAAGCTTTCTCGATGTGCAGAGCTAGTGCCAAGGACACGAGACATATGGCTGACATAGTAGCATTCTACGGAGTGATAAAGGAGATCATCTTGATAGACTACCACATGTTCCAGGTTCCGCTTTTTAAGTGTGTATGGGCAAATAAAGGAAATGGCTTGAAAGAGGAAGATGGGTTCACGCTTGTGAATCTCCATATGTCACAATCAACATTTATCAGTGACCCTTACATATTGGCGTCACAAGCTAAGCAAGTTTTTTATTCGAGAGAAGAAGGGTCCTCGCCTTGGTATGTTTTCATGAGAGCGCCACCTAGAGGATACCATGAGTTAGAGACAGAAGAAGAGTTTGTTTCAGCGACGTTAAGGATACCAACTGAAGAAGAAGGAGATAATTCGTCTGATGATGAAGCTTTCTGTGTTAGAGATGATTGTGAAGGTGTCTTGTTGGTGGATTAAAGATAATGCTAAAAAGAATTTGGTTCTGTTTCAGGTAAGCAGAGATGATGAAAAATGGAGGCTTGGTCCGTCGCAGTAAGCGTCAGCAAGGACTAGAAGTAAGTCCGTTGGATTCAGCAACTCTGAAGAAGAAAAAGGCTATTGATTCTATGGGGGTATAGATAAAGAGCTTGACATTGATGAAGATGATACTGAAATAGCCGAAGGGAATGAAGATCACATTGGCATATCCGAAGAGATTCAAGAGAGTGGAGACATTCAGCATTCAGAAGAAGAAAGAGTAGACACAGACGACGTAGAGCAAGAGGTTGTTCCGCCTGAAAACGTAGCAAGAGAACAAGAAGTCCAGACACAGCAGTCAGCGAACAATAAGAGAAAGACAAGAGGTCCAACTAAAATGAGGAAAGTTGCAAAAAATCACGATGACAGGGTAGAAGTGGAATTCACCTCTTTAGGTGACCATGTTGGTAGTGGGTCAGTAACACTCTCATCTTTCCTTGGTCCTCTGGTCAGAGAGCATGTCCCAGTTCTTCTTGATGACTGGAGACATCTGGACGAGCAGACAAGAGATACTATGTGGGAGGAAATTCAGGTTGTTTACTATCATTTACTCTTAATACATATATATATAAAGTACTTAGATAACTTTACTGGCAACTTAGCTTCATAATGTCAGGGGAGATTCAACTTGAAAGAAAGTTGGCAAAAAGAAACGGTATTCAGACATATGGGTTGTTTGTGGAGAACCTCCAAATCTAAGCTTGTGACACTTGATCGTGCCACAAAATGTAAGTCTCAGCTACAGAACTTGAAGCCAAGCAACATACAATCTACAGCTGCATGGAACGCTTGGGTGAAAAGAAAAACAAGTGAAGCTTTTACGGTTTAAGTCTTATGCAATTTGTCTTAGTTTTATCTCTATAATACCAAATGTACTGCATCCTAATTTCTTTCAATCTCCAAACCTTGTCAACAGGAACAAAGTGATCATTATAGGCAACTGAGGAAAGGTCAAATTCCTCACACAACAAGCCATAAAGGAATGACTCGCCTAGCTCACGAGATGGTACGTATTGTGTAGCCATGTATTTATATATTGGTCTGAGTAGCTCGTATTGTAAACTGGAATATTAATATGACTATAATTGTGATGAATTTATAGAAAAAAAAACTCAGCTGATCCTAAGAAAATTACCAGAAGCAAGGTTTGGGTGGCAGGTCACACACATTCAGATGGCAGACCTGTGAGGGAAGAATTTGCAGATACCATTGTAAGATTGATAAAAAAACTCTTACTTATTTTATTTTCTCAATATATTTATATCACTCCTACTCAATACTCACCCGCCATCTGAAACACAAGAACAAATCAAGTCAATTGACAGTGAAATGGACTCCACATCGACTGATAATATTAGAGAAGATGTTGTTAGTCAGGTATTAGGCATAGACAGACCAGGAAGGCTAAGGGGAATGGGACGAGGGGCAACGGTTACAAAGCTGGCTTTCTTACAGGCCAGGGACTCGCATGTGCAGAAGCTTGAAGCAACTCAAGCAGAGTTACTTACTCAACTTGAAGAACTACGAAATGTGGTTAGTGACTTAGCTGCTAAAAAGGTAATTTCCACATCTCTTATCCTCATCTCGTGTACTAGTAAGGTCAAATATGTTGAGATTATAATTAAATTGTGTGAGGGTAATAATTTTCTGACTTGACAGAGACAGAATGATGAAGATTCAACGTCTGAGTTTAGAGACATTAGCAAAGGTGGAATTAGGTGCCAGCTATTGGATTGGTATGCAACAGACGATGTTGTTATTGGGGAAGGTGAATTCTGCTCTAGTGAGCCAAGCTATAAAATTGGTCGAATTCCGTTAGGTCCTAACGCGACAGCGGTCACTGTGAAGTCTGCATCGGTTGTAGAAGTGTGTGTGTGGAGGCCTTCTCAAACCATTGTCGCACTAGGTCAAGCTGTCGGAATAAAAATCGCATGGCCATCTGATAAGATAATCTTGGACAATGACATGAACCCATCCAAACCTCCCAACACTGTAGGATCGGAGGTAAATTTCATTCCGAAATAGTATTATTATCATGCTTTAGTGGTGTGCATTCTTACATAGTATGTTGTATTTGATTTATATGGCTATTTAGGCAGCAGATCAATCAGTAGAAAGAGTTCAAATTTTTGATTGGAATGACGAGAATGACATGATTGTTGAGGGTGTATTGTTGTCAACTGATCCAAAAAAAATTGTGAACCATGTTCCTTTGGGGCCAAATGTTGCACTTGTGAAAGTCAATGTGGTGGTAAATCCTGTTGCTTATTTATGGAGGCTTACTGAAAAAATATCCTTGATGGGAGATGCTTTGAGTCAGAACATTGTATGGCCTATTAAGATGATACACTTGGCGAGTGTATCTACACCAGAGGAGTCAACCAAGAAGTCACCTCCGGTGAGTTTCTGATACTCATAGTTCAGTTACACTAATATTTGGTTATTTGAGATTGATGTTCTTCTGATGAATGCGTTTACAATTTGACTTGTAGAGTGGTAGCACTAGCACTGGTAATAGCAAAGGTGCAAAACAGAAGTGCATTCTACTAGATTGTAATGGCTCTGGTGAGCATGTTGCAGTAGGGCGTGTTTCTTCCACTGATCCAGCGGAGAAGGTACATTTCGTCCCTTTAGGTTTGAATGCAAGCAAGGTTTGGGTAGAAGTTTCAAAGGTTGATAACGCAAAAGTTTGGAAACCAAATTCAGAGGTTACATTTGTAAGTGATGCAGTAGGAACCACAGTGGCTTGGCCAAATGACAAACTTATCTTGTTGTAAGACATGTGTCTTTAGATTAAAGTGTGATGAGACTCTTTCGATGAACCTATGTATGTTTGTGACATTATCAATATAATTGAGTACTTTTAATATTGCTACTACATTTTCGAAGCAAATTATCAGGTGAACACGATACCAGTAATAGCAAATGAGGTGACAAAATCGGATGAAAAGTTCTTTGCATTTGCACTTTACTATTACGTTTTAACAATTGCTGTTGTAAAACTCGGAGAAATAATAACACATTTAAAAACGCTATAAAAAAGACAATAATAACAACTAATAAACGCTGTAAATAATATATTAATAACTCTTTTAAAACGCTGTCAAAACATATTTAATAGCAAACTAGACGCCGCTATTATAAACGAAAATACGATAGCAGTACGAAAAAACGCTATCTAAAGTCTCAGACCTACAATGACGGGCGATGATAAAGCGCTTGCGCTATGTCAAAACTTTTTTTTCCTGTAGTGCTCCCTGTATATCCTGCACATATGTTGCTCCTTTGTCATCACATCAACACACACTTTTTCAAGAGATGGTGGTTACATGTGTAAATATATATATATACAAGTAATATTGTATACCTTGTACTTTTGCTTATATAGTCTTGAAACAGAGGCGTGCGCAAGAAGCAAGTTATGGCCTACGATATATGGTTCTGTCGAAGAGTTCCCTGACGAGCAGCCTGGTGGGGAGCAACGACCAGGCGGTGTCGACCCATCATTGTAACCTCCAGTGGAGAATACGTTAGCTTCGTTGATCGTTGTCCAAAATTTGACATTGTTCCCAAACTCTCTGAAGCAAACATCTGCGTAAGCAGTAAAGTCTTTGCTGCAATGGCAAATAGCATCAACTTTTTTTCTAGAAATATGTAAAAAAAAAAAAAAAAGAAACTAAATTAAAGCCTACATCATTCTGCGGTTGAGCCATCCTCCATATTCATCCTCGAGATACTGAGGATGATCGTCGTGGTAGAGTGTAACATGTGGCTCAATCCCTGTTATAATTAAGTTTACTAAAAGAAGAGGGAAAAATAAAATGGTTAATACAAGAGTTTCCAAAAATGGTCTTCTCTCCTCACCATGGTTAACAAGTTGTTGGATGAAGTTCTTGTAGAACTGTAGACCCTTTGGGTTAACATGACCTCTTCCATCTAAATCACGACATCAAGAATTAAAACTTCATTCTCTTCAAAGTCAAAATCATTAGGATGCGCTTTTAAGAAGAAAGACTTACTTGGTATAAGCCTAGACCAAGAGATGGAGAATCTGAATGCGTTTAAGCCAGTTTCCACCATTAGTTGCACATCTTCCTGCACAGTCACAACAAAAAATCCTTCATGTAATTAACTGGCTTGGTGAATAAAATATTGCATAGAAAGAGAAAATAAACCTTGTACTTGTGATACCCATCACATGCTATGTCTCCATTACTTTGGTTACCTATCAATGACAAACTTTTTATTTTGTTTGGAGAATGAATTTGACTAAAATAGTAACAATACTAAAACTCCAAACTGATGTTAGAAAGTCTAAATATAGAAACTTTTACGAGAGTGAACGAAAGTGTCCCAGACGCTTGGCTTTCTCCCGTCTTCATTAGCAGCTCCTTCCCACTTCCAGAAACCAACACAAATCATAATGGAAAAACTATTCAAAACAGAAAAATGGGAAATGGGTTTGGAAGAAGAAACCATAGAAGTTGGAAAAAATGAATAGCTGGTCAAAACCTGATAAGAGAAGCGCCGGCACCGAAAGCAAAGCCCTCGGGAAATCTTTCCTGCTGTAAACGCTGCTGCATCTCCCAGAAGAAGCTAGAGCCAGAAAAATGGCGATGATGAGAGACAAAATCTGAGCCATTGCTCTCTCTCTGTCTTTCTCTCTATGTCTCTCTTTGGGCTCCATTGTTCGTGGAAATAAATAGAGACTCTCACTACCTACCCCTGTGTGACGAAGAATCAAACAAGTGTCTGTATCAAGTGTGAAATTATTTTAGTTTTTTTGTTTTGGGTATAACATTTATTATTCAGTTTGCACTCGTTTTTCTCATTTGATAAAAGACTGAAAATTGTCGAGTGATATTTAACTACCAAAAAATATGTCAAGAGTGTGATTAAAGATGGAAGATTTCAGTCTTTGTTTGCTCAAGATAAATCCCTTTTGATTAAAACGACCTGTGCGGTTTATTATAGTAGTAGGGGTGACTAGCGCTTAGCGCACAAATTTAAATTGTTGTGTTCATTTTATTGTTTTCCGCAAATTTACTTTATCCTATAGTTTATTATTATTTCAAAAGATTTATACATATGTAAATTAAATATAATTAGGATAGGTAAAATTATTATATTGTCCTGCTCCTATTTCGTTCTTTTTCATCATATTCATTATTTCCCTTCCGTCCGTCTTATATGTCATGTTCCGTCCAATCTAATTCTATCTCATTATGTTCCTTTCCGTTTTATCATGTCCTACCCTGTTCCTTCCGATTCTTCCCATCTCGTCCTTAAATATAAGTAAGGATAGGCACAATTCTCGTCCAATCCCTCTCTGTTCCTTTTTCATTTTGTCTCGTTTTCTCCCGTCATGTTCGCTCTGTCCTGTAACATTCCGATTTGTGATAAATGAGGAGAGGCTTAAGAGAATTGATTTGGCTACCTATGTCAACAAAGTGCACTTACTTTTTTGGTCAAAGGTCTATAAATAACTCCAGAGTTAAGCGTGTTTGGATTAGAGTAGTTGAAGGATGGGTGACTTTCCGGGAAGTGATTTCTGAAACTGTGTGAGTAAGGCCAAAACGCGGGAAAAGGTCGGGTGTTGATTGCAGGGATAGTAAACAAGTCATAACAGCCTCTCAAAAATAACGGTCCGACCGTCGGACAGGGATGAGGCCCAAAGGCCGAGAGGGCCTGTGGGTCCATAAAGAGAGCGTGGGTGACTCACCGGAAGGGGCAGTTAGGGCGTTATACCATTATTTTACATCCCGTCTCGTCTCGTTCCGCCCGTCCCATTCATTCTCATCCGTTTTTCCTCGTCCTATTCATTTTCTTTCCGTTCTGCCTTGTCTTGTTTTTCTTGTGTCGTTCCACCTTGTCCCATTCATTCCTATTTCGTTCTGATTCGTCTTATTCATTTCCTTTCCGTTATATCTCATTTGGTTTCTTTTCATCTTGTTCTGCCTCGTCCCATTCATTCTCATCCCATTTCATCGCGTTCATTTTCTTATTATTTCATTATTTTTATTAAACTATTTTAATCAATTTTATAAAACTAAAATTATTAAATTAGAAAGATTAATATAAACTATTTTCTTTTAGAAAATGACTTTTCAAATTTTATTTAAATCTATTGATTTAATAAATAAGTATAAGTTTTAAAGGAGATTTGGAAAAGCAATGCTAACGTGTCACGTTTTAATGATGGGAGTTTGCTGAAAAGTGTACTTTATATATAGGTCAGCTATTAATATTTTCAGTGTTTGGCAGAAATGACAGAAGTAATGTTCTCTTACATAATTGTTTATTTTATTGAACGAACGTGTTTTCAAAAATATAACAAAGCTTGACCGATTGTTGAGTAAATGGGGTGTTATTTTTTGTATGGCATCGTGTAGAAAAAATCGCGTTTTGTTTACGATATTTATGAATAATAAAGAGAGAACGATCACGGTCCCCTACAGAGTTAATACTCCCTGGACCGGGACTAGCTAGTAAATATGTCTTTGAATAACACCCCATTTACTTAATATTTGTGTGGGAAGCTTTTCAGGTGTCGGCAATGATTGATAAAATTGTATTCATCCTTAGCCGACGATCGTAAATCATTCATGCATAAAGATTTAAGAAAAGGACATTATATTTGCGTACGTTGCTTGAGGGTTTTGCAAAATATTCGTCCGATACGAAAACCGGAAGAGCCATTTGAGGGAAACATCAATGTCTTCCATGCAGCGGGGACAAGTGTCAACCAAAAGCCGTGAGTTTGATGAATAGATCAAAAGTGATGCACTAAAACTCATGTTTTTGTTTCTTACTTGACCGAGTCAAGATTATGGCATAATTGACAAATTACAACATTATGTGAACTTTAAATCTATTACAAACAAAAGAAAATTAAAGCCACAACATTTTTGTCAAAGCTTGTGATTAACAAAGATCTCAAAATGTAAAATTTGTCACAGTAAACAACCAAAGATAATTAATGCTAAGGAGGTATGAATTGTTTCCATTAGCTATGAATTGCATAATATAATTTTTCTCCAAGGAGGTATTTAAGATAAAACATAAATCAAGATTATTGTTTTTCGAAATAAAAAAAAAAACAATATACAATACTTCTTTACTTCTCTAATCTTCGATAGTAACGATCACATGACTTTTCCATATGCCACTGACTCTCTACCTAAATGGGCCATATTTTATCCCCTATAATTACCCAATCCTGACAATATTAACACGAAATCGACAACACGAGTATCATGAGGTACACGGTATATAGAGTGGTAGAGGAATCTCGCCATAAGGCCATGATCTACAGGGGAACGGATCACTCATTCTTCCATTGGGGACTACACATAACATTTAGGGTATGGAGAGAAATATATTTCATTAGATTTCGCTTCTTTTCATAAGACTAATTGTACCTAAAGGATTAAATGGGCCACTGTTTTGTTTGCCACCATTACCCAAGATGATACGAAATCAGATGTGTGTGGAATTAGATTTAGTTAGATTTGCCGAGTGGCGGAGCTAAGAATATTTTTGACCGGGGTCAAATATTTTTTAAGAAGGTATTCTACTCTTGCCATGGGGTTCAATCCATAAGAATCAACCATTTCAGCACAGCAAAGTACACATAAATAAACCTATAAACAAAAATTTGTAAAATCTATAGGGTCACCTGACCCCTAGCCTTAAAGTGGCTCTGCCATTGGATTCGCCTTATTATAAGCTAAAGAGAATAAAACTATAAGCTAAAGATTGGCGGTTGGAGGCGGCTTCTCTAACTGCCCGTAGATGCTCTCGTGCCGCCGGTGGTATGTGAAGATTTACATGCCACCGCACTCGAATTTCGACTTCTTAGACAACACGGTTTTGATGTCTCAGAAGGTTAGAATTTTCACTTTTTCATTACCAGTAATTATATACGAAGTTATTAATTACTACCTCATTAGGTAAATTTTCGTTATACAGTATATGCTAAATGTAATGTGTTTTACTTTTACAGATATATTTGATGTGATCATCGAAAAAATAGAAAGTGATACGTTCAAGAGTGACGACATAAAAAGCATCATCTCTTTGTATGAGGCGTCGTATCTCTCTACTACATCAGATACTAAATTGCATAAAGTCATCAGACCTTTTGCAACAGAACAAGTTAAGAAAATTGTTGATAGTTTTGATGATGATAATACATACAATATTAAGGAGCGCGAGAGTGCGATCCATGCGTTAGAAATGCCATACCATTGGAGAATGAGAAGGTTGGAGACGAGATGGTACATAGACGCATACGAAAAGAAACATGACATGAATCTTGTCTTGCTCGAATTCGCCAAGATCGATTTCAATATCGTACAAACTTCTCATCAAGAAGATCTCAAATACGTTTCAAGGTAATACTATAGACTAATAGAACAATACGAAATATATGTATCGTATATTGCATGGTACTTATTGTAAATATCATTTTTAATCCTCTCTTTTTCAATGATTTGAAGCTGGTGGAAAGAAACATGTTTGGGTGTTCAACTTCCGTTTGTAAGAGACAGAATAGTGGAGAATTATTTTTGGACCGTTGGATTAATATACGAACCTCAATTTGGAAATACCCCAAGGATCATGACAATAGTTAACGCACTTGTTACAACCATAGACGACATCTACGATATCTATGGCACTCTTGAAGAACTTGAACTCTTCACTGACATGGTCAATAAGTAAGGACTCTCCTACTTCTCTTTATTTTCTAATTTTTTTGGTATATTGTTACAAATAGAGAGAGCATTAATGATATTTATAAAGTATTATATGTACTCTTTTATTTTAACTTTATCGTATGTACATGTTGCAGTTGGGATATAAATCGACTTGATGAGGAGTACATGAGTCTGTGTTTTCTAATTTTATACAATGAAATCAACGGCATTGGATGTGATATTCTCAAATATAAAAATATTAATGTCATCCCTTTTCTCCAAAAATCGGTAAGCATAATTATTTGTTTATTGTTGAGAAAATTAAGTTTTTTAAAAATGTTTTTTTTTTTTGTGAAAACTAGTGGGCAGATTTATGTAAATCATACCTAGTTGAAGCAAAGTGGTACAAAAAAGGATATAAACCAAGCGTGGAAGAATACATGCAAAATGCTTGGATATCAATTTCAGCCCCAACAATATTAATCCACTTTTACTGCGTTTTCTCTGACCAAATATCAATTCCAACCTTGGAGACTCTCTCTCAACACCAACAAGACGTTGCCCGATGCTCTGCCACCGTTCTCCGTCTAGCTAATGACCTTGGAACTTCGCCGGTAAATAATCCATCTTTAAACTTGGAGTTAGGTGGACAAACTTTTGAGCAGATCAGTTTAACAACTGGTTTGGCAGAACACGAACAAAACAAAATACAGTTTGCGTCAAATAGCGCGTTAATCGATTTAGACGACTGCTTAATTTCATTTCTTTCTTCTTTCAACATTTTTAATTGATATACTAATACTAAAATCTTTACATTCCGAAGAAAAAAGGGTGTTGAAACTATTCAAAAATGGGTATGATTATGATGTAAGGTTGTCTTGTTTTGGTTTTATATGTAGGATGAATTAGCTAGAGGTGACGTTCTCAAATCGGTCCAATGTTACATGCATGAGACGGCTGCTTCGGAGGAGAAAGCACGTGCACACGTGCATCAGATGATTAGTGACACGTGGGTAAAATGAACTACGAAACAAAAACGGCACGCAGTTCTTCATTTACGCTTCCTCGGGGTTTTGTAGAAGCTGCGATGAACCTGGCACGCATGTCGCAATGCATGTATCAATACGGAGGTCATGGATGTCCCGATAAAGCCATGACGGTTAATCGTGTCCAATCGTTGCTTGTTAATCCAATCCCATTAGACTAGCTTTATACTAAAGTTGATTTAGTACTTGTATTATATCTGTTTCTCGGGGAAATGTTGGATTTTACAAAACTGATTGGAACCAAAAAGAAAGGGACTATTAAAATACAAAAACAATTATAGATTTCCAAACCCGAGGCTTTTACAAATTTACTGAATGCACACTTTTTAGTGCTAGGCTTGACTTAACATAAGATTTATATATATATATATATATAAAAAAATAATACAAACGAAAGACCCTTCAACGAGTCATACAGTATAACCTTTTTAATGAGACATCAACAGCAGCAAATCAACCCAAAATAAAAGACATGACACCCCTTCACCAAATTATCAACTTTTAAGAGATAACATGAACAAGTGAAAATATTGCTTTCTTCCTATGATTTATCACAAGTTTTGCTAACTCATCTACTATATAAATCATTAATCCTGCGACTTTTTTTTTACCTGTTAAACAATTTAATCCGTAATAATGCAAAGTCTATATTGACAAAATTTCTAAGTTCCATACGGCAAATCAAGAGTGGAGATATGTGCAGTGAAAAATACCATTTCCCTTGCAGTTTAATCTTAGCCCCCCAAAAGAAAACTATAAAGCAACAACAGATCAGTTAATTCATAAACCTAAAGACTTCTACACACACAAAAAAACATCCACGTCTACTCAAATTGGCCAGAAAGTTCGAGATACTTACCCAACTTGCAGGAGGAGAGAGTAGAGCCCTAAACAGAAAGAAAAAAACCTTCATTAGCGAAGCAACCACAAGGAGACAAACATAAAGAAAGCAGCCTATACTTGAAAAAATTAAGGAGATATGTCATTTAATCTCAATACCTTCATATTTTTCTTTTCTGGCCAAGAGCTCTCCCCTCCAAGGCAAAACCTCCGGAATGACAATAACACCATAAATCAGATAATATAAAAAAAAATGCAAGCAGATTCAAATTGATAACTAAGAAGAATTGAACTATTTCAGGCACAACTTAAACAAGCACAGAGGAACTCGAACTAGACCAAGGCAGATAACAAAACAGTCACTGAAATCATCGTTTTGCTTTCACATAACGTCCTAATAAACAACCATTGTACCTTCTCCTGTGTGCCTTTAAAGCATCGAAAGACGTTAGGACTGTCTCTAAGCATTAGTAGATGTCCTGGAGAAAAACAACATCAGGCCCTTGAAAGACCAAAAGAGATAATGAAGCATCTTACTATCCACAAGTTCTATTCACAGAGCTTCCATATAATGAAAAAAAAAAAAACAAATTGTTTCAGAATGGCCCCCTTCTTATTCAGATGAAAAGTTTCCAAACATAGACTTCTACAATGAGTAAAGACGGCAATGAGATTACACAGCAGTATAAAGAAAGAAAGTGCCATTAGCAGGTTGTCTTACAATAGAACCAGTAAATTCCCCCAGAGAATTGCGGTGATGAGAACTCCACCCAAACACCATCACCCATGCGGACATTGTAAACCAAAGCTCTCAGGCAAAAGAAGAAAGATAGAGACAGTTCAAAGATTAGAACCTTGAATTAAAATTAAAATGTGTAATGTACAAATATCTAGGACAACAGCATTTCCTGATATTACAGAGAGAAACCGGCAACGTGGTTTCACTTGCCAGTGATGAATGGGTGAGCTAATGCCTGTGACACTGTCAGTCTCTTTTCGGGATCAAGGATGAACATTTTGTCCAAGAGATCCCTGAAATGAGCCAACATCTTGGGATCCTCGCCAGCGTAACCTTTAATGATTGAACCAAAATCTTTTGGCTTTACGTTTACAATCATTCTCTTTATCATCTGAAAAGGAGAAGATAACTAATTACTCACAATCAGTTGGTATTTAAAATGCAAAGTGCCAGAGAAAAACATAAGGACTGTTGGTATTTAAAATGCAAAGTGCCAGAGAAAAACATAAGCACTGGCTTGTTACCTTCCCACTAACAGTGTCCTCCTCTGTAGCGTAAAAGTTCAAGTCTTGGTCAAAATGCTGATCAATAAATGCTCCCTGTTGAACCAAAAGCACAAGCCTAAGAACAGGATAAAAAAGTTGCTTCTCTTAAATCTACAAACTAAATCTCCCTAAGGAAAGCATTAAACTAGATACTTTAATGCTTACCTTGCGAAGCATCTTCTTAGGGAAGGGGCCTTTCAGTTCCATATGAAGACGTAACATATCATTATTTGTGGCGCCAGGGAAAAGAACCTTCCCACAATAAAGCTCATACAGACAGCAGCCAACAGACCATATATCCAGTGGATGGTCATAGGTGAGCCCCAGAACTGCCACGGAAAAAATTGAAGTTTCAACTTTCAATTACATATTCTCTAGCAGTAATCAATGACTATTCTCTAATAATCCAAAAGTATGAAAAAACTTACTGATTTCAGGAGATCTGTAAAAGCGACTAACGAGATATGGCGTAACTTCGTTTTTGCCAGCAAACATTGCGTTACCAAAGTCACAAAGCTTTAACACGTTTTTGTTCTCATTCACCTGGACAAACGGAAGAATTGCCAAATGTTAGAAAGCTATAGTGGATCAAATATGAGAAAACCACAGAAACGTATAACTGACCAGCATGTTGTCAGGTTTTATATCGCAGTGAAGAACCCCACAATTCTTCAGATGTTTAAGGGCAATGAATAGCTGCTTTGAATAAGACCTAACAGCAGAGAGTTTAAGACCAATGTTGCGGCCAAACTTCTTCAAGACCTCACGAAGATTCAAATGAAGCGACTCAAACACCAAGCAGAGGTGATTTCGGTACTTAAAACTTGAAAGAAAACGAACACAGTGGCGCTTGTCCTCTCGGTCAGCGCCTGCCAACTTCTTCAATATCTGAACCTCAATCTGGCCAGCTTTATGCCTAAGCCACATAAGATATAGTAATAAGCCACAAAAGCATATAGATGATAAATCAGATATTGCATAAGAATTTGAAGTGTCAGTCAGGGACTATAGAAATGCACCACCTACATTGTCTCATTGTTACGGATAATTTTTATAGCCACTACTTCAGGTTCAGCTGGACCAGCTTTTAAGTCTTTTGCACGGACCACCGTAGAGAATACACCTTTTCCATGAGTAGCAATGACTTCATATCTACCATCAATTAGCTCGCCAAACTGATAGCCTAAAAAGGAAAATTAATATAAGGGCTTTTAGGAGTCTTAAAGATGAGAAAAACACGAGGTACATTGAAAAACTAAACTATAAACTGGTCTCAGTATACACAAAAAAAAAAAAAAAAAAAAAAAAAAAAAAAAAAACACGTACTGTAATAACCCTCTGCATCATCCCAATTATCATGGAGCCCGCTCCTTACCATCGGAACACCATCACCTTTCCCTCGCATGTGACCCTAAAATAAGAAAGTTTTATGTGAGAAGAAAATACAAAAAAAACATCAACACAGCAAACAAAGATTTTCCCTAAACACTAATGAAAAAGGGTTTACATGGATCAGAATGGTATATTCATGGCGATAAGAGAAACCAAAGATGATAACATCAACAGGCTAGTGAACTGTTCATACACGATAAGGTCAGAAGATCTCAAGAAATTGACTTAAATACATACCGCTTTCTGATTACCAGCTGGAGACTCTCCAAAAATATCATCATGAAACATGTCAGCTGATCTTTCACTCTGAAAATATAAAAAAAAGGGTCAAGAAACATCACCACATATGTATTGTTAGTATAAACATAAAACCAAGAAATTACTCAACCACACACGAACACCAATACCAAAGAAACAATAAGGTTTCCTTTGCTAACGCACCTTCGGGCTACCTTCACCAAGGCCTGCTGGAGCTAGTGTCCTCTCTGAGTCGGAAATTCCAAATATAGTAGGCGGCCCACCAGCTGTTAATGATTTCTTGGCAACATCATCAAACTCTGAGTTAGCTTTGTCTGCACAACCATTAGCAGCTATGACAACTGCAGAAGACGACGAATCTGGAGCACCAGCACCAGTTTGTTGAACAACATCTGGCAGAGAAACAGAAGCCTCATTAGAACTGCCTGGTAGCTCAAAATCCAAAAAAACGTTTGTACTAGTTAATGTGGGAAATCAATCAACGAAATCTACTGAAAACTAATTGCACCTTTTCTGTTAAAATCCATTCACGCATACAAAGATGAATGCAACAGCCCCGTTGTTAACCTAAGGGGTGGTTTTGATACACAAAATGCAACTGACTTTCACATTCCAGACCAGAACTATTTCTTTAACAACCAAATGAAAACCTCAGGGGTATTATTATATCAACAACACCAACACAGTAAGAAAGTCCAGATTTAAACAAATCTTCTGAACCATCATGCTTTTATCGTTATGCACAGTGATTGCAGTAAAGGATAAAGAATTACCTTTCCCCTTATCCTGAGATAAAAGTTCATTTTGCTGCTCAGACTTATTCTTATATTTCTCCAGTATAGCTTCCATTCGCTTCCTGCTCTCCTCCTTAATTCTATTAACTTCTTCTTCTTCTTCCGGAAGTTCCCATATAACTTCGTCATTCTCATTTTTATCATCCTCATTTCTGGACCTGATCATAATATAGTTAAGAGCCAAACAAATATCCAAAATATTATCTAATACAAAAAAAAAAATCACAAGGGTTAGGGTTATTGAAAGATTACCTTTCACCGTGGTCCACATCAACACTTTTATACTTCTCCCTATCAGTCTGGATTTCTCTTTCTTTGTCACTCTCCCTTTCCTTTTCTCTCTTCCTCTCTCTGCTATCATACCTGGTTCTATCTCTACTCCTAGCTCTTTCATTGTCTCTACCTCGTAAATAATCTCCTTCCCTCTCCCTTCTCCTATCCCTGTCCCTATCAATGCTGCGCTCTCGTTCCTTGTCTTTTCGCCTTTCACAGTCAGCCTCTATCTCTCTCCTTTTCTCTCGTTCTCTTTCCCTCCGACCACTATCTCTTTCTCTCCATTTACTTCCTTCTGAATCCCTGTCTCTTATGCTTCCCTCTCTGTCCATACCCCTCTCCTTACTTCTTTCCCTTTCTCGACTATATTGCCTTTCATCTTCCTCATATCGCCCACGTCGATAATATTTCTCCTCAGTCCTCCCTGAGTCAACTCTGTCATGGCGATAATCCCTCCTAGAATCATGATGTCTTCCTCTGTCCGAAAAATCATCAGCCACAAGAACCCTTGATCTTGATACCTCCCTCTCCCGATCATGCGACCTAGATCTACTCCGAGCACGTACTTCATTAGACTGCCTGCTGTTTGTCGGAGACCGGTTCCTAGTCTTATGCTTCTCTTCAGAGCTTTCCGGAGACAATGAGCTCCTGCCATTATCATAACGTCTCTTACCAACTCTCTCTGAAGGATCTCCTCCTTCTTTATACAACCTCTTATCCTCCCTTTCAGACTCACGAGTTAGAAAACCATTAGAACTCACGGCTTCTCCCAAAATTTTCTCAGTTTTCCCAAAACATTTAGCACCAGAAACTCCATCCAAAGGCTGCAAGCATCGCAACAAGATTTTAGAGCACTTATCAGAAGAAAAGATCTATGGAATACAAAACGCATGAGCATACATAAACAACAAAAATTGGAAAAGAACATCTACATATAAAGAGAATGTTAATCGCGAAACCAGTTCTTACAAATCAATAGGGTAAGCCATCAGTCTCCATTGAACGCCTAGTGCAACTGCTTTTCTTAGATATGCAATGAAACACTCAGGTTATCTAAAGAAAACTCTCAAAAGACCACACCTTTATCATCAAACGGAAATTCAGCTTAATATAGAGGCATGAATTGTGTTTATAAAACAAATTGCTTATGAAAAATCCACAGTTTCAATCAAACCAAAATCCACTCTTTAAAATCAAAAGACGTAAAAGGGCGTTTTAGAACAGACCAGATCGTTGTCTTGAATTTGATCGGATTTGATTTCGCCGGACTCGCCGTCGGAATCGGACGTCTTAACATTGGCAATCCCCGCTTCGTCTAAAATCTCCCCCTCCTCCACGTCATCCTCGCCGCCGTTACTAACTCCAATCGGAGCCGCCGGAATCGGAGTGGCATCTTTCGCCTCTGTGTCATCTCCGGCGGATGGAATTTCATCGTCGCGCTTCTTATCACGGTGATGTCGGTGATGGCGCCTGTGGTGGTGCTTGTGATGACGGTGCTTATGCCGCTTCGATGATTTATCGGCCTCGTCGGAAGAGGAAGACGGACGGTGGTGCTTGCGGTGGTGAGATTCGATCTGCTTGTCATTCGCCATCAAATCGTCAAAATTAGGGCTAGGGCTGAAGAAAATTCGATTGTTTTGCTTCTTCCCCTCCTTCTTTATCTCGGTACAAATTACGCGACTCAAAGACTCACCGAATTAATAGTTTAATACTAAACATCTTTATAATAAGATAAAATATGTACAAGACGCGCGTACATATATCTTTTTTTCCGACGTGTATTCTGTTATTTATTTATTAACAAGATAAAATAGGGCTAGTATTTGTTTTTTTTTTGTGTGTGATATGTTCTCAAATTGTTTTATACAAAAATAACATTTTGGTCACTCTAAAATAAAATAAGAAATAGGGTTGAGTTAAAATCTTAATCTAGTATGTGAACTTTTGAAAACTAAATACTTTTGTACAAGCAACTGTGTAATATTATAGACGACCAAAAATTTATAATGTGAGTTCCATTAGTTTAAGGTTTTATAACTTTGCTCATATATCTTAGAGTATATCAAATATTGCAAGGTATGGTTTGAGTTTTTCGAAAAGGTTTTATCCCTCAAAGTCCTCCAAAAACTTGAATCGGGAGTATGTAAAATCTTTACTTATTCTGAAGTTTGAACCTCATAATTCCATTGCATTAGTAGTATCAAACTAAACATACACATTTGTTTTTATCTGTTGGCTTATGCAGACATAAATGCATTTTGGAGAGTAAAATAATAACAAACGCATTAAAGAGAACTAACACAACAATGGTGTGGTCATGTGATCAGGTTGTTCTGAATACTCATACGTCGTTTCATATGGTGGCTCGTGCTCTTGTCCTCCGTCTCCTTCTTCGTGGCCGCCGGCGAGATCTTCAACCTCGAGAATCTCAACCCTACGTTTCATCTTCTTCTGTAGTTTAACTGCAACATCCGACGGTCTAAATCGTCCGCAAACGATGATCTGGCGTTCTTTTTTGTCGATCATGTGAGTATCAACTTCTTCACGAAAACATGTATTAGTATTGCATCATACGATTCTTCAGAAATTTTGTATATAACCAAATATATACCAACCTTTCATATTGATGATAATCCTCCTTACTTTTCTACAACAAGCATTGCAATCCAAGTTAAGCCTCATCACAGCACAACATTGCCTCTGCATTTTTCACCATCAAATATAGTTTAAATTCAAAAAAGTATTGCACAAACGAAAGGGAAAAAAAAACAAACCTTTTCCGACATGGGACGAAAGAGCAATGCTGTTATATGAAATGTTTTTGATCAAGAGAAAACAAAGAATACGAGATTTCGTAACAATTTCAAAGATTTATCATCAAATTATAAATTTAAGTTTTTGGAATCTGATTCTCTATCTTAAGTTGAACAGAGAAGATATATTACAAAACTGGTTTTGTTTATGTTACCTAATTGAGAAGCTAATCAATTTTGTTCTCTTTCTAGATGGTTTTACAAAACCAGAGCTAAATATATATTTTCCCGGTTTAATCATCCGGTTATTCAATTGTAACTGGTATAGCGATACAAATGTAGGTGAAGACGCCCAACGAACTTCGACCTCGTCTTCTCCGTCCACTCCACTCCTCTAAATCTCTCAGATCTCTCACTTTCTCTGATTCATCGAGAAGCAACAATGGCGATGTCTTCTTCCTCGTTTCTATCGACGCCTTCTCTCTCCAATTCAAAATCCACCATTTCATTCGCTTCCTCCGTCTCCCCAACGCCTATCCCTTCCCTCCGACGCGTCATTTTCCGCTCCTCGATTCCGTCGTCTTCCCACCGCAGAGTAATGACCGTCCGATCCAAGGTCAGGGAAATTTTCATGCCGGCGCTCTCTTCCACCATGACGGAAGGGAAAATCGTATCCTGGATCAAAACCGAAGGCGAGAAACTCGCCAAGGGAGAGAGTGTTGTGGTTGTGGAGTCTGATAAGGCGGATATGGACGTCGAGACCTTCTACGATGGATATCTCGCCGCAATCGTCGTCGGAGAGGGAGAGACAGCTCCGGTAGGCGCTGCGATCGGATTGCTGGCGGAGACTGAGGCTGAGATCGCAGAAGTTAAGTCCAAAGCCGCCGCTTCGAAATCTTCCTCTTCCTCTCCTCCCGCTGTTGCTGCGGCGGCCGTTGTTCCATCTCCACCTCCGGCTACTTCATCTCCCGCCCCGGCGATCGCTCAGCCGGCTCCGGTGGCGACGGTACCAGAGGGTCCGAGAAGAACCATAGCGACGCCGTACGCTAAGAAGCTCGCGAAACAGCACAAGGTGGATATCGAATCCGTTGCAGGAACGGGACCAAACGGTAGAATCACAGCTTCCGACGTGGAGGCAGCGGCCGGAATCGCTCCTTCCGTGACCGCACCGCCTCCTCCTCCTCCTGCTGCTGCATCACCGGCTACAGCAAAAGCAACAAGCACCACTAACTTGCCTCCTCTATTGCCTGACTCCAGCGTTGTCCCCTTCACAACAATGCAATCTGCAGTATCCAAAAACATGATTGAGAGTCTCTCCGTTCCAACGTTCCGTGTTGGTTATCCGGTGAACACTGATGCTCTCGATGCACTCTACTTGAAGGTGAGAAATTTGAATGAAACATATGTAACACACACACATTGCGTTGTATGAAGCAAATTAGTTAATCTTTGCTTGTGAAAATTTGTTGATTTACAGGTGAAACCAAAGGGAGTAACAATGACAGCGTTATTGGCCAAAGCTGCAGGGATGGCTCTGGCTCAGCATCCTGTGGTGAACGCAAGCTGCAAAGATGGGAAGAGTTTCACTTACAATAGTAACGTTAACATTGCTGTTGCTGTTGCCATCAATGGCGGCCTGATTACGCCTGTTCTACCAGATGCAGATAAGGTAAACAATGCAATGTAGAAAGTAGCTTGTGACTGGAAACACTGTTAGTCTTAGCATCTGCGTGGTTGTTTTTCGTAGTTGGATCTATACTCGTTATCACGGAAATGGAAAGAGCTGGTGGAGAAAGCTAGAAGCAAGCAATTGCAACCTCATGAATACAACTCTGGTACATACTCTCATTTAATAAGAAGTGTATTTTTAAGGATTGTGGTGAGGTTTGTAGATTAAGGATGCGTATGGTATTGAATGCAGGAACTTTCACATTGTCGAATCTCGGTATGTTTGGAGTGGATAGATTTGATGCTATTCTTCCTCCAGGACAGGTATATGAAGTTTTCAATATAGCCTCTTCAAGATCAGTGACTACAAGCGAATTTTACTTATGTTTGTTATATAACTCAAAATTTCTAGGGTGCTATAATGGCTGTTGGAGCGTCAAAGCCTACTGTAGTTGCTGACAAGTCTGGGTTCTTCAGTGTGAAAAGCCAAATGTTGGTAAGTCTTGAGTTTAAAGAACCTGTCTCATTGGTTTTGGTTATTTTGAAAAGATATATAATTGTTTGAGAGGAAGAAGCTTTTGGTTTATGTTAATAAGAACTTTGGGTTTGGTTGTGTTATTTGGCAGGTGAATGTGACTGCAGATCATCGTATTGTGTACGGAGCTGACTTGGCTGCTTTTCTTCAAACCTTTGCAAAGATTCTCGAGAATCCAGATAGCTTGACCTTGTAGATGGTCAGTGTCTTTACAACAAACGAACACGGAGAGAAACAGTTTCCAAATATCTTGAGTCAAATTTTTCTTAAGTAGAAAAAAAAAGTTTTTTTTATCCTTAATTGTTGCACTGTTCTTGCCTTCTTGGTTCTGTTCTTCTTTTGCATCTTGCTTCACTTATTGTGTTGTGTCTGTATTTTTAAAACTTTTTTGTATCTTGTTCTCCGGAATAATCAAATCATTTTGGGTTTTACACTAATAATTTCCCCGGTATGGTAACTAGAATCAGCCCATTATATGTCATCTCTATGGGCCTTTTGATTGATTTACTCCATATGTTATAAGATTCCGAATTCAAGCCCTTAAACGTGCACTCGAGCAATCTCCTCAGAGTTGTATGCGCCCTTACACGTTTTCATCATAAGGCAGATTAGGACTATGACTTTAAAATTAAATGCCTAAAAAAGTTTTTACGGTTTAAGGGTCTGATTGGTTCTCCCGCTACCACCCGCAAACGCAGCGTTTGCGGTTCGTAGCGGTTTATAACAATCACGACAACCGCTTTGAATCGCTCTATACCACTCTGTACCGCTCTATATCGCTGAAAATCAAAAGCTCCTTTCCGCAAGCGTTTGCGGTTGCGGGCGGTTGATTAAAAAAAAAAAAAATTATATAAAATCCGAAAATAAATAATAATATTTATTAAAAAATAAGATTTGGATAATAAAATCACAATATAAATAAAAAATTAGTACTTTTAGTCTTTTAGTCAATATTCATTAAAATCATATAATACTTATATATTTATAAGTTCTACAAATCAAAATTCTCTTCATAAATATTCTTTTCATACTAATACATATATATCTAATAAATAAAATTGTAAAATAAATTTAATTTTCACATTAAATATATATTTTGAAAATAAAATCACATTTTTATTTAAATTATAGAAATTAAAAGATAGACGTAAGTATTATACACATATTATTCTTTATAAAAAAATATTTTTAATTATGTTGAACCATAAATTTAAAATTTTCATTATAAATATTTTTGATATTTTTATAATTATATAATGTGTTTATATTATTAATTTATTGTTTAACCGCTATTGCATCCGCAAGTGAACCAGTCATAAGTAACCCGCAAACGCATCCATTTTCAATTGTTATGCCAGTCGTACAAACCGCTTAATAACGCTACTAATCACAACCGCCCGCTTCCGCAAACTCCCGCACCCGCAACCGCAGCGGTTAAACCAGTCAGGCCCTAAGATTTTAGTGTGAAATATGGACATTGTCAAAAACATTATACATTCTGTATGGACATTTGCTTAATCTCAGATTCTATAGTATATATGGGATTAGTTCCGTGGTAATACTTATATTTTCAGATTTACAAAAGTTTAGCAAACCAAGAGGATGATTAAAGATCAACAGAATAGATCCTGGAAAGAAAAAAGGAAGAACGATTCTAATAAACTTATCCAAGCCATTAAGCCCACCAAACATTTGATTTCTAAAAGTCAAATCCTAAAACTCTTAACAAAAATATATAGATCCTAACTAGTAACGATAGATCCTAACTAGTAACGATAGAGAAAACTTTTGAAAAAGAAAAAAAACAAAAAACGGGCCAAACACACTACAAAACGCAAAACGTTATGTTTCCCGCTTTTAAAAACTCCGATATATTGTTTACTCCGCCGGTAAATACTCCGGCCGCCATGAAAACAAATCGCCGGAATCTAAACAAACATCGGAATATTCGAAAAGTCCATCATCCAGTTCGAAAGATCTGAAACCCGTAACATGATCATCAAATCCACATAACTCGCGGACCTCTGATGTATCCGACGACCCTCGTACCAATTCCGTCACCGTCTCATCCGTTTCCTCAGACGACGGATGAGGAAACGTCGACTGCGGCAGTGGCGGTGGCGGAGGCAAACCCAGCTCATCGTCGGAGGCTTCGAAAAGGTATCCGAGATCCGGCTGAGTCTCACCACAGCCTTGCACCGTCGTCGTCGTCGACAGCTCTTCCTCGAAGCTCTTTATAACCGTGTCAAGATCTTGAATCGTCGATTCATGACCCGAGTCGTCGAACAAATCGTCTCTCAGCCGCTTCACGTCCGGCGAGTCGAGGTCCAACTCGTGCCTGACTCGCTTTTTAACAACCGAGTCGGCACGAGTTAGCCTCTCCACGTCAGCCAATAAATCCTCCATAGCTTAACCGGGTACGGTTTATTGCTTGGTTTAGGTGGTACGTTACCTTTTAAATCAGTGGCAATATTGAAATTAACGTGATGTAACGGTGCAGAATAGGAAGAAGAGAAACATGAGATTTTATAGTGGAGACAAGAGGAGAAGATATGAAGAAATATAAAAAGTCGGTAAGAGAGAGAGCGAGAGAGCGTGATTTCAGACGCATACATAGGCGCGTGTAAGAGCGAATCGTTCGGGCATCACGGATCTCTCGCTTTTATTATTTCTTTTCTGTGTTTATTTTTAGCCATATTCTGGTTTTATGTATTCTTTTTTAAAAAAATTGTTTAAAATGTCAGGTGTCGTTTTCTAAATTTTGGACGTTATCAATTGGGTTGAATTCGGACTTGAAGTCCGGTCCGTTGCAGGATACATAGGCTCTGAGTCAATAAATAAATTATTTTATTTTAAGAACAATTTTAATGAAATAGTGTAAAGTAGTAAACACAAAATCAGGTCTTCGAACTAGAAATAAAAAATAATTAATATCAGAATTATAACCATCTTTTGAAACGTGTAGAACACTCGAGGAGTTAAACCATTATACGCCTATTTGAACATATTTAAGGATTATAGTTTCAGTTACTGAAATCATTGCTGATATAAAGTATACAAATATTTAAAAACTAAATGTCTACTTGATATTATAAAATGGAGAAAATGTTGAGATGGAGAGAATATTTGTGTTTTGGTAGTGGTAAACTTGTAATAATGCAAATGAAAACATTTAGTCTCTTTTAAACGACATATGGGGTCGATTCGATCAAGATCTCGATCGATTAGACCGTGTGTTATACATACTGTTAAAGAGAAAATGATATACAGTATTCGTGGATCTATCCAATAGAGGAAAAAAACAAAAAAGTCTCATGAAAAACTTTTAAACATAAAATATATTATGTAATTAAAAAATAGTCCCCACTAGTGTACTGTATCAAGATTCAAGAGTCAGAACTCAGAAGTCACTCATAAATTTTATAACACTTCAGTATTATCACATTTAATTGTTGTTTGTATCAGCTGGTCAATAAGAACATCGCATTACACTTTACATCTTTTATCTGTTCAACTTAATTACTTGCGTTTAATCTTATCCGTTATTGGCACGTATTAAAGAATCAGATTAGCATAAACGGAAAGTTGAAACCGGTTTACATTTCTAAAAATACTCCTAGCCTCTGGAAGATAAATATGGGTTCTCTGGTCCGGACACCAGAACATTGTTGCATGTGATTAGGCTCTGCAAATGCTTCTGATACCAAGCGGCGTGGCTACACGGCCTACACCACCTAACACTCGATAACTCAAATAAAAGGTGGTCTAATCCATTAAATCTTTCAACCCTCTGTAGGGTTGGGTCCAAACGTAGTTAAACTAAGAATATGTGATCGTAAGTGATTTCTTAAAGATATATAATATGTGACGACCCTTTAATCTATAGATTATATGATATTCTGCTTAGATAAACGATAAATTATTCGTGACGCTGAGATAAATCATATTCATAACTCTAAAGAAGTTAATTTTAAAATCGAAGTAGTCTTGTATAAATGCACTATATATTTATATATGCCACTCTAGTGTCATGACTTAAAAGACAAGTCAATATGAAATTTTTTAAAATAACAAACCGACAATCAAAGTAAGTAAAATATACATTCCGAATTTAAACAGAAAAACGTAAATTTGTTCAACTAGTAAAAGAGACGGGTACTCTCTCAGTCGGAAACGTTGCAAAACATAAATGTTGGGGATGAGTACTTAAAACAAATAACATGTAGAATTGTACAACACATCACGTGAGTACATAATAAAGCAAATCAAGTACACAATCTTCCCACCATGAATCACGCTTACCCCACCTCATTAATTACCATGATTCCTCAATTCATCTAATCCGTTTAAATTCCCACCATCTAATCCATTTAACTTCCCACCATGTTAGCTGGTGATTAGGAAAACAAACTCTGTAATAACATTTTTTTGTTAGGAAGGAATAAATTGTTATAGAGCATTTCCATGATTCCATCCATAGTATCACAAAGGGTATTTCGCATTTGAAATAAAAACAGACTAAAATTATGAAATAACAGCGTTTTGAGCTGGAAAGAGGTTGAAATCCATCAGAAAACCTTTTGATTATATTAGGATATATTATTTCAACTAATGGAGGTACTCTAATAAAATTACTTTTTACGTGGGAGGAACGATATATGTATCTAAATATTTGAGTGGTGTCAGGTTACTTAATTTAATTTGTATGATAATCAGGTTTTTTTTTTTTTTTTTTGGTAAAATGTGATGATAATCAGGTTCACGAACCTTTCTTATGAAAATGATTAAATGAATTTTAATCGAGCATGAGAGCACCATGGCCCTTGACAGAAAATATACAACCGCAACTTACGTGTCCGGCATATTTATTCCGTGGAAAGAATTAATAGTGTTCTTTTGTATTTTCACAAAGTTACTGACATTTTTCTTTCTTTCGAAAGTATCAATTAATCCATTTAAAACCTCTCGAAAAGCCGACAAAAAAAAAAAAGACACTTCTTCACAAAATTATTAATGGAAAACAAAAATCTCCAAATAAAGTTAACCAGTACCATCTAACTAAAATTAAATTATTTACAACCGTTTTAATTTTTAACAAAAAAAATTATAAACCAATATAATCATCAGCTTATAGATATATGTTTTCCAATATTTGTTACAATTGCGTCAGTCAAATAGTTGGTAGTAGGAAAGTTCTGACTGGGAGAACATTCAGAAATTGTGTGAAATTTGAACTTTCTCGTCAGTTAATAATGGACGAAAAAGTAAGGCATTAATAAAAAAACCGGACTAACATTTCATATATACTTGGGATCTAAATGGTAACTCTAGAATGTTGTTAAATGTTGCGGAATGCGGAATCTGGCAGAATAAAATGATGATTTTTTGCAGAATCTGGCTGAATAATTAGTGATATGAATGGTAACAGCTGAATGTTGCTGAATGTTGCTGAATGCAGAATAAGTAAATAAAAAAAATTATATAAGAAAATAACAAAATATTTACTCTGCAATTGATGAAATAAAATATATAGTTATGAAATAATTATATACAATATTTAATCAAACAAATTATAAACATATGTCAAATATTTAAATTTGGAATCATATTATTACACATAAAAAAAATACATTTAAAATATAATATTTGATTTTAACAACTCATTAATGAAAATTATCCCATATTTGTTGTTTTATTCCTTCTCGTATTGTTTGCATATAAGCACCATCTGTTGTTTCCTCTTGTTCTTGCAAATAGTTTACTTCTTCGTTCTCTCCACCTTCTCCATTGTTATTAAACTGTTCTCTTGGAATTGCGTCAACATGTAAAGCATCATCAAAATCAAAATCTTGAATTTGAGAAAGACGAATGAAGTTATGCAATCCAGCTGTGCTTATGATTATATTGTTTTGTGTTCCGATCATATCTCGGAAACTCTGATAAAATCCTCCATTTTTTCTTCCAAACTCCAAATGTTCGTTCAATCACTGAGCGGAGTGAAGAATGCCACCGATTAAACAACTCTTCTTCATCTCTAGGTGGGGAGCCAACTTGAAAATGTGGCAAATGATACCTATGACCTCTAAATGGAGCTAAATATCCTCTTGTATTAGCATAACCGGAATCTACAAGATAATACTTGGATGGCGGAGGAGTGGAAAAGTTGAATCACGCTCCATTGCATAAGACAAAACTCTAGCGTCATGTACTGATCCAGGACATCCTACAAATATGTAAGTGAATAACATATCATAGTTGCATATCGCCAAAACATTAATGCTTGTTTGTGAATGCCTGTTGTAAAATCGAGCTGCCTCGCCACCAGCTACCATAACCGTACAATGAGTGCCATCCATTGCTCCAATAAAACCATTAAAATAAGGCCAATATTGAGATTATCTCGTAAACCTCGAGGTACTTGTCGGAGTTGCTCAGGAGACTGCTTTCTTAAGTAATCTACCATAGTTTTCTGCATGCTTTAAGACATTCTTGAAATTTGCGTCCAACTGTTTCTTGTGCGCGTCCGAATAAGAGCCCAACCGAGTGTTGTGTCATGTTATGACCACATATCACAAGAAACATTGCCACTGTTTCTTCTACCGATATGTTTTTTGTGTTTCTCACTCCAAAATCTGTGCAATGTCTCACATAGACGTGTAAAGACCTCTATACGCATCCTCAAAAGATGTAAGCAATCTCTTGGATAGTTATAAATTCTTGTTTTTATGTTGCTCCATCCTAAACCCCATTCAGCTCCCATTGGTTGTCGATTATAATACATTTTGTAGTAATCTATCACAGGCCTGAAGAGTAGTTCCATGACATCCATGTGCTCCAGAAAAATTAGTTCAAGTAGCTCATCATTTGTGAGGTTATGTAATCCACGTGAATATAACTCGATAATGCGAGAAACCTGAAGATAAATAAAATTCATTAATTAACACTTAAAACATCAAGAAACTAATAGCTATAAAAACATTATATTTAATACATATTAAACATTTTTAAAATTAAAAGACTATTTTAATTGTCTCCATCATTATCATTGTTTCCAACGTGCGATTGAAATCAGACAAATTGAAACGATCCAAGTAACTCGGATGCAGACGCAGGTCTATATGCAAAACCTTCATCAGAGCAACTCTTGGATTTGAACTCATCAAACTGTGGGTTAGAGTTTGGAACTTGAAATCCTTGTCTTCTTCTGAATTGGTTCGGAGAACCGGAACTTACAAATTGTGAAAACCCTCCCAAGTTTGAAGTACCATCACCAAAATTTGAAGTTCCTCCGAATGTTGAAATTTCCAGCATTACTAATTGTGAAAACCCTCCTACGCCAGGAGAACCAGATCCACTACCAAATGATCCTCTACTACTTGGCCCGCTAGAACCACTAAGTTGACGTTTCCACGGACTACCCCGAAAAGTGCCACTTCGATCATAACCTGTCACCCCTTCGAGAAAACGAATTCTCTCTTCGTTATTTTTTAGCAAAAGCACAAACCTCTTTTGCTCGAACGGGTCTCTTAAAATCTCCGATGATGCCCACCAAAAATCTGTAAATTTTTCTATGCCTTGTAATTCATTTAGTTGCAACCAAGATTCACGCTCATAATCTTCATTCGCTTGGCTACGTGCATTGAGCATCTGGATTGGAGTTTGCATAGTTGCAAGATATGACTCAATATTTGTTAGATGTGTGTCCATAACAGCTCTTCTTCGTGGGGTTTGTGTTGTCTGTCGGCTGGATTGGTTTCGTCCTCTATTAGTAGTTCTACCACCTCTGTTACCATGTTGCCTAGATCGTCGGTTATGTGTAGGTATCTCAATCGGCACTGATGGCTGATTTCCCATCGATTGATGTGGTCCTGATTCTGGTATACCATAAATATCGTCTTCATTGTTATCACCTTTTCTGCAAACTCTTGTTCTTCTTCGTCATCGTCACTTTCACAATTTCATCTATTTGACTTGCTGAAACCATATTGTCATTCACAGCACAATGAGGACCGTACACCTTATGCATCAACTCTATGCATGGTAGAGGATTTTTTCTTAATCTTGATGCTCCTTCGGTATCCTACAAAATTACATGGTAAAAGTTGTTAAAAAAAATTAAAACTATTTTTCTTTAAAATACAAATATGAAGTCAATTCTTGAAAGAAATAATCATACCTTTACTCGATCTTTCCACCAACTTGTATCCATAATTATTCTTCCGGTTTCGCGATCAATATTTGTACCAGTACGACGAACAAGTCTTTGATATACGGCATACAATGTTCTAAAATCATCATGTTTACTCTTACATTTATCCCAATCAATTCTATGCCCTGTTTGCTCGCAGAACTTCCTTACTATATTGTTTTTACCCTCTTTATATGGTAAAGTTGAGATATAATTTATTTTTTGCAATTCTTCATCTAATAATTCAATGAATAAGGAGTTTAATTCGGGGACCATCTAGAAAAAGTCTACAATTATAAAATTAAAAACATAATTAATTAATTGTTTATAAATAATACATTAAAAACTCAAAATCATTCAAATAATATTACCGCATTGTTTTGGTTTGATGGTCCAGCACCTGTGTTTCCCGCACCGCTCATTTTTGTTCTGATAAATAAACAAATCCACATGAAAAGAAACAATTCAGCAATTTGTACTTTAGTATTTTTTTAAAATACAGAAAATTAGAAAATAGTCCATTTAAAAAAAACTGTATAAATTTACATCCCCATATTTCGATATTTTATTTCTTCATGGTAATAAGAAATATCTATTAATACATATTAATAATCTTTTTTTTTTAAGATTTAACACAATTTTTGTTTTTTAAAAAACCACATACGTTCTAATAGAAAAAAGAAAAATCTTAATAATAATTTGAGCATATAAACATATATAATATATATACCAATACATTTCTAATATAAAATTATATTTTTTATCAGGTTTCATAAGTTTTTAAAATTTGCACCATTTTATATGAAAATAAAATCACTTACTTCTTTTAAAATTTAATTAGAATGATAGTTAGTTTTAAAAATATTTAAAATTTTGTTACTTATCTATACACTGTTTTCTGTAAATAAAAAAGCATCAACATTAAAAGTAATTAAAAGTTTATTTTTACTTTAATATAAAATCTGGGATTAGTTTTTTTAATAAATATAGTTGAAAATGTTTGTTATAATTATATATAAACATGAACTTTGAAGAAGAAAAGAACTTACTAGTTTGAAGTCTCTGGTGAAGAAATAGAGTGAATAAGTGAGAGTGAACAAGTGAAAAAATAGAGTGAACGAAGTGAAGAAATAGTTTAAACTTGTACTACGAAGTAATAGAGTGAACAACTGATATGGCTTCAAGAACATAGAGTTCTTCTTTTATAAACGCAACTAAAATACATCCGTGAACCTTTTTTGCTTTTTTGTTTTTTGTTTTTTCCAATTATAGATCTTGATTCTCTCAATTTCTTATCTATAGAAATTAATAAAACAAGAAGAAACTGTAGTATTGTGTATTTTTGTGCATTTATTGATATTATTGTGTTCTGTTTCTTTTTCTGTAAATGAATTGGATCCCACCTGTCTTCATTTCTTTTTTTTTACAACGAATTTTAAACTATTCTGCACTTATTCTACAGATGTAACTGGTAACATCTTTTAGAAATTAATCTGAATTCATCCAGATTCTTCAATTAATCTGTTACCATTTACACCATTAATGTGTGTCTCAAAATATAAGCAGTTATAATTTTGGATAGAAGGACTAATAATTTGACAAACAAGTCAACTAAGGACATACGAAAATGACGATTAGTGGTTCGTTTTACATTTCAGAAGTGAATGTTTGCAGCTTTTGTATAATCTAAAATTGTCCGGTACATTAGTGTCAAACGTTTAAAGCTTTTGTGATATTTTAACCAACCACTGAGAAACGAAAAATCGCATAAACAAACTATTTTCTTTGTCCAAAAATGTTCGCATCATTGGCAAAAAAATTTCAAAATATCTTCAGTTTTGTAGATGCGAATAAGTATGTGGAGAGTTTTCATAGGCACATGATGATATCGAGCAGGTTTTTGTTGTGTCCTAACGTCCTTTGTGGTCCTTAAACAAAAATAATTGTTCGGATGAGAGAACAAGAAGAAATTAGGTCCATCGATATAAGTCGTATATCAATAATTGTAATCAATTGAACAAATATCAGAAGACTCAAATGTGATTCGAACTGACATATAGACTTTCAAATACTTATCTCGACGACATCTTTTCCACTATGTTCAAATTTCCAGTATGAAAAGAAAATGCAAAACCATGATTTTGTCATTTTTATCAAAAAAATAAAATGAATTACTATTTTTTTTTAATAGTTATGGCTGTAGTCTTGGAAGTTATAACTTTGTAACTTTCTTATTATATATATATGTGCAGCTGTAAAAATTTCAAAATGACAAATCAAACTTCCTATTTGTGGCTATATATAGACACATAAAACATTGCTTTTAGCTTGGTTAAACCCATATTAGAAAAGTGAAATCATTATCTTTAACTTAGGCGTAAAATTAGTTACATGTAAGTTAACTATATGCTGGATATAGCCATATAAGCATTAAGCAACATCGTATATTTAAATAAAATAATAATAATAATCTTATGAAATCAAAAATGACTTGTGTACATTTATAGTAAAGAGTAGAAAGTGATTTTAAAACTTACAAGCTTTTTCGAGTTTGCGTGGGAAAGAACTACGGAACAGTACTGTCCGTCTGTAAACCTTTTTCTTGGCACAGCTAAGTTAAACCGTGTTTGAATGTACAATGGTGTAGTGTGAATATTTGACACATGACAGATCAAGATTTTAGGTTTTTTCCAACCGACTTCATTGTAAAATCAAATTTAACTTAAAGGGGCGATTGTTTGGTAGGACAAACTATACTAGTTTAGTGTTATTTACAGGAGAAAAAACATTTGCTTCATACTCATGTCTTCTGATAAAAGTGTCGGTGCAAACATTTAAATTATATGAGGAACAAATGAAAATAAAAACTTTAAAACACTCTCCGAAGTTGTAAAGGTGACCTAACTCGAATTTTAAAGAAGATCAATCCACCGAGTTGAGTAAGTCCGAGCAATCCATCTAAAATTTTGATATTTATCTATCAAGTAACAGGAATAAAAAAAACTAATAGCTAAAATCTATTGTTAATATTTGCATTGACCAACTTTATCATAGCTATTTGGCTAATTCAAAGGTAAGTAAATCTCCATATGCCAAAAAAACTACTGTTTTCCATCTATTAAAATATAAATACTATAAGATATGTCATCTCAAACAGTGATCTAACAAAAAACTGTTTTGTACAGCAATAAGATTACTTTAAGTCTTTAACATAACGAGAGATTCTATTTGCATGCAACACGAAACGGATGCTTTGTCAATTTTCAAATGTATTTGTATCAACAAATTGCGGAAAGTAATACTCCATCAAAATACCAATCTTCAAACCTAAAGTAGAAACACTAAAAACGTGGTCAACTACTTCATGTTTTCTTTGGCGACAAGAAGAATAGTTGAACCTATAAACGATGCGTGTTTCTTATAACGATGTTGCATGTTCAAATATGTATAACCAATATATAAAACAAAGTTAATGCGATCAGAAGATCAGAACTTCAAATAACGAAACTGTTCAAGCTTTCTCCAACGTAAATTAAGAACTACGATTGATAATTTTTTTTCTGTAAATCCACTTTGAAAATAGGGAAAATATACAAATTGATGGCTATAAAAATTGTAAAAGAAAACATTTCTCAAGGAAAAACAATATAGTGCTACAAATTTTGAGGGGTCGAATTTTCTAATGTTTTCTATGTAAGAATTGAGAGGCGGCTGAGGTGGTCTGGTGGTAATGGAACCTCAGCTGAGATGCCCGCCATCATGAGTTAGAGTCCTCGGTCACCTGAGCTGCCTTAAATAGTAAGAAAACGTGGATTATTGTGAGTTTCGTGGGATTAGTCTTGAGCCTAGAAAGCCTTTGGAACATAGATGGTTATCCAAAAAAAAAAAAAGAATTGAGAGGCGGTTTCTGGTGCGCGTCGCTTTCACGTCTTCTCGTCTTCAGTTAACCCACGAAAGAAAACATCTATGAGGTATTATCCTTTGCTTTGACCATACTCTGTTAGTCTGTTTCTATGAAGATTGAAGATCCCATCATTTATAATCCACCTTAAAAATTAAAAGTTCACCTTTTCTCGTAGCCTATCCATATTCACAACCAAGTTGCTATTTTTATTTCTCGATTAAAATCATAGGGCGTCCGACTTACGAAAAAATATTTTGAATATTCTTAAATTTTTTAGTAAAAGTTTGTAATTTTAATCATACCACTTAAAAAAAAAATGATTTTACCATCCATTTTACTACAGTTTATAATCTGGAAGATCTACCTAAGTAACTCAAAAATGTTAAGAGTTTTTTAAAACGATATTGACTTTATCTTCGAGCATATCCAATAAAAACTATAGATTTAATCTGAAATATTTCTTTTGATAAACATTTCATCTTACATACTGAAATCCATCATTTCTTGGTGATGATTAGACTATTAAAATACTAAAATATAAAGTAATTTCTACACCAAATAGTCTAGTACAGTAATACTTTCCAACCAAATCAATCGAACCCAAAAACATTCGCCACAACTATAGTTTTTTGTTCGCTTACCATGCTTCAAACTCGATTTCTTTCATTTATTTTCCTCTAATTTTAATAGTCTACAAATAAATATTATTTTTCCACAATGAAATTCCAGCCGACAGCGCAAGGCTTAGCTGTGGCAATAGTACGATGACATGTGTAGGGAACCTGTCACGTGTCCGTATTGGAACCCTTTTCGTCATCCCATCTCAACCGTCGTTTCATTTCCTGCCAAACCAAATCACCGTCGTTGGATCAACATAATAATAAATTCGTTGAATTAAATCAAATTTGCTGTAATAATACAGCACTAGATTCTAATACTGGTTGCTTAAAATATGATATAGCAGCTTATGGTTATAAACGAATTTCTATTCTGCTGTTAAGAGTTTTATCTAGAACACCATAAGTTACAATTAAGCTTGGTATTCATCTTATTATCGTCAGAGTACAATTAAAAAAAGTCTTCAAATGTGACGGCTAATGTTGTTAATCTCCCACATTGTAATCCTTTCCAATAGCTGTTACACACTTACACTCAATTCTCAAATAAGTTAGAAATCAATTAACGAGACAGATTAAGGAGAGAATTCTAAAGTGAAAACAAACGAATTTTCTTAAAAAGTAGAGATAAATTCTTTTAGGGTTATCGATTTTTTCTTTTACCTGTTATACTTTTTTTTAGCAAAATTTTGTTATACATATTTATCTGCAAAGCAATGTCAAGAGAACGAGTCAAAAAGGGTCATATACAGTTACTCTGATCCTCATGAATTTGATGTCCGTACTTAGTGGTGAGTTATGAGTTCTTATAATTCACTGTTAGTTCCATTTTAACTTAACTCATGCATGATCGATGCATAGTTGCATACTCGTTTTCAAGAGTTTTTAAGATAGATCAAAGATAAATTAAAGTCTGAAACCTCTTTTATATAAAAATGAATGTTTAAACGGTTATTGTTTTCATTTAATGGTACTATTATCAATGGGGCAATGCAAGTTCTGGATGTCCGTAGACATCACATGATTCCGACGTTACTCGATAATATCAGCGGTTAGGTACTTAGGTCTATGGTCGCTTTGTGAAATGTGGGTGCAACTAACATAACATAACTATGTTACTAAAAAAAAAAAAAAAAAAAAAAAAAAAACTAACATAACATAACTCTAGACCTCTTCCTACAACTAATTTATATATGATCCTTTACAAAATTAATGTTTAAATTACCTTCTTAAAACCTTTTACAAAATTAATGTTTAAATATATATATATATATATATATATATATTCAAATTGTGTTAACCATATATTAAAAACAAAACAGATATATTCTAAAGAATATCCCCTAAAATTTGTCATCAGAAGATTTTGATATTTATATCTTAAAAATATGTAGAGATCAAATGGCTAAAGAAATTTAATTTCTTGAGGAGTTTACTAACTTTTTTAATAAATCAAAGTGCCAATTGTAGATGATTGATTAGCACGTAAATTTGTATCTAAAACGACTTTGGCACCAAGAACTGAAAATGTTGAATCACATTATTGTTTTGAGGAAAACTCATAAACTTATGTGACGGCTAGAAATTTAAAATAAAATTATTGGTTATCAATAAGGAGTTATTTTCTCGGATTGTATGATCATATATAACACGTCACTAGGTGGCAAGTACGAACGGTCCACGTGTAATCCAAACAAAATGGTTCGAGCTGTAACTCTTTGTTTGGCATAACGTTTTGTTAGGAAGCGACCAAAACAATCCTTTTCAAAGCAAAAACAATTTACATTTTAGATGAAAAGAATTTGATATTAGTATGATTCGAACTGATGTATTACCAGATAATACATTCTTATATGTATGGGATGTACAAATTCGTTATTCATTTTACAGCGATTTATGAAATTTACGCTTGAAGTAACAAAAAGTTAAGTAATAAGGAAAATAAATCTATTTTGCGTGTGATTTCACATATTATATGTGATAATTAAGCGATTCACACGTAATTTCCACGAGATGCTTTGCTTTCAAAGAGACAAAGAGAAAAATAAGTTGTATCAAATTTGGAAAAGTGAAGAACAAATTTGTAGAGATGGTGGCCCATTTCTATCTTTCTCCATCAGAAATGCAAAAATATAGCATACTACTAATTCATCTCTTTACCCCCATATCTCTCGATTAAAATTTAGGCTTCAATTATATGTCATGTGTGGTTCATTCCAAACTCCTCAATCGCATTTCTGTATTACTAATTAATGGTGGTATGTTCGATGGAAGGATTATTTGTATATGAGCGAACGGATGTTTCAACTCTTGTTATTGTTTGCGACTTTGTGCTAGAAAAATATAAAAGAATGAGAAAATGTATAAAACAAAAAGGAAAAAACATGTAACATTAAAGTAAAAAAGAAATATTAATTTGCTTTAATCATATCGTGTTAGTAATTCTATATCTTATCACAAACTTTTGACTTATTCAATTAACTTTAAGCGGAAAAAAAACGTAGTACGTCAGAGGTTGTGATTAGAATCACAACTTGCACAAAAACTCATTTTACTTCTTGTGCCAAATTTCTGTCCAATTTCATCGGCGGCCTGCCTCCAATGTCCAACTTCTTCAATATAGCTATGCATTATTATAATTATATGTACAAGAAAGATTGTTAGTGGTTACTTGATAAATGTTTGGGTTAACCAATATCAGTGATTTGCTATTTTGTTTGATGAATGTTCGGGTTAAAATTATCATTTTATGATTGGAGAACTCACTTATTATCGTGTGCAACTTATTTTACTTATCTTGAGTGATGTTTTCGCGTTACGTGAAATAAAACATATGGAACACCTAGAACCATCGAAACTTAGTTATTACGACGTCATATATTTGCTTTAACTCCATGGTATTGGTACCTCATTCGTTTTTGATACGTACAACATTATAACGTTAGTATATACGAAGATCTCAAATATGAGCCCTTATGCTGAAATCAATGAAAAACAGTTTATTGCATAACAACAAGAAACTAAACCTTTTTGCAATTCTTTGAGAAAAACGGAGCCTCTTAAAAGCTATGGAAAAGAAAAAGTCTTAGCTCAATTCAAATTATTTGTTGCACATTTTTAAAAACAGATATGCTTGACTTGTTTAGGCCATCGAAGTATCGAACCACTCATTGTTTTTTGTGCGGGGTAACGTAGCTCGAATAACACAAGTAGAATATGACATTATTCATCAACTAGTAGAGTGGCTCAAATAAAACAAATATTTTATGCTCTATAGACTATTATTCATCTGAAATCTGAACTTAACCAAACTAAACTATATCTTACATAAAGGTTACGTAAACCGTCAAAACCTTGATGTCATATTCTAGCCCCATCATTAACCCCTAAAATGACTTCTCGTGAATCGACTTTTTCATCTTTGATATGTTTGGTTCTTCATATATCATTGAAAGAATTAATTAGAGTGTATCGATTAGGCTGAATATCTCACTAGGCCAACCTTTTTCTTTTGGCCCATTAAAAAAAACAAAAGGATGGGTTCCGAGAAAGACTCTATTGCTGAAATACAAAACTAGCATATATTAATACCTCCAAGTTGAGTTGAGACTTTCAGCGATAGTTTTATAGACCGGTCCATGTTTGTTGGGACTACACATCCCACTTTGAAAAATATAAGCAGAAATTGTTACCTAATTTAGAGACATTAATAATCTTGTTTCTTGCGTAAACCTAGAAACCTTTGGTTACTCATTTTAAGTTTAATGCATTTTGTCTTTAATTTCTTTGATTTATCTTCTTATCTTTTTTATCTTCTTTGAGTAGTTAAGTGGTAAACTTAATACATGCATTCGATCTTGAGGTGTCGACTCTTGACATTCTTGATCTATTGACTCTTGACTCTCTTATACTACGTTGATATTGTTATAATTAATACTCCCTCCGTTTCAAATTAGTTGTCGTTTTGGCAAAATGTATCTGCAAATATTTGAATGTATATGGACATGTTTTACATTGCAGATATATCCAAATAATTGCAGATACATTTTGCCAAAACGACAACTAATTTGAAACGGAGGGAGTACTTGCAACCAAGTAGTTAATAAGTGGTAAACTTAATTCATTATCATCAAACTCCAAAAACTATTACCAACCATAAACAAGTTTGCAAATGGTAATGGATGAACCAGTTAGCATCTAAATCAAATGGTGTATACTATCAACATCCGTATCCTAAATCATATAAATGGTGTATAAACTAACAATCACATCGATGTAACACATTTCCTACTAACAAAGACTTTAAGATGGCAGCAATTATGATTTATGTTCATGACCAAATTAAACTTCTTGAGAATACAATAAACTAGTTATTAAAAAAAAATATAAATTGGTGTATAATTTCCATGAAGGAAACATTATCTAATATCGTATGACCCAAGGCAACATTATTCTTAAGTCAGTTAAACGTATATTATCTGCATTTAACATAATTGAGTCTCGATTTTTTAGTAATCATTTTACACGACGTAAATCATTGTAGAACTGTGATAAAGTTGTAGAATCTGAATTTGTATAACATTTTAGTACCTTTTTGAAAAGAATTATTTAGTTATGTTGATAATGGTTACTGTAACAAGAGAGAACAAAAAAAATGCTTGAAGAAGGATTATTTACGAACTAACGGCGTCGGGTTCCGGTTTACAGTTCAGATCCAAACCCGAATTCCGTAACCCGACCCGATTCATTCCATCGAACGCTCCGTCTCGAACGCCGTTACTATCCAATGAGTTTCTCAACTCAAGACTCTGACTCCGTTTCCTCTTCTTTGACGGTAACTCTCGTCCATCATCACCGCCGTTAACTTTCGCAACCGTCCGTGTCGCCACGTGTACTCTCCGTAATATCTTGAAAAACTCATCCACCTCTTCCTCCGTTACCGTCCGGACAACTTCCATTGACGATGATTTCCCTCTGTTCACGTCACCGTCAGCTTTGCCGTTATCTTCTTCGCGGTGTTGCTCTTTCTTCTCCGAGCTCATGTTAGCCACAACCCACAAGAAATATGGACGGCGTCGTTTAGATTTCAATTCGCTGATATTTTGCGGAAAATTATAAACGAACTCTTATAGACCGTCGGTGTGGAATTTGGACGGTCCAAATTGTCAACAGCAAGATAGAAATCGACGGTGGAGATTGATGATGACCTCATCGTGAGACGTTAAAGCATTAAGCTCCATGACGTTGCCTCTTTAAATGGACTTTAGAATAATTGAACAAAGCAAGTCATGTGGAAATTTTGATATCGGTTTACTTTTTATATAGAAATCTACTTATTTTAGTCTTTAAGTAAGACCAAGAACTTTGAGACAACATTAAAGAAAAAAGAAAAAAGAATAAAAGAAGACCAAGACCTTGTGAATTGTGAAGATGAGACTATAATCTCAAAAAGAACGCGTTAATTGCAATGATTTTTCCTAATAATAGATACAAGCACAAGTTCATATTGGTAAACCATGTTACTCATTTACATTTCTGAAAAAAAAAATTGCGGAATAAGATATATACTTTACATATATTTATACATGATTCTAGAAAACAATAAACTGAATGTTCGGCAAGATTCGTTTGTTCACAAACCTTGTACACAAAGACTTCATAGTTCGACGTAGATTAGTTAAACAAAAAGACCTAACGTGTCGTAAAAAGAAGAGATTAAACAAAGACATCGCAATCGCATGGAATATATAACAATGGGCTTAAAGGCCTGTTAATTAACGATAAGTAAGAGTTGGGCTCTTTAATGGACCGTCTAAAACATAAAAGATCTGTAAACTTTGAATCATCAATTGTGGACTTTGTAGTGAACCCGAAAATGACAACTGAAAAAGGAAAGCAAAATAAAAAGTGGGGCCCACGTAGGCGGCTAAGCTGTTCTCAACTTGGTTTTTCAACTCTCCACTTTCTCTGACGTGTCCACTTCAGTAATACTATAGTTTTAACAAAAATTCCACATTTAAATGATAATATTAGCTTTATGGTCGTCCATAGAAAATATATGGTCGTCGATAGATACATATGTTTGTACAAACGAGAGAGAAATTGTTATAAATTTTAGATACACAGTTGAATGTTGATGATGCAATTTTCGAGACACGTTCTAACTTTGTAGACTTTTTGTTTCTGTAATTTGTAATAATATGCAAAAGATAAACTTTTCTTTATTTTTAGTTATAACTATTTTTCAACGAAAAAGACGTCTAATTAAATTGCTGTCTTACATAAAATGTCGTCAAGTACTGTTTAGTTTGGCGTAGAAGATGCTTTTCTTAATTTCTGTAATTCTTTTTTGTCCACTGTAATTTGACAACATCTTTCTTGAATTTACATGATTTTGTTTCATAACTTTTGTAATTCTATTGTCTGTCTTCTCATAGGGCGGAGACTAGAAAAATCACGTGTACTTAGGCGTGCGCTCACTGTGTTCTTTTCTTCAAACATTTCTTAAAAATTAAAAAAATCTTAATATGTTAGTATAAATTATGTTTCCAACTCTTTGACAGTGGCAGACTTGTAAATAAGAAGGGAGTAATAAGTATGGACGAATGTGGCAGTCGCCAGCGATAAGAAAAAAAGGCTGTGAACCGAAAAAAAACAAAATTGGATATCACGAGCTCCTAAACATTTTATTTATGAAAATGAAAGAAAATGACATACTCTATATTCTTTTGTAAACTAATTTCAATAATAAAAAGTAGTTTTGATGGATTGACTCGTAATGAAGACGGTTGTGTAGGCAAAATCAAAGCAAGAAGATTTATGTTCATAAAAACTTGTTAAAATAGAAAATTAAATAGTTTATTCAGAGCTTCAATTTCTCCAAAAACAAAAACAAAAAAACTTAACATATTTTAAAATAAAGTGAATGACTTGTTCTTTCTTTCTTTGTAAACAATTAGATCCTTGAAATAGTAAGTTTAGTCAACCACTGAATAATTACGAAAAAAAAAATAGATGTACTCAAAACACATTTGAGTTGTGAACACTTCTCATTGTAATTATATTCACCAAAATTGGAAAAAAAATAAAGACGTGAATTGCGATGAAAAGTCTCTCGGTAGGTATAGCAACTAGCAAAATGTGGGGATGTGACAATCCCACGTTCGAATCTGGCCTTCTTTGCCTCCATCAAGAAATGGAAAAACAAACTACCTCTAATTCAATTATTTAGCCTCCCAAATCATCATACTTTGTAGTGGAAATAGAGTATTTTCCACCGTATTAGCACTACCCAACATATATTTTTTAAATTGCATTTTGCAATATTTTCTTCCTACTTCACTGAGCCACAGTACAGTAGCAGTGATACAAGTAATGGTCATGTACTATTAAATAAAATCTTTTTTTTCAACCATTTGTCCATAAAACAATTTCCAAAAATAGTATGTTTTGTTACGACACTGTAAAAACAGTTGCACCAATCTGAATACATAAAGAGGGTCATCGTCAATCGTTGAATTAAAAACTCTCCAAAATGTTATAGCACTCGTTAAGACGGGGTATCAAAGATGTGAGTTTAGGAAACTAGAATGCTTAATTTCGACTCAAAGAATATCAAGGAAGTTACAAAGATGTTATCTCGCTAACAAGCCTAGCGAGATGATTGTGATGAACAAGAAGAAAGAATTAAAGCGGGTGCAAAAGCCTAGTGATTCTAGATGATTTCGGATGCCTTTTCCCCAATGAGGGGTCTTCAATATATAGTGTTGATAGGTCGGCTGAAGCTGAATATCCTCCTTTGAGCGAGACGGAAAACTTTCGCGATATAGAAATCTTTCTTTTGTCCTTGACCTCTTTCCATTCCTTAAATATTCATGATGAATCTATTTATATTTTCTCATGAATTGTGTCTTTCTTCTCAAGTCTTGCCTTTTTGTTGAAGAGGTTAAGACTATAGTTGGATTGGGTCTCGTGACTTTACTAATGATGACGGATTCATGGAAATGTGCTAATTTCTTCTCTAACACAGAAAACAACAAAAAAAAAAGTTGAAAGAAGAAAAAATAATTTAATTTTCATTTTAATGCTCTCTTTACGACATATCTCGAGAGAAAATAAGTTAATAAATGTTTATTGAGATCTGTGTTCGATGAGTCGTTTTTTTTTTAAACATCTTTGGATTCCTCGGTCTCTTAAATTTTCTCATTCACCATTTGTTGTGATTTTCTCAGCTTTTTCTTTTCCGACATAAATATTTATTTTGTCCTTGTTAGAGAGAGCCAGGAAAATCTTGGCCATAGATTCATCATCTATTTACCTTTATCTTCTTTCTTCTTCTTCTCCTACTTTTGAATCTTCTTATATCTATCATATCAGTATCTCACTTCTCTTTTTCACTTTTGGGGGAAGCGCTTAGACCGGAGGAGTAGTTAGAGAGGGTAGAGACATAGAGAGAGAGAGAGAGATAAAGCTCTTCAAAGTCTCCGGCGTTTAACCGGAGCTCCGGCTACTCTCTGTCTTTTATTCCTCTCTCTCTTTACTCTTCTGTTCTTGAGTGTTTCTCTCCTTCATCAAGCTTGCATCTGCTGGTTCCTCCAGTGGTTGGTTTCTCCATTTACACAAGATTCCATGAGTTTAAGGCCTAAAAGGTAACTGGGTTTCTTAAAAGTTTTGATTTTTATAAGATTTTTCATAGTTTCTCTGTTCGAATCTAAACTAGGTTGTTTATTGAAAAACAGGACTAGTTCTGGCGTTAAATCTTTTGGAGGCTTTAGTATAAACCGACTTTTTCTGTTCTTGAGGCTTTTCTCTGGGAATCTTGAGAAGGGTTTTAGAGGGTTTGATAAAAATGGGTGAAACAAAGAAACGATCTTCCTTTCAAACCAGGAAACCCAGCAAGAAACCAAAGAAGAAGACTTTCCAGCTAAACCACCTCCCTGGTTTGTCTGAAGATTTGAAGACTATGAGAAAGATCAGATTCGTTGTGAATGATCCTTACGCTACTGACTACTCATCCAGCGAAGAAGACGAAATGATTCTTCAGAGAAAGAAACGTTACGTCTGTGAGATCGACCTTCCTTTCTCTCAAGCCACTGCTGCTCAAGCAGAATCTGCGAGCTCATATTGCCAGGAGAGTAGCAAAAAGGTTTTGAGCAGCAAAACCTTGAAAGTCGGTAGTGTCTCGACGAAGCCTGTTGGTGTTAGGCAGAGGAAATGGGGCAAATGGGCTGCTGAGATCAGACATCCAATCACCAAAACAAGAACTTGGTTAGGTACTTACGAGACTCTTGAACAAGCAGCCAATGCTTACGCTACTAAGAAGCTCGAGTTTGATGCTTTGGCTGCTGCTACTACTACTTCTGCTGCTTCCTCTGTTGTGTCTCCTTCAGATTCTGATTCTCTGGTCTCAGCCTCAGGCTCCAATGTTGAAGCTGTGTCAAGCATTGATCTTGACAAGAAGCTGTGTCAAGCTGGTGAATCAAAGAAATCATCTTTCGGTTTCGACTTTGCTGATCTACAGATTCCTGAAATGGGTTGCTTCATTGACGAGTCTTTGATTCCAAATGCTTGTGAGCTTGACTTTCTCTTGACAGAAGAGAACAACAACCTGTTAATGGATGATTACTGCGGCATAGATGATCTCAACTTCATGGGTCTTGAATGTGACGGTCCAAGCGAGCTTCCGGACTATGATTTCTCAGACGTGGAGATCGATCTTGGTCTCATTGGAACAACCATCGACAAGTTTGCATTCGCTACTACTACTACCACTCCTCTTAATATTGCGTGCCCATAAAGTTTTGCAGCTAGGTGTTATTATTAGCTTATAGGAGCAGAGTTACAAAAAGCTCTTTTTTGTTCGGTTATTTGTGTAAGTTATTAGGGTATAGCAGAGGCGGTTGATCTCAGGGGGAAGCAAGAACCCTAGATGAGAGAAGTTTTGTGTGTTGGTGTTACTAAAAAAGTTTTGTTTGACATAAGAGTTTTGATGTTGTGGAGGAGGAGATGAGAGGAGGTGAGGTTGAAACTGAAATCTTCAGGATGGTTTTTTTCTTGGAGGCAATTGTGTCTCATTTGGGTTTTTGATTCCAAGTGTGGGTTTTTTTGTCTTTGAGAAGCCTTTTAGATGTTTGCAGTTTTGTAAGCTCTCTCTCAATCTTTGTAAGTTTTGCCTGTTTAAGTTATTGATATGTATGTGAAACCTAGTTATTGTTTTATGTTACTTTGATGGTTTGTTCTTCTCTTTCTCAAGTCTTTAACAATGTTTCGTTTTGGTTGCATTTGGCTTGATTCCGAGCTCAAGACAAAACATTTGTTCTCTACAATCTCATGATTGTTTGGTTTCGTTTAAAATGAAGTGGTCATGACCTAAATGGGATTTTCGTAATCAGTAATCTTGATAATGTATGTGAAACCTAGTTTATCTTTTTAATTATGTTCTTCTTCTCTTCTCAAGTCTTTAACAATGTTCGTTTTGGTTGCATTTGGCTTGATTCTGAGCTCAAGACAAAACATTTGTTCTCTACAATCTCATGAGTGTTTGGTTTACAATGAAGTGGTCGTCTAAGTGAATTGTAAAACCTTGTGTTAGGGTTTAGGCTTATTTCCTTTGAATTAGTCCAGTAAAGTTTACTTAGAAAGTCTACACCAGAAACAAGTGGCGCAAAAAGCTAATGCTCTATTAATGGGTTTGGTTGATGATCATATTAACACCAATAATCACTGCTCTAATTGCGTTGGTTATTAATTCATTTCGGAAAGATTTTTTATAATAATTATCTTCTTTTCGTGAGAGAAAACCTTAGCGTAAGTTACAAGTCTTGCTAAAGATTTCTTAAACTTAATGTTTAAACTAGTTCCATCTTTAGTAGTATGAAGATTATCACTAGAACTGATTTAAGTTATTTTGTGTCAAGCGATCTCTCGTCTTCAGGATACAGCTGTATTGAATTATTTGTTTCGTTTTCGAGAAATTTAAACGAATTCTTAAGATAATAACAACTAAACAAAAACAATTCTTGAGATTAATTGAATCGAGAGAATAAGACATATGGTAGTTTACTACTTTTCTTTGGAGATTTTGAGATTTGACATGCTCGAGAGTCAATGTGTAATTTGGTTTTTGTTAAGTGGCTATTGGCAATTGTCATTATCCTTCAATGTAATTAAGATTTATCAAGACGTCGATATTATATAGTGATTTGGAAGTAAATGAATGAAATAAAAGTTTGGTATTTGCTTTTCTTCAAGCAATCAGCAGTGTAATTAATTAAAAAAAAAGGCTTCATATCTCAAGTTGTTCGATAGCCGACAGAAATGTGTTCACTAAATTAAGCCGTTTGAACAACACCGAAAGCCCAAGTTACATATCCATTTTCTTTCTACAATAAGCCAAGTCCATCAAAGGACCATTACAAGTCCAACATACTACAATATACTCACTCAAAAGTAATGTATTTGTGGTTAATTAGCGATTAGAAGGTAGTCAATAGTACTAGCAAGATCAAATTGTATTAAAGAAAAAATAAATTTCATGTAATTTGGTGGTTACTCAAAAGCAAAGATAGAGATCAAAATATGTTTCTGATATGTCATGTTCAGCTTTTGATTTTCACTTTTATGTAAATAAGGAATTTCATTTTATATCATTAGTTTCAGATTACTTCATGTCTTTGATTAGTTGCATCTTTTGTAATTCTCAACTACCACATCCAACAACTAAGGCCTTTTTTCGCCGTTTTTGACACGGTAGTGTAATCATATTAGTATTTGCAAATCAATTTTCGTGAATGGAGCCACCACGTTAACTCTCAGCCGCGGAATTACCAAGATGCCCTTAATGAAAATCTATTATTAAATCTTCTGAATTTCCTTTTTTAATTATTTCACAATTTCGTTTTTTATATAAAAGTTCATTATTTCCTTATTAATTTCCTTATTAAATATTGATAATTATCCTTTTTTTTTTCCTCGATTTATATTTATCACTTAAATAAATATCCTAACTATCATATTACCGCACCACTTTTCTGGAAGAAATCAAATAATTAGGTATTTTAAAAAAACTCTAGATTTTACAACCGACTTAGTCCTATTTAACAAGCAAAATAAACAGAATTTCGTTTCTTCTTTTTCGTGTTCTAAATTCTTCGATTCCATATTTCATCTTTTGTCATGTAGGTTTATAGTTATTGCTAGATCTTAGTTGTATTAGATCTAATGTTTAACTGATTATTCGTTATTTTCTGGAAATTTTATTCAAAGAATCGCATCTAACTTCTACTTCTTTTACCTTTATAACAGTAAATTCCAGGTTTGTTAGCTAATTGAGTCAAAGAAATCAACTATGGTACCAACTCAAAAAAAATGCATTGACAAAAATTAGTGGTATGTACATCTTTCGTTTTTATTTTCAACTTAAATCTTATGAAACCCTAATTTGAATAAACTTATCTAAAAAGATTTTGTAAAATGTGGGTTTAGGTGTGCGGATTGGGGGGGAGGGGGTTGTTATTTGGTAGTGGTGTTACAATGTGGGGTTTGGGTTATTTAGGGGGTGGTGTTACACTGTGGGTTTGGGTTTAGGGTGTAGGGTTTATATTGATGGGGTAGGGTTTAGTTTTTGGTGTATTTTAAAAAAACTTGAATTATTACAGAAGAATTTCATAATAAAAAAATCATTTATTTGAAATTTATATCTACTTTCAAAATTACATTCACAAATAGAAAAAAAAACTAAAACAACTAAAGAAAATCCAGAATTGAAAGATAACAAAACTAATAAATTTTTAAAAGACCTCAACTATATAAAGATAGAATCTATTTCAAAAATATTGAAAATTTTAACTATCGAAATGAATTGGTAGGTGATATGCAAGACACAAACAAGACATAATAGATACATAAGTAAAAGAAAAGAAAACAGTGAAAAAGAAGATGAAAAATTTAGAAAAGAAAAAGAAAAGTCGAACATGAGGAAAAAGAAAGGAAAGAAGAAATAATGGAATGTGAAGAAAATTCCAAAACAAATGAAGAATATTACGTAGAAGAACAAGAAAGAGAAGATAAAAATAAGACACCTCAAGATTACAAAAATAAGAAGTTTGCGAAAACAAAAACGATGAATACAATAAAAAGTTGTACTACTTATATTATTTAAATCTTTAATTAATAATTGTATTTAAAAAATATTGTACCCGCACAAGGTGCGGGACAACCACCTTGTTTTACAATTAATACAAGTTGTCTCCAAATTTTTGCAAGTTTTAGAATGGTTGAACCAACTTAAAGCTACTTAATTAAAAATGTTTCAAATTCTTACTGCAAATTTCGCAAATATGTCGGGGGTCGTTGATAAGTATTTATTAATTACCCATGATTTAATCTGTTTTAAAATGTTGCAATAGCGGTGAAGCCATGCCACATACCAGTACATATGCTTTTCTTCAAAGTCAAGATACGAGAAATGTGCATCGTTTGACCCCACCAAACAATCCCATGCTGGAGACTTAACATTCAAAGATCGTCAAATCCAATATATCATAGAAAAAAATGATATTTAAAACAAAAAGCTCTCCCAAACAAATTCATAGAAATTAATGTAAACGAGTTATAATTCTTAAAAGGTGAAACTTACTTTGATCAAAGGTTTACAAATTTTAAGACCAAAATAATATCACTAATATTTAAGATCCTATATAGAAAATTCATATAATATTTAATAATAGAGTTCAATAGTTTGGCTATGACTTTAAGATATACCTTTCACATGACATGACTTTCATGCGTCGAAACCAACTAAGACCAACCTTTTCTGCACATGTAAGTGTTTTATGGTAGCATTAATATAGGATAATATACATAATTATGATCTTCATGCCTGCATTTACGGCTAGATCTTGCTACATCTGTAATTAACTAATGAAAACAAAGTTGACAAATTTTTTCTAAACTTCGTTTTCTCTCGCACCGTCGAGTCGCTCTAGAATGGTAGCAATAGCATGATATTATGCGGTGCGTTTCACTTTTTTATTCCGCTACCGCACTTCAAGTATATTTCCACACAATATACCACATGTGTTTTGTTCCGTCTGCGAAACGTTTAAAGGCAAAAGAAAAATATGATGTGTGCACGGTTTTTGTTAAGCGTGAATAATGCCACGTTAACTTATTGTTATCAATTGCACAAAAAAAAAACTGATTGTTATCAACTTATGATAGATATTTGTTTTGAAAAAGCTATCGTTTCATTTTGTTAAAAAGTTGTGTACTGGCCATTACTTTGTGATTCGAGCATGTTACATGTTTGATGTTTGAAGTATTGATTTTCGTTTGTAAATTAAGTAGATAGGATATTGAATTTAGTAGGTGCGTTCAGGTCATGCATGTTTAATGTGTTTACATGGAGCAAAAACCACATAACGAAAATTCCATTTCATATATTTGACGGTGGAAAATAATGGGAAAACGGAGAATTTATTATTATTCCCGTCGGCAAAGTTGAAAATTGTGAATTTTACAGAGTAGAGAAACGCGTAAAGCTCAAAAAGATGATTATTCTATGAGTTGTAGAGAAACTCTACATTTTATCATATTTTATTACATGAAGTGGGCCCAGCCCAAGCCCATTATCCATAACATATATGTGCAAGTGAGAGGGAGACAAGAAACATCCATTGTGGTTTTTGATAGATAAAAGAAAAAACATTTTCGCTACAAAAGCGGCGTTGATTTTCCGATTTGGCGACAAGATTTTCAAAACTTCTCTCTCGTTTCGGGTTTTTTCTCCTTAAATCTTCTTTCGAGGAAGAATAAGAAGGAAAGGCAGTGAGAAATGGGTTTGGAGAAGAAAACGGCAATGCTGGAAGATTTGATAGAGAAATGCGGCGGTTGTGCGGTGCTCGACGGCGGTTTCGCAACCCAGCTCGAGATTCACGGCGCCGCCATTAACGACCCTTTGTGGAGTGCCGTTTCTCTCATCAGAGATCCTGAACTCATCAAGCGGGTTTGTTATTTTTTTCTGTGTTCTGTTTCTGTTTTGATTTCGAAAAATTCCGGTTTTATAAATTCTGTTTCTTCTCCGTTTCTGTAAATCGTTAGATTGAATATGAGATTTATGATTCGTATGATTCTTTGGTGAAGACGCAGATCTCTCAAGATAAATCATTGCTTTTTGTTTGTTAATCCGAAATTGCAAAATTTCTGTTTCTGTAGATTTGTAACGGATAGAGTTTTCTTTTGAAATATCAATTTAGGTTCACATGGAATATTTGGAGGCTGGTGCAGACATTGTGGTTACTTCATCTTATCAGGTAATAGAAGCAACCCAATTTTATTTTATTTTATTTTGTTTGTCTTCATTCTGCTTTCTTGTTTGACAATCTATCTAATTTCTTTCTTTTCCATCTTTTAAAGATCTAAGTTTCATTGTTCAAAAAAAAAAAAAAGATCTAAGTTTCAAAATCCTTTATTGTCATTTCTGGTTATTTGTAAGCTTTATTACAAAACCTCTTCTGCTTTTGTAGGGACACAAAGATACTTGTTTTTTTATATTTTTCAGTCTGATTTCACTCTGAAAATATTTCATTTTTTTCGAGCTTTTACCGGTTTTGTTTTCAGGCTACTATCCCAGGGTTTGTTTCAAGAGGATTATCCATGGAAGAGAGCGAGTCTCTGCTACAGAAGAGCGTGAAACTAACCGTTGAAGCTCGTGATAAATTCTGGGACAAAGTGAGCAAAGTTTCAGGACATAGCTACAACAGAGCTCTTGTAGCTGCTTCTATTGGAAGCTATGGAGCTTATCTCGCTGATGGCTCTGAATACAGGTGCATTTTGTAGAATCATTCAACATTTTATGCACATTACATTGTAGTTGTTCTCTGTTCATTCGTTGTTCTTGCTTGCAGTGGAAACTATGGAGAGAACGTAGATTTGGATAAGCTAAAAGACTTCCACAGGAGAAGACTTCAGGTCCTAGTGGAAGCTGGTCCTGATCTTCTTGCTTTCGAAACCATACCTAACAAACTCGAGGCTCAGGTTCGTGTTTGTCCACTTCTAATCTTGAAACTATATGTTTGTGTGTTATCAGTCTCTTTAACATCGCCGATATCTCAGGCGTGCGTTGAGCTTTTGGAGGAAGAGAATGTGCAGATCCCGGCATGGATCTGCTTCACATCTGTAGATGGTGAGAAAGCTGCATCAGGAGAGAGCTTTGAAGAATGTCTCGAAGCTCTTAACAAAAGCAACAATGTTTACGCGGTTGGTATAAACTGTGCACCTCCTCAATTCATCGAAAGCCTGATTCGTAAATTCTCAGAGGTAAAAAGAATTCAAAAGTGTAAAACTTTGTTGCATTGTGTCGCAAAGTGAAGACCTTTTTATGTTTCTTACTATCATTGTCGTTTTCCTAATTTCAGCTGACCAAGAAAGCAATCGTTGTTTACCCTAATAGTGGAGAGGTTTGGGACGGAAAAGCGAAGAAATGGCTGGTATGTTTGAACAAATTTTACAATTTAGGTTAAGAGATTGAGTGGATATAAAGTTACATTCTTGAATATGATATCTACATTCGATTAGGAAGTGATTGTAATGATTTTTGGGTTAAATTTTTGGCAGCCATCGCAGTGCTTTGGGGATGATGAGTTTGAGATGTTTGCAACGAAATGGCGTGACCTTGGAGCTAAGCTGATAGGAGGATGTTGCAGGACTACACCTTCCACTATTAGAGCGATCTGCAGGGATTTGAAACGGAGATGAGTTTTTATGAGGGAGAAGATTTGAAGATTTCTTTCTACTTCTTAAGTTGATTATTGACGACCATTGCTTAGGTTACTTTTTCCTATCTGTGTACTGTTGTTTTCTTGCGTTTCACGTTTCCTTTGTTATCTAAAGATACGTTTATGGATTCGTAAACTAGGCCTTGGGCCTTTTCATATAACGGGCCCATCAAGGTTTTCTGCTGTTTAATTTAGTCCGGGTAATTTTGAATCTCTGATTCAAGTAAATGTTGGGTTAAATTGTTTGTGTTATCGTAAAAACTGAGAGAAAAATATGATCTAGTGTGTCGGCGTCACTTATGGTGTTTTTGTACTTTTTGTATTTTAATGTTGATATCGTCAATCAATTTGTTTTTCTTCATGTGATTGAAATTGCGACTATTGCTGTATTGCATTTAAGCAAAAACTGAGTTTTCTCTGCATATATTTTTTGGCTGTTTTTTTTGTTTTGGTTTATATACTTTGACTTACGAAAAATTCAAGACTTTCCCTAAAATTAAATTTTATATTTAAAAAAAAAAACCCACCGTACATCAAATATAATAAAAGCAAACATATATTATATATACCAGGTTCATATTTTTTCTTAACTTTTTGAGGTAAGACAAGTACAATACTTACATGAGTCTTCGAGATATCGACCGACTTTATCATAAACGAAGTTCGAAGAAATAAATACTCATACAAATAAGTATAGTATCCAATGTGTTTATGTGGTAATAAATAAAACTGACTTATTCAGATATGAACATTGGGTAATTTACATTTTTACTGAATGAATTAATAGTCAACGAGATTCTGAAAGCCAAATAGAAAGGGACAAAGCGAAGACATGAAAGCCCCTTCGCCGCATATTACGTGGCGCTTCACACATTGGTTTCTCTGTCTCTCATAAAACACCCAAATTCGAGACCTCTTTTTCCTAAAAAATATTCTTATTTATTTTACAAACTCTTTAGTACGAGTTTTTTAAATATATAAATGCTTGACTTCGTAGTCACTAGAATACAATCAAGTAGAAATAAAATGGAAGAATTTCGGAAACTGCAAGTCTTGCATAATGAGGAAATGAATGCATAGATGGATGATAGAGCTGGTTTTGAACTTTTGGCTAACTTTTAAAAGAAAAATGGCACTAAAGTAATTCGTAATACCAAAAGATGGTACTATAAGCATTTTCATCTAAACACATTGTCTCTTTTCTTTTTTTTTGGGGTCAACTTCTAAAAACTTTTGAGAGAACCATAATTTGTTTTAATAAGTATTCGATACTTAAAAAAAAAAGTATTCGATACTTTTCAGAATATATGAAAACAAATATACCAGTCGGCAGTCGCTGAAGAAGCTTTCTAAAACTTTTAAAAACCCTTCATATCTTTTTTTTTTTGTGGTATTTTTTGTTCAAATTTTTGAAAAGAGTTTAGATTGATATTATGAAGAATTTAGCTTTCTATACACTGGTTGAAATAAAAGATTACAAAGAATTACATGAACTCATATACTTAAGCTTCGGAAAAAAGTGCATTTCAAGATTTCAGATATTGTCCATCGTTGTAATTTGAATTAGTCCTGTTTTGGATTGGATTATTAGCGTGTATACTGTAATTATCTATTCTTGTCTTGTGGATGATAAATTAAAGATTAATGATTATCCACACCATGTCACCACATGAGTATAAAAACTACTAGATCAAATATACATAGAATATGATTACTCGTGGATTTAAACAAAACTGTTTTATGATTTAATTTGTCGTAAGTTTTAGTAGGTCACGTGGATTTCAGTTTTACATTTTTCCATGAAACTTTTAATTTGGTCATTGCAGTCGATTACAAGCTGTATCCATTTGATCTTATTAAGAAATTGGTACAATGGAATAAATATACTGTGAAAGAATAATTCCAAACGCTACCGTCCACACCATTTATTTTATTTTACTTCATTTACCATTTCGTGACTGTAACAAACAATCTCAGATCTCTCGTGTCAATAACTTTGCATCTAGTCCGCGAATCCCAATGGTAATAAACTATTTTTGCTTTCTACCAAGATATACCTATAAGTTAATCATCCATTGACGCTTTTCTGTAATGGTTAAACAAATGTATTGATTTTGATCTTTGTCAGTAGAACATTTAGCAGCGTGACCATTTTACACGTAAAATTTTTGGGTTTTCGTTAACTGGTTATAATAATAACTAGTATTTGTAACTCTGATATTTACAAATCTAGTGGTAAGAGAATTTATATGCTGTTTTGTAACTTTCCAATAATTTGGAAGTTTATCGGTTTTACATAAACTTGATAGTAACATTTGGAAGTTTATCGGTTTTGGGGTTACATTTGATAGATTGTGATATGCTGAAGTGAAACATTTGTATTTATCAAAAACTATGCTATATTTCAAACTCATTTACCTATACTAGTATTTGTGTTAATACGACCATACTATGAGTCTGCCACTGTTTATTTTACACGTAAATAGACAAAATTGACTCTATAGCCTAGGTTAGGGGAAAAGCAAAAGCTTTTGGATTGGTCAGTCGTAAAAGTAACAGCCTTTTATGACTTATATACAACAGTCAACACCACGATTCCTGCTAAAATGTCAACTAATCTGACGGCCGTTATACTTTCTATATGCACAATGTTTCATATTGCTCCCCAAATTTTCTTGTTAGTGCACATAATTAGCTAAATTAAATAACATTTGAAAGTTTTTTTCTTCTATTTCCCGGGCCATGCAATTGTAAATAGCTAAATTTACAAGAATGTAAATCACACAAAACATTCTGATATCATAAAAAAGAAACAACTGTCTCTCTCACATGTATATCTATTAGTGTACAACTTGGAGCATAAATTTAAACTTTTGACCAATGATATTTATGCATTAATTTGATTCGCTTAAAAATGTAAATGAATGTATATGCCTTCATCAGAGATGACGAGTACCAAGAAGAAATGATCAAAAGTTTCATTTTTAAAATCAGGTCCTGTCTAAAAATGAATTAAAACAAAAAAATACGCAGAATCAGAATGCAGAAACGCAATACAATCATGTAGTAATAGATTGACATGGACACATGGTAAATACATTTGTGAAAAAGGATTATAGATCAGTGATTAAAATCTCCAAAATAACCTCGTTTTTCCCTTACATTAAAGAGAAAAACGTGGGTATTTTGGGTAAAAACACTACTTGATAGATAATCAACAAGCACAAGGAAATTCAATAAAAATATAAACGAAGAAAGCCATCAAGAAACTGCTTCTACTAGTTATGGAGAGGATCTGGACAACTTGGCACCGTTCTTTTACTGTCACTGAGCCCTTTCCCCACTAAAGAATCCACCGGAGGAAATTTTCCGGCGCCGAAGTACTTCTTCATTAGAGCTTCTTGGTCATAAACCGGAGCCGGAGAGATCGCCGTTGACGGATTTTCTGGAAATACCCGAATTGCCCCTATCCGAGAATTCACACAGAAGGGGTGGAGTAGAGAAGAAAGCAAGATCACCGTTAACAGAGAGGAGCTTCTCCATTCTTGAGCATGAGTCATATCCCAAACCTAAACCCTAACATAAAGTTGTCTTCTTTATTAGACCCTAATCATCGATTTTATCTCTCTCTCTCTTCTCTCTTTCTCTCCTCTCTGTCTCTCTTCTCTGGGATAGATCTATATCTTCTTTGACTATTATATCTGATATTGAGAGAGAGAAAGAACGAGGGAGAGAGAGAGATAGAGAAAGATTTGAAGTTTTGTTTTGTTAGAAGAGGAATGGCTTTCATGCAAATATGAATGGCCCACGTGAATGTATGTATATAAATACAAGACAAGATCTGAAAATTTCTTAATTTAGATTTTTTTTATAGTTTTGTTACTAGTACATATGTCACACATAATTATGATAAATAGTTGTATGGTACTATTACTGATGTGTAATTGTGTATGTATTATTTATGTACCAGCTTATATGATATACTAAAACAACTTAATTATCTTTGTAGTGCCAATAATCACATACATAGATTTACAATTAGATTCCATTTCTTATTTTACAAATGTTTTTTTTTTAATTTACAAATGTTACCTTTTGAAAAAATTAAATGAATATATACTAGTACTATAGTTTAGATATTCTTTTAGACCGACGGGAAAAGAGAAATTTCAGTAATTGAATAAATGCACCACCCACCAACGTACTTACCCTTTTTTGGTATGAAATTCAAAATGTTGTCGTTTTGGAATTGCTTTACCTAAGACATAGGATCGGTTTACTTTAGAACAGCTGATGTAATAAATTAAGTGCAGTTATAGAATGACCAAAATAATATATATGTACGAAACTATGAAGTTAAAGGTATTTGAATTTTGATCACTTGATAAATTTCAAAACCTTGTCTGATAACGTTTACAAAATTAAAAATACAAACAAAGAAAACTGTCTAGTAACGTTTGTTTCTAGAGAAAGAAAATAGTGATGAATACGTTAATGGTTTTGTTGTCCAGTACAACACAAAATGTTGGTTTGGACTTTGGATGTTTGAGATGAGTTTGGAAAAAGGTTGTCGTTTTATTAACCGCACTTTGCTGTTTTGTGTTTGTTCCGTTTCCTCTTTACTTTCGTCTCTTCTTCTTGCCTTCTTCTCCCATCTTCCTCTTCGTGTAAGAAACAGAAGATCCCATCATCATTACGTGACTACAAAGTGTTTTCGTATTTTTCCTTGTGAAAAAAATCTGCAACTAAAGCATAGTTAACCCAAACTAATTTATATGAATAAAACTTTATGATTATATATAGAGATATGGAGGAACAATAGACAATATTTACACATCTCAGTAAACCCTTTTTTGGAAAATATCAATATATAAAAAAATCTACAACAAAAAAAAGCAGAGTCACAAGGTTACACATTTTATTACGTCTTCAGACTTCAGATAAGAATGGGGGATTTTTATATGCCAAATGTACACACTCGAGTGGTTCAATAGTAGCAAATAAATCATGCTCATTTTTTTCTTATTGGTAAATATTAAAAAGATGCATGTTTGTATAAAAATAGCCGACGGTTAATAATTTAATGAAATATAATTGGTACGAAATCTCAAAACATCCCACATCGGAAAGCGTGAAACGGTAAAGGTTATTTATAAACGGAAGAAGAGGATACTACTATGTTCGCTGGGCTCAGTTGCGTGGGCTTGTAACTCCAGTGAGGGCTAAACGGTAATTGGAACGGGGCTGGTTAGGTCCAGGCGGTCGGGCTCAGGCTGGGTTTTCACCGACTCGCCCGATCCAAGCCAGGAGCTGTGCCAAGTGGTTTGAGCGAAGGCTCGGGCCACGTGGCTCTTAGAGTGGAAGGCATTGCGTGAGGCTGGATTCACAGAGCAGCGAATACTTCCCGTTTCTGGCAGTGGGTCGGATCCGTTTGGGCTCGCTATGATCTCATGGGCCTTACTCAGTCGGACCAATTACCTTTTAGATTTTTTCACCATATGTTCTCTTAAAAGGAAAGATCCAACTTCATAACCCAACCAGTGGGCAACATCAGAGTTATAAACGCAATACGTTGTGTTAAATATTGGGTCTTGGATAAATTTTTGTTTTTCCCTGCCATGAAGAAGAAATGAAAAGAAAATAAAACGTCAAAATGTCAACACATGTGACATGATTGCAGAGAGAGTTATTCGCCCAATCAAAGCTATCATGTGACATGTCCCATCCACTTAAAACACTTCTCGTAATAGTCATTGCTTACTTACTAGTCACAATGAATAGATGACCAATGGGCTAATCACGGATTCAAAATTATAATTCGAATCTGACCCCGAAACTCTCTACCCGTAACTTGTTAGCTTTCGTTATTTTTAGCATAACTTTTTAACGAGAAACATCAATTGTATGTGTCCACATTATTTTCTTACAAACGAACATTATTTACGTAATAATAATTAGTTTTAAAACTTTATATAAAGTGATCTTATCATTACTTTGCATAATAACTAAATCAAGCTTGATTTTTTTTTTTTTAAAGATCTCCAAAAAGAGTAATTTAGTCAAATTTAGCTTTACCATTATTAAAAAGAAAATAATCCAATAAAATAAAATATGTTATACAAAATTAAGACATATATCCATTGTTAGAAAAAAGTATATTTAGAAGATAAATGTGGACAAATAACTTTGTAACGTTTGTTATTATGGTGATGATTGGTTCTCCCGCTACCACCCGCAAACGCAGCGTTTGCGGTTCGTAGCGGTTCTTAGCGTTTTATAACAATCACGACAACCGCTTTCAACCGCTCTATACCACTCTGTACCGCTCTATATCGCTGGAAATCAAAAGCTCCTTTCCGCAAGCGTTTGCGGTTGCGGGCGGTTGCGGTTTGAAAAAAAAAAAAAAAACATAATATCTCCAAATTTGGAATAAGGGTATATTTTTTTGAAAAATACCATAATTATGTTTAAAAATTTCGAAAATACCCTAATTTTTTCTGTTTTGAAAAATACACTTTTAAAATGTAAAAAGTATGTTTTGACGTGATTTAAACAAAAAATAATAAATAATTACAAATTAAAACGAAAATTAAAAAATAATAAATTAATAAGTTTTTTTTCAATAAATACAGTATATGTTAAATTGAAACAAATTTTAATATTTTGGATCTTTATATAAACAACTTAACCTCATACACATTCCAACCAAATGAAACTTTAAATAAATTAAAACTTTACATATATTTAAAGTTTATAAATTATTAAAAATTTAAAAAGTGGAGAAATATATCTTTCATTTTTAATGTTTATCTTTGAAAAATTTAAATATTTTTGAAACTTATATAAACAACTTTAATCTCACCCCATTTAAACTTTATATAAACAATCTTATATTTTTATTATTGTTTAAAAAAAAACTAAACAGGTAATTAGGATGGTTTAGTATGTTAAAATGATACAAAATTATTATCAAATCTTAATATTTTATATTTCTTATTTGAATTTCAAATTAGGAATAATCATTTTACATATAAAAAGTGTATTTTTCAAAACCAAAAAAAATAAGGGTAGTTTTCAAATTAAAAATTCATCAAAAAATATATTTAAAAAAAATCTATTAATAATATGGTTATAAATGTTTTGAATAATTATATATTATTTTATTTTAGTAACTTTTGGTTAAACCGCTCTTGCACCCGCTGGCTAACCAGTCAAAAATATCCCGCAAACGCAACCGCTATGAATTGCTATACCAGTCGTACAAACAGCTTTTAATCGCAAACTCCCGCTTCCGCAAACTCCCGCAACCGCAAACTCCCGCAACCGCAACCGCAGCGTTTAAACCAGTCAGGCCCTATGTCTTGAGCTGTACATAAACCATATGTCCAATTTTGTTGTCTTGTTCATGCTTTTTTCTTCCCTTAAATATATTTCCCCAATACACCGAATATCTTTATTTCTTGATTTGCCAAATTATTTGGTATAATTATATCGAGAAAAATAAAGAGAAAAAAAGAAAAAGTAAAGTAGCCGCCTCATCTTCCTCGTCTCGCCTCGTTGGCTCTCTCTATGGAGAGCCCGATTTAGGGTTTCGTTTGATTTATCAATTCACCCGTTAATCTCCACAAAGCTCTGCACAATTCCGGTAATCCCATCTTCTTCTTCTCTGCTCTTTCTCACTCTGTCTTCATCATTTCGGTTTTTAGGGTTTTTTTAGCACATTAGTGTTGATCCACATCTTCTAGCTGTATGATTTCGTATTGATCCAGACTCTGGTTTAGGGGATTAGAGAGATGTATGATTCGATTCGAAAAAGGTCGAAACTTTTTTGTTTTCCTTGTGCTGTAACAAGTTGTTGTAGGATGATTTAGACTTCCTCTAGCTTCTATTCCATGATTTGAAAGAACAAAACTTCAATCTATTGATCCGATTGAAGTTTAATCCGTTTGCAATCTGTATATATGACTTATGGTTTCTCAAGATCGTTGTTTTGCACAATTTTATTGCTCTTCTACACGAAGTAGCTCCATAACACTGATTTTAAGCTATTTCACGATATAACTTGTTCTTCTTCCTTACAATCTCTTTACTTTTATTATCAAAATACGAACTTTAGTTTGATGTTATCTCTTATAAGAAGTTTTGATCTATTGCAGGTTTTGGTTTGCATCTCATCAAGGAGCTTAAAAGAGATTTATTAATCAGATATTTGCTTGTGCTTAGATATAGACCATGCCGAAAGAGAGGAAAGACCGCTCTGTAACTCATGAAAGGTATAGAAAATCGCCTCTGTGTTGTGAGTCAAGCCGTGCTCTGAAGCCAAGTGATAAACAGGTTAAGGAATGGGAAGAAGCTCGTTGTCCCGTCTGTATGGAACATCCTCACAATGGGATCCTTCTCATTTGTTCTTCCTACGAAAACGGTTGCAGGCCTTACATGTGTGACACTAGCCACCGCCACTCTAACTGTTTCGATCAGTACCGCAAAGCTTCTAAAGAGACAGAGGAAACTAATGCACCAATTGGAACAGAAGATGTAGCTTCAGAGGTTGTATCTGAGTCAAGAGAAGGTGAGGTTGTAGAAGAAGTAGAAGGAGAAGGCATTGTTGCAACGGAGGAGGAGGATCAAGAGAACGCCAAATCAAAGCTTACTTGTCCGTTGTGCCGTGGACATATAAAAGAGTGGGTGGTTGAGGAACCTGCTCGGTGTTTCATGAACGCAAAACACAGAAGCTGTTCTTCAGAGACTTGTGAATACAGTGGAACGTATTCCGATCTGAGAAAGCACGCAAGGCTTCAGCATCCAGGAGTGAGGCCATCAGAAGCAGATCCAGAGAGGCAGAGAAGCTGGAGGAGGCTAGAAAGGCAGAGAGACTTGGGAGATTTGCTGAGCACGCTGCAATCTTCTTTTGGTGGTGGTGGTGAAGAAAGAAGTAGCAACGACGAAGGGATACTATCGTTTGAAGATGGTGGTTGGCTTACAGTGTTCTTCCTCATCCGAGTGTTTAGACCAGAGTCGTCGAGTGGCTCAAGGAGGAGTAGTAGCTGGTCAGGTACATCTAGAGCTAGGTCACAGATAGGTGTGAGAAGAAGGTCTTCAAGGCTTTGGGGAGAGAGCTATGAAGGTGATACAGGAGGAACATCATCTAGAGATGAAGAGATTAACCAGTCTTCTGATGAACAAGAGTCTGGTGCTCGTAGGCGTCGTGTGAGAAGAAGATTCTTCATTGAAGATGATGACGATGAAGAAGAAGAAGAAACGTGATGCATCTCAAAGTCTACAGTTTGGTGTTTTATGGAAAAAGATAATGGGGGAAACTTTGTAGTAATAACCCCTCTTGTGAAACCCTATTCTGTAAAATTTCGTTGGAGATTGAAAAAAAAGTTCACATTGAGGAACGAAATATTCAATAATTTATAACGTTTACAAAAACTCTAAATTCTGATAATGACACTTTAACAACAAAATGTTAAATCTCTTCACCATACAAAAAGACATAAGGAATTGTAATCAACACTTCTCATAGACAATTATCTCTGCAGCTTTACAACATTAGAGAACTTGAAAATGAAAAAAGTTTCAAGGAGAAGCAGCTGGCTCTGAAGCTGCTGCTTCTGCTGCTGCAGCTCTCTTCTTGGCAAAGTACTCATCTGCTCGAGCGAGGTTCTTAGCAACCGATGGCTTAACCCATTTCTTTCTTCCGGGCAACACAGTGAGTGTACAACCTGAACCTTCAAGCTTCTCTTTCGCTGCTGTTGAGAAAGCCCGAGCTTTGAAGTTGAGCTTCACGCTTATTTCTCCAGTACCAAGAATCTGTAATCCAACGACCAATCAAAGCGTTTTAAACAGAGAATCTGAATGCATGATTCGAAAGTGAAGCAAGCCAGATTATACTTTGTATCAGGTAACTAACTAACCTTTAGAGGGAGCTTCCTTTCTCTTCCTGAAGGATTGATCAAACCCTTTTGCTTCAATGTCTCCAATGACACTTCATCTCCATCTTCAAATCCAGCTGTTTCGATGTCTTTGATATTAACCGGTACGTACTTTGGTAATCCCGAACGCATACCTGTTCAAAGAACACAGCAACGCAGTGGATGCATCAGGAAACTAAACGAGTACATGGTTCAAGGATAGATCTTTCTTTCAAAGTTGACTAGCTAAGAAACATCTCTATATTCTAACTACAATCTTGATCATTGGCTCTCAATTCTTGCCTTTGAGGCACCATGACCCTCTCTTACTACGATTTACATAGCGAATATACAAAACAAATCTGCAATAACCGAATAAACTGCAAGAAGCATCACTAAATCAAACAGAGTCTATGACTGAGACATTCCATCGAACACTTAGTCCACACAAAAATTCGATTTTTCGGATAACACTAACAACAAAACCCAAATTTGATTACCTCCGGCGATTCCTCTAAGTTTCGGAAGACGGCGATACAGAGCGGTTTGGCCTCCTTCGAAGCCTCTCATAATACCAGGACCCGATCGTGATTTCTGTCCTCGCATCCCGAAACCACAACTCGCTCCTTGTCCTGCAGATATACCTCGACCCTTTCTCTTCGCCCTTTTTCTCGAACCAGGCTGAGGTCCGAGATTATCCAGACGGAATCTCTCCGGAGCTACAGCTTCCGACGACGAAGACGAAGCCGCCGTTACAACAAGCCGTCTCGCGACTTGCTGCTGCTGTTGCGTTCCCGTTCTACGCTTGCAGTGGAGTCTCAGAGAAAGAATCTGACATGGGTTTGCTCCCAATACGCTTACATTTCCCTGAGATATTTCAAATTTTTGTTGAAATTTCAGATGACTCAATTTCCCGGATTTCAGCTGCGATTGTGTGAATTTGTTAAACATACGTAGACGGAAAAGAGAAGAGAAATACCTTGAATGAAGTGGAAGGGAAGTAGAGACGGTGACATTGGCGAGAGATGAGAGGATTTGACGAGAGAGAGTGAGGAACAGCCATGGAGAGCACAGCAGATGAAAAAGCTTCAAGGATAAGGATGACGATGGATAAAGAGAGAGAACTTTCATTTGCCTGAGAAACTCTAATTTAAAACGACGCGTTTCGTTGTGGGCATAACAATAAATTGTTAAATGGGCCTTATATTCATTCAAGCCCAACTTAATTTAAACAAGATCCACTTTTTATTCGATAGCGGTTACTAGATCTTCTCAATGACAGCTGTCAGCTATCTATTACCGATATATAAGTTTTTTTTTCCCAGAGCGATTCACATAATTCGTTCCATGTCTCAAATCTCTCGCTCGCTCTCTCTCTCGTTCCTCGATCGATTTCTTTGAAGCGATGGCGAGTTTTCTTCAGCGGCGATCATCATCATCACAAGGTTTGTTTATTTATCCTTCTTCGCTGAATTATTTAGATTCTATGTCGATTATGTTTTCCAGCAATATGTCGATTATGTTTTCCAGCAATCGCTAAACCCCTCTTTTGAATGATTTTTTTCTTTGATTTGGGGGTTTTCGATCTCTATAATTGTGATTTTCGTAGATTTTGAACCAGTCTGTTTCTAGATTCGGATTTCGATTCGTTTTTATATGAAGCATATGTCTTAGGTTGATCTGATTTCAAAATTCCACACAGTTTTTTACCGTTTTGATTTGCAAATTAGGGTTTCTGTTTAATTTATGATTCTGCTAATCAAAATCGCTCTTTTCGATTAAACGTATTCTTCGTGTTGAGAGTTTTTACTTTCGTGATTGGATTTTTCTTAGATTCGAAACCTTCCTTTTCTGATTCGGATTTTCGATTAATTTTTGTTTTCTTCCGCAAAACAAAAAACCCTCTTTTGTCGATGCGTGCTTACATCTTAGGGTTTCTATTTTCACTGTTGTTACAAATTTGGGTTTTTGAAACCAAAAGCCCTACTTTTTTTCTCGTTCTTTGAAATTGACGTATTTGTCTTCTCGTTTTTTTGCAGATTGGGCTTAATCACACCCGTACAACTGGTGTTGCAAGGAATCAAAAACCCAAAAGAAATTGGAGCTTGATCACACCCGTACAACTGGTGTTGCAAGGAATCAAAAACCCAAAAGAAATTGGACGGCGCATTACATTATTGTGGTCAGTCCGGTTTCTACTTGGGAACATTTGCCCCAATGTTGCCTAAGTAAGCACAAGCAAGATTTGCTTGATGCGTAACTAATAGCTTGTCAAAAAGGATGTCCCGAGGTTGGTATGAAATTCATTGTTCTGCTGGGATATGAGATTCGATATTCTGCTGGGATATGACATTCATTGTTCTGCTGGGATTATGACTAAATGTCAAAGGAAAAACTTGTCCCATGTTCCAAGGTTCAGTTTCTGCTGGGAAGGAATGGTCAAGAATGTCCCAAAAATTCATTGATCTTGCTATATTTGGGACAATAAGATGAAAAAAAAAAGTTGAAGAATGTCCCAAAACTTCATATATCTTGCTATATTTGGGACAAAATAAGATGAAAAGGAAAGTTCAAGCTTCTGCATAAAGTAAAGATTTTACTGAGCTGGGACAGTAAGAAACTATATTTGGTTATATTTGGTTGCCTCTGATAAGTCTTGTGGAAAAACTGATATTCAATATTCTGCGGAGGTGAATGTGTCCTTGAACAAGAACCATTTTAAGAATGTTCGATTGAGAAAATCCTCCAAAAACTCTAAAGTTAAAGTTTCTGCATAACAGTACAGAGTATACATCTCGCTTAACCAGAAGGAACATGATGGATCTAACAACTAACGATGTCCACATGTGTCTGAAATTCAAGTATCTGCATAAGCAAGCAAAATCTTGCTAGGCTTGGGATACTTCAATACTCTGCAATGGTCATGTCCCGAGAATGATAGATTTCAATACTCTGCAATGATCATGTCCCGAGAATGATAGATTCAGTGGAAAAATTCAAGTGTTGGATTGATAAACAAAAAATCACTGAAAAATGGTTTGAGATAAGACCTATGACCAATCCAATGTTGCAGTACTGTCGCAAAAGCAAAGAGAGAGAAACATTGGGACATCAGAGATGAGCTCTCAAGAGGAAACTGAGAGAAAAATACCATCTTTATGGTCAAGTGGCAATGCCTAAAGCATCACAAACTCGTCATCTCTATCTTCTTACACACGTGGAGGAATTACTAAGACACACAATAAAAGCCACACATCACCAACCACAAAGACTTGCCTGGAAACAAAACTGTCCCAAAGAAGACTTTCAGTTTCTGCTCAAAATGTCTTGTTGTCTTTAGACAACATGATATGCAATTCAAAAACTCTGCATACTAAAGATATTCGATATTATGCATATTGAAGGGGAAATAAAAATGTTCTGTAATGATAAGAATTGTTCTTAAGACATCATAAAGTAGGGAAAATTTTCAGTACTGTCGCAAAATTTCTTAAATTCAAATCTCTGCATAACAAAGCTGGATACAGAATCTGAAAGTTATGAACTTCAGAACCAGTTAAAAAAAAAAGACTCAGCAATATTCAAGTCTTCTGCATATTGATTGGAGACATTAGTCTGAATAAGGAGGCTTGTCGAATAATGTCCCAAAGAATTGACAAACTTTAGTGCTCTGCATTTGTCCCAAAAGCAAATTGACAAACTTTAGTACTCTGCTTAAGAATGAGAAATCATATTCTCATAGAAAGGCTCTGCTAGAAAGGAATACGAATGAAGTTCCAATATTGGAGACAATTCAATATTCTGCATAAGCTACTTAGATCTTTGCCTTGTCAAAAGATCAAGAAATTCAAGCCTCTGCATAAATTTGATAACTTAAGATCTACGGATGGTCCCAGAGTTTATAAACTGCAAGTTTCTGCGCAAGTTTTTGGCGAAATTCAAGTGTCTGCACGCATAAACTTTCTCATGCTAAGCTTGGGACTAGTCTGAAAGTCATAACTTTCAGAACCCATATCAGTTAAGAAAAAAAAGAGTCAACAAAGGAAAAGTTCATTTCGAATAAATGTCCCAAGAATGACAAAATTCAATCCTCTGCTGGGACAGGATAATCATCAATATTCAGGCTTCTGCATTTCTCAAATTGTGACTTAAGAATGAGAAATCAAATTCTTATAACAAGGCAACATGATATATGCCTTTGAAAATGAAAATGCTTGTCGAATGATATCTCAGGATATAAAAATCTCAAGTTATAGCATAAGACTCTAATATCTTGAGTTGGGATTTGCATGATCTATTCATTTTTCTGCCTAGATCATCGCCTTGGAAATTCAGGCTTCTGCTTATACAGCCTCTCGATCTTGTTGAAGTATGGCTCAAGATTGGGAGATTCAAGTTATCTGCACAGAGACTCTCTATGTCGTGTTATTATGTTAGGACAACATAACTATATGATGATTCAATACTCTGCAAACACACGGAGAAATTCAATATTCTGCATTATAATATAAGGGAGATTCAAGGTTTTTGCTTGTCTAAGGACATACTAAAGTGGAGAAAATTCAATTACTGTATCTGCTTAAACATGATAGGAGATAACCTTTAATAAGGATGATTGGATGATGTCTCAAAATTGGTCTGATTGGTAGAATAAACCAGGTAAGGCAGTTATATATGTTTGCATTTGGTCTAGCAGCAAAGGTAAGTTCTTTTATTTTAATGTACATCTCTTGCTTCACTGTGTTGTTCAAACCATATCTTTTACTGACTCTTTCTTAACAGGGCAATCAAAGTGTTACAGAAAAATCTACATCTTTCTCTGCTTTTGATCAGGTAAACGTCTCTTACATCCTTAAAAGTTAAAACTAAGTTTGTGATTATCTTGAATGACTCCATCCTTTTTACCACGTAAAGTCTTTTACAAGTATTAGTTATTAGCTAATTGTTTGAGCTTCAGAAGACCAAGAAGTGGAGTAGGTACAAATACAATGATCTGTCTCAGGTTTTACTTCTCTCTCACTCTCTCTCCCTCGGTTTCTGGACGTTAATGATATTCATTAAAACTTTCCGCATTTCAGGACATAGAAGGGCAAAGATAAACAGATGGATCGTTTCTCTGGAAGAATCCAGAACTCAGACCAAGCGTAGGCCCAATTTTGTGGCATTTTGTGATCTTTTACCTCTGAGCTCTTAACATTTCTCTACTTCTGTCTAGCCTTCTGATCTTCTCAGACAGCCTCTGCTTCGGCCCTACGTTCAAAAGGTTCTTCTCATGCTGAGCTATCGGGGACATGATACCAGAATCTGAATCTGCAAGGAGAAAAAGCTATTCTGAGCAGAGAAGGATAAAAGCTTTGGTCCAAGTACGTGCTCTTCTTTCTATTGCTTCTCAGTATTCAAATAGTAATTAGTTTGTTGGCTGCGTTTGATTTTTGTAGAGTAGCAAGAGCTGTTTAAGGTTTGAGTTAGAGACCGAAAGACTTTTCCTTTTAAATTGGTTTCTCAGATTTTGTTACAGAAAAGCTCGTAGAATGTTCATGAAGCTCATATGCTAGAACGGTATGTTGTGAACTATACATCTCATGATTGTTTAACATCATATAGTTGTGATCTAAAACTCATACTATGTTGAATCTTAAATTGTTATGAACAACCCTTTCTCGTAACAGGCACTTCCATTTGTTGCATTTCAATCAAAACTTCAAAAGCCTTGCAGCTTTGTGCTAGAGTATCAACTGAATCAGAATACATGAGAAAGGCTCTATGTGTATGCAGGTGACTAATCTTTTGGAAGTTGTTGTCTCTGTAGTTGCATATTATGAATGAGATTGTAATTTTTATCAAAAAAAAAAAAAAAAAAAAAGAGACTGTAATTGTCTACTCTTTGATTGAAATCACCACACTATAAAGTTGACTCGATTTGCAGGCTCGCTCTAGAAATCTTGGAAATAGAAGTTAAAGGATCAACAGATCAAGAACCGCAAATTCCCGTTAAAGGATCAACAGATCAGATCATGTGGTTAGTATTTTGACTCTCCCTACTTTACTCACTTCACTTCCTGACAACGCAAATATCAAGGGATCCATAGAAAATCATGGTCTGAATCCCAACATTTGTATAAGTCTCCATTGAGTGAACAATACACAAACAAAAACAGATCTTCATGAAGCTATATAACTAAAGGCGTTTGTAAATAATTATAATATTCATCTTTCTTTCCACATTTTGATTGCAGGTGAACAATTATAAGTTATGCCTGAAAATCTGTAAATCTTCGATGATAACATGTGTACACTGAGTGCTAAACGACCAGGTACTAACTCCTATAAAAAGAATACACATCTTTGACAAGATTATAACTCTCATGTTGTGTTGCTTTATATAATGATAGATTTAACAGAAACTTGAAAGAGCCGTTTTATTGATATAAACTCATTTTGGAATTGGCAGGTGAATTAAAAACTCAGTCATGCTAGGGACGACAAGCTAAAGAGAGTGAGCCTAAACATTTGTATATTCCCAAACTGTTTTCTCTGTTAAAATTTTGAGACTTTTTGATAATTTTTAACCGAAACATAACTATTTATGATTTATTTATCAGAGGCAGGATTGGAGCTTTTTGCGGTGCACAACATCTTCAACACTCCTCTTTGCAAGTAAGTATTCAAATCCTAGGTTAAATTTGCTTGATGAATTTTTCATCTTCAGCAAAAGCAAAGCTTTGGTTTCTTTCTAAGGTAAGCTAAGCCCTACTCTTTCGACTTTGACTTTGATATTAGCATGAGGTTTGATGTAGACATGTGTTATTTGCTAGGTAGATTGTTTGATTTAGGAATATGCACAAACGCTAACACATACACGAAAACATAAACATTAATATTGTGCTCATAAACAGATACACAAACACTTAAGCCCTTTAAAAAAAAACACAAACACAAACACAGACACCAACATACAAACAAATCTAAAATATAAATGAGTGTGTGGACACTATCAATAATGCAAACACGATCACTACACAGTCTACACTCACGAAACGAAAATATAAACGCAAAATTTTAGGTGAACACACAAATTTTTTAAGGCAAATTTAAAAACGTGTAAACACAAATTTGATGGCAAATGCAATATATCGAAAATTTGATGAGTTTAGAAGATAAATGATTCTTTAAAGGTGATTTTTGAAATTTGCTTTGTTCAGTTTCTAAGGTTTGAGTAAGAGACCAAAAAGACCTTTTTTTTAACTTGTCTTCGTTAATTCTTTTTTTTTTATGGCTTTTCTGAGAGCATAATTATTCGTTAATCTTCAACACTCCTCTTTGCAAGTAAGTATTCTAATCCTAAGTTTGCTTGAAGAAATTTTAATCTTCAGAAAAGCAAAGCTTTTGTCTCTTACGACTTTGAATTTTAGTATTTGTTGATTGTGATTTGCGATTAGCTTCTTCAATAGTTAGCATGAGGTTTGCCCTACGTTAGTTTCTAGCTAGGTTGATTGTTTAATATACGAATAGAAGCATAAATACATATACACAAATTAGACAAACAAATACATTTAAATGTAAGCTCACAAACAAAACTGCAAACACAAACGTCAATACTCACAAATTTAAGATATAAATAAGAGTGTGAATACTAACAAAAACACAAACACGATCACAAACATTAACAAATATGAAACACATCATACCTAAACGTAAATATGAAACACATCATGACAAATGTATAACGCTAGGATTAGGTGAAAGACACAATTTTTTTAAGGTAAACGCAAACACATTTTTGAAATGTACAACATAAATTTGATAGCAAATGCAAAGTAACTATTTTTTTGTTTTTACCATTTTCTTGCTATGATTCGTTACCTCACTCTTTTAATTTGGTGAGTTAGGAAAATAAACGTCTCTTATTCTCTCTTCTCTTTCTTTAAACATCTTTGAGAGTGAGAGAATTATCTTCTGATTTTTTTAAAAATGGATCTTTTCCAACTTTGATTCTGCCAAAATTATATTTCGGCTTAGCTAGACTGAATGTTTTGGCTGCCTTAGTATTCCGTTTAACAGATTTAGCCTTTTAAAGTTTCTTTTGCATGTCCTTTACTTCTCCGTTTACTTTCTTCTTTCGCCGGATAACTTTGGCTCAGAACTTTTAAAAATTAAAAATCAAATATTCAATTATATATTTTTTAAAGGTTCGGGTCCACAGTGATCCAATCATATTTTTGTAGAAACATCTGAAATATATAATTATTATAATATAATTATATATCCTCAATATTTACAAATCGTTTCTATTTTCTTATAATACATAAACATAAAATCAAAAGTTCAACTATAACTCCAAATAAGAGCAATCATATGTATATTTTAAATTGTACATAACCACAACCGCATACAAATTATATAGGATTTTGTTGTTTTGTACCATCTTTAATTTTTGCGAGACTTTTTCTTCACGACGAGAAGAGAACAATCTGTCTTATGCGAACTCCTGCATGGTCGTTATTTGAGTTTTTTTTCTTTCATAAATTAAGTTTCGTGATTGAATAAAAAAAATAATTTGAAATATTTTTAACTGACTCCTTGTGAATTTTTACCTTTCAAGATTTCGGTTTTGCTGATCGCTGATAACCAATAAATCAATTTTTCGTTCTTGTATGATCTTGCGAATTGAATCTTCTGGGTCCCCAACATCCGTAAATGTCTCTGCCTTAATCTGTTTTACACATAATATCGATGAGATAAATGGTCGTTGATGACATGAACTTAAAAAGTTGAAATATGGATATAGTCAAGAGATTACCCCATGATTTCCACATATCTTTTTGGCTTTTTCTAATATACCCAAAGCAATCTTCGTATTCTTTTCTTGAGCCAGTCTTATGAGTTGTACATCTGCAAAACATACAAAAACACACTACACACATTACAAAAACGGAAAATAACTACGTTTTTATATTAAAAATTTCAAGAAATTCGACAATATAAACGACTTAACTGGGTGAAAATGGATAGCAAATCTGTGCAAAGCCTACTGATGGAAGTGCGATAGGATATGTAAAGGAATTTTGTGGTTGTTTTGCAAAGATAAAAACTTTGGAGCTATCAATGATATCTTTCAGATTTTCAAGGACCCAGATGAGCAAATCATAACTTGAGTTGCACTCGTCAATAACCAACATAACATTCTTCATCTTCTCTCGCTGTTTCTTCTTTCTTCACCTTTCCTCTTCAAGCTTCTGTTGTACTTAAAATGTCTTGTGAATGTTCGAATTTATAATAACTTTGGAAGTGGAACATGTCTAATAAAGTAATTAAGGCGATTGGGTAATTGAAAAGCTTGGTTCAACAACTAGATTCTTTTATGTTTTAATTTTTCATTTACAAGAGAAAAATACACACAAATAATATTGAATCATAGAGCGACCGAATAATATGATTTCATCCAACAACATAGATATATGATGATAAATAATTAATTTATCACCAATAATCACCAATTCCCGATTGATATCTGAATTTTTTAAATGCTTTGAGTGGACCGTGTTTGGTAATTGCCGGATACACGCCACTGACGATGACATAACAACACTATCTCCTTTGTTGGAGTTTTAATCAAAAATCAAGATTTAAATAATCAGTAGAGTTGGCAAAAAGATAAAATGAACCTAAGGGTACACTTAGATAATTTGAATTCTGATGGTGATCATACAACGATAGCACTAGTATATGTGATGTTTTAAAAGTCTGTTGTGTAGTTATTAATTTGGGATAAAGATCTAAAATGTGTAAATGCGCATAACAAAGAAAGCAAAAAACGTAGAACATTAGAAGATATAATTGATATTTCATTCAGCAAAACGATATTTTTTTTTGGTTATTGTCAACGGAAGTTAATATTTAATTGGAAAAAATGAATTGGCACATAAACAAGTTAAACAACCCTTAATAAGAAAAGGTTTAAGTGGCTCCTACAAAGACGAAAGAACTTCAGTCGACTGTTTGCGGTGCTTCCCTATTGGGCCTTTCGTAAAATGAGAACAATCATTTAAAGCCAACGAAGCCCATTAGCGCATTTTCTTGTATACGTGATCTTGGACATTTCTTTAAAATCGTTAAAAATAGTCTACTTTACAAAAGTTAATTCCCATGCTTCCTCATAAGTCATAACACAAGGTCGAAAATAGACGACACACTGTTGTTATAGACAAGACACAACTCACAAGTCACAACACTAGGTACATATGTTGTTTTTCTATTTTAGTACTATCTGTCAAAACAAATTAACATTAATATATAATCTCTTCACCAAAGTTTACATACGAAATTACTGACAGATGGACAAATGGACAAACGTGTAGAAAAAATATCCTTTTACTTCAATTTTCCTTAAATAATACCCATGGACAAACATGTATGTAAAAAAAAAATCCTTTTATTTCAGTTTTCCTTAAATAAAATACTAAATATCCTTTTAATACGAAAAGAATATCCAAATAATCAACCGAGCATAACTTGTAATTGTATGCACGCACTCCTATAATAGTATAATACAAATGACATAACACGTCCAATTAAAATTAATCTTGCACCCTAATCCAAAGGTTACGATGAATTGTTGACATGTTATATACACCGTAGATTCCATAGTCCTCACCACACAGAATCCTTTTATTTTCTCAATTAAAACCCCACTCAAATTGTGCTCTCGCATACAAATTTCATAAAATCGCAGAGAGGAGCCATGGAAACTGCGTCGTTTAGTCCTTCTTCTCCGGCGACTCTCCCGTCGTTTCTTCTCCTCTTCCTCGCCGTATACCTCGTCGGCTATTTCCTGGTTTTCCGCTCATGGAAATCACCACATTTAGGAGCTAGCTGCTTAATGTCTCTCTTCCACGGCACTCCCGCCGTCGTACTGGCTTCCCACGCGATACTAACAACCCCACGCGCCGCCGAAACATCTCCACACTCCTTCGCTTCTCCCAACACCGCCGTTGAATCCGCCGTCCTCGATTTCAGCATGGCTTACTTCACGATCGATCTCCTCCATTACCTCATCTTCCTCCCGAACGACTTCCTCTTCATCCTCCACCACATCGCGACGCTCTACGTGTTCGCCACTTGTCGATTCGCGGTAGGTCACGGAGCTCACGCGCTTCTCCTCCTCTTAATCCTCGCGGAGGCGACGAGCGCGTGCCAGAACGCGTGGACGATCGCTGGTCACCGGAAAAACGACGTTGTTTTGGCGAGGAGAGTGAGAGAGCTCTTGTCTCCGCCTTTCTATTTGTTCTACACCGTGGTTCGTGGATTGGCTGGGCCGGTGGCTCTTTACGATATGGCGGCGTTTTACGGCAGTGGAGCGGCGGAGGGAGCTGTTCCACGGTGGGCTTGGATATCGTGGCTCGTTGTGATTGGCTCTGCTATTTTGCTCAGTGTGTTGTGGGTTTTACGACATTGGGTTGATTGGTTTAGGGAGAAAAATTCTAGCAAGAAATTCAAATGAATTGTTTATTATTATATCTTTATTATTATATCTTTTCGAGGTAAACAAAAATGAATCTTTATATAAATCTAGTTAATTGTATCTGTCATCTGTGTAAGTATATCAACAACAAAAGTACTTGAATGTGAAAATTTCTTTCTATTTGACTATTTGTATTGTAAATTCTTTTCTGAATCAATCAGCATATGTGGATCTTATGTAAAATTGTACTTGTCAACTTTAATTTGGATTAATTCTTGAACTTTTTTCAACTCTAAAATATACAGTATTTGTTCACCATTACTTATTTAATTTTATAAAATAAAGTCAGCATCACGCCGCACCTATCCTCAAAACTTTGTGATTTGGACAAAAAACTACCTAAATCACACGGTAAATAAGTCAACAGTTCCTAAATACAGGCGTGTCATGCTACATTTGGTGCTCGTGGGATTACTATGGATGACTCACACTTATGTTTATCCAATTAAGAGTATTTGATTAAAAATGGGAGTTGACCACAAAATAAATTAAAATGAGGATTGTGTGTGCTTGAGGGCTTTTTTTATGATGTATATTTTTTTTTCGTTGACATTTTTGTTTTCATTTTATTTTCATACCAAGTCTCTTGCTTATTAGTTATTACATGCCTTATTTCTTGCGAAGGGACACTCCATTTGACAAATGGATAACACTGTGGGATCAACTAATTCGTTAGATAGAATTTCCAAATACATCATCACTAGTAACAACAACAGAAAACTTTATTTTAGTCAATAAATTTCTGAATGCACTAAATAACTCGATTCTGACGTTTTATTTGCAAAAAACAACAACTAACCTTTAAAGTTAAAAACGATATTATTTTATCAAGTAGTTACACTCCATAATTAGATGAATCTTGATCGTCAAGCCATTGCATTTCCAGAGTCAAATCTTCAATCATCAAATAAATCTCTCGACAAAGAGGATGCGATCTATCTTCAGCATTAAAGGCATAAACTTTATTCCTAACTTCAATCCAACTCCAACCTGGAACTTTCTTCACACCTCTCTCCTTCATCATCTTCTTCACACTCGCTTTCTCTTCCCATTTCTTTAAATCACTATACATATGAGACAACAATACATACGTAAAATGATCTTCAGGTTCCATCTCTAGCAAATGGTTAGCCACTTGAGCAGCCATTTCCATCTCTCCACAAGCCCTGCAAGCTCCAAGGAACGTCTTCAACACCATTGAATCAGGTTTCAACGGCATTGACTCGATCAAGTCCTTCGCTTTGTTCACAAGCCCTGCTCTGCCTAAGAGATCAACCGCAGCTGCGTAATGCTCCATCCGAGGCTGGATTTTGTAAACCGGTTCCATCGAGTTAAGCAAGTCGAGCCCCTCTTGTACCAAACCGGTGTGGCTACAAGCTGTTAGAGCTGCTGTGAAGGTTACATGGTCTAGCTTCACGTTTTGGTCACACATTTGAGAGAAGAGATCAAGTGAGACTTCCCCTAAACCGTGTTGAGCGTATCCGAGGATCATCGTGTTCCAAGCTACTGTACTGCGTTTGGAAGAAACCTGCTCAAAGCATTTCCGCGCATGCTCGATCACTCCACATTTAGAGTACATCAAGATCAGAGAACTGGTCACAAACTCATTCAATTCGAAGCTTGACTTGATTGCAAGACCATGAATCTGCTGACCTAACTCGAGTGTTGCTAGGTCAGAGCATGATCTGAGAACTGCAGAGAAGGCGTAATCATCGACTTCTACATTCAAAGATCTCAAGCAGCTAAAGAACTTCACCGCGTCCTCACTGAGACCAGTTTGAGACAACCCTGTCAATATCGAATTCCAAGAGACAAGATCTTTACATTCCAAGGATTCAAACAGAGCCAGAGCATCTCTCATCGCAGCGCCTGAAGGAAACTGAATATACATAGACACCAACGCGTTGGAAACTGAAGTAACTTGCTCCAGTCCCTTCTTTACCACCAAACAATGCAAAGACTTTCCAAAGATTTGATCTTTTTCGCCAGAGGAGCAAGAGCTCAAGACGCTGGTGTAAGTATAAACGTCGGTTTCGATCAAACTCCTCTGCATTTCAATAAACAGCTCGAAAGCAGATTCCTTTAGCTCATGTTTAGAGAAACCTGCGATCATCGCGTTCCAAGTAATCAAGTCTTTCTTCGCATCCAAGCCATCGAAGACTCGCTTCGCATCTGACACCGAGCCACAATCTGCGTAAGAGCTGACCATCGCATTGCAGATAGTAATCTCTTGATCAAGCCCTAGCTTCAAAACCTTAGCATGAACTTGCTTCGACAGATCATAAAACATCGGATCATCAAGCAAAGTAAGAAGCGGAGCGAAAGTTCCATCGTCCGCTCTCGCAGCAGCATTCATCTCCATAGAGCCAAACAGCCAAAACGCCGTCTCGATATCTCTCACCTGCACGAATCCAGCAATCAAAGCATTCCACGAAACAGAGTTAGGCTCTGAAATCTCCTGAAACGCCTCGAAAGCATCTTCGACTCTTTCGCATTTCGCGTACATGTCAACAATCGCACTTCCGACGTAGACATTCCCTTCGTAGCCTCCTTTTACAACTAGAGAATGCAATTGATGCCCAAGATCGAGCCTTTTCGCTGAAGCAATCCCTTTTAGTAGTCTACTGAAACTATACCCGTCAACGTTAGATCCAGATTTTTGCATACCTGTGAACAAACACCATGCGTTTTCCAGTTTCTCACAGCTAGTGTATCCAGAGATCATCGTGTTCCAGGACACGGAGTCTCTGTGAGGCATTTCGTCGAACACCTTGTGGGCATGACCCAAGAAGCCAGATTTCACGTAAAAATCCAAAATTCGGTTTGATACGTAGACATCTGAGATGTAAGCACGTTTGATGGCGCAACAGTGAGTGGAGGAAAGCTTTTGGATGGAGTAGAAAGAGCTCTCTACTAGCGAGGCTAAAAATGCTTTCATTCATCTGTTTTGCCGTCACTTAACAGAAAAAAATGGAAGTCTCTTTTTCTCAACATGAAAGAGGAGTTTTTTTTTATTTGATATATTTGCAATTAGTTTTATGATATCTAGTGGGTAGCAACAAAAGTGGTTTAGTTAAGTAAAATGGTATTAATAATAATATTACACTAAACTCGAAAAGATCTTTGGTGTTTTTGCAAAATTGAAGTACTCCATTTGGTTAAGATTGACATATATGTTGTTGAACTACTTACATAAACGTTATATGCCTCGGTTGTACTTGTATCACATCACTTGTATATAATTTCGACTGAACCACTTTTAAACCAGAAGATTTCAATTTGGATAAGGGAGGCTTTGTTTGAAATCTGATTCATATCATGTGAACTTCAAACTCAAATATATTTTACTCAATATCTCGTCTAATATAACATTCTTCACACAAAACTCAAAATTTCATTGGTATTATCCCAATTATTTTCATATTCCTATCTATTTCTACTCAATGTGATTCAATTTATCCTATAACAATTAACAAAGTAGCCGTTGTAAGCGCACTTCAATAAAAAGACTAGCCGTTACGCTCCTTTATTTTCCTTCTTTTTAATCTTTTTTTTGGTTGTGTTAATCAAAGTATCAAAACCCTAGCGACGCTCGAACTATTCCGAATTCATCTGCTTCACACAGAACAATCAATTTCCAAATCGCAAAATCTTCGACTAGTTTCTTCAACCCAATTCGCTTCCAATGGCGTCGAAAACAGCGGCTGCTAAAGACATCATCACTTTGCACGGATCTGCTGCCATCGTCAGCGAGTTTTTCTGTGCGTAATTGCGATCTCTCATACTCAATTCCCTGAAAATTTCTCACTTTAATTTCTCCTCGATTTAATTGTTCTTTATCATCATCTTCTTCTTCCAGGTTACGCTGCGAACAGGTGAGAATCTGATTTCAATTTCATTTCCTTGGATTTTTCCAGTGTGGTGATATGAAATTGATTTGGTTATTGTTTGTTTGTTTTGGGTATAGTATTCTGTATAATCGTGCAGTTTACCCAGAGGAAAGCTTCGTGAAAGTGAAGAAATATGGGCTTCCGATGTTGCTTATTGAAGATGATTCCGTCAAATCATTCCTCTCTAATCTTACTTCTCAGATTTCCGGTAAACTTCTCTTCAGCATTCTAATTGAGAAATGCACTAAAGATTCCTTTTTGTGAGAGACTGTTATTGTTAAGATATCTGATTTTTTTGTTTTGATTTTTGGGTATAAAGAATGGCTTGAAGCTGGGAAGTTGCAGAGAGTAGTGTTAGTGATAATGAGCAAAGCCACTGGTGAAGTCTTGGAGAGGTGGAATTTCCGAATCGAAACCGATAACGAGGTCGTTGAGAAAGGGTCAGTATTTTTGAAAACTTCAAATGTTGATTCTTGAATTTTGCCAAATGTGTGTGCTTGAATTTGGCTTTTAACCATTGTGGTTTTATTTTTCATTTCAGTGTATCGAGGGAGAAAAGTGATAAGGAGATCATGAGGGAGATCCAAGCTATCATGAGACAAGTTGCGTCCAGCATAACTTACTTGCCTTGTCTTGATGAAGCTTGTAAGAACCAAAAACCATAGACACTTTGATTTCTCATCTTAATCTGCATATGTCTCATCTTTTTGTTTTGTGTTCAGGTGTGTTTGATGTATTAGCATACACGGACGCAGACGTGGCTGTTCCATTCACCTGGATTGAAAGTGATCCAAAGTTGATTGCTAATCCACAAATGGTTAAGCTACACGCTTTTGACACCAAGGTAAGAAGACCTGAAACTTCCTTCTACATTCACTTTGAAATGTCTCTTAACCGCTTTGGTTGGATTTTGTTGTTTGCAGATTCACAAAGTCGACACTCTCGTCTCCTACAAGAACGACGAATGGGATGAAGAAGAGTAAAAACAAGTCTCTCTCCTCTTCTTCAGCTTGCATTTTCCTCGTCTCTCAGTGTTCTTAAACAAGCAAGAGTGAATCCTTTATTCACACCACACCGTATGTCAGTTTTCTGTATTTCTTCTTTCTGAATTGTGTGCGAATCATGTACCTGTGCTGTGTTTATTCAAAAGTTATTACCTTTTTTCATTGTCTCTGTCCATTGCATTGACCCTTTTGTTTACCAACCAGACTTGATGGTCTTGGATTCAATATAAATCTTTTCAAAGTCTGATAATGGAATGTACAAAGGGAACGTATTTACAGTGACTGATGGAGAAAAAAAGCTTTCTTGTTTCCTCATCTCATACCTCGGTACAAGACACCAGGTTGAAGATCATCCATATTATCTATGTTCCTAACCAAACTGTCTATGTTCCTAAACCCATCAAACTCTCTAAGACAAGTCCATCCTCTTCGAGCCAAGAAGTCTCTGTAATCATCTTCAGTGTAGAATATCTTCTCCTCTTGATGGACTGGTAACGGATCTGACTCATCGTAGTGGCACACTCTCACAGCTATCCCTGCATTTTCGGTTTTGGATATTGAGAAACACTCTAACCAGAGAGAGAGATCATATTGGAAGAAAAGCAGAGAAAGAATTTACCTTCGTCCACATGGAGTATATAGTTCCCTAGAGGCATGTCTCGGTCAAGAGACCGAACAACCTGTTCTTCATCTTCTAGCCAAAGAGCTCGTCTTGTTCTTAATCTAAACGCCGATCTTATAGCTTCCTTGATTGCTTCAGAAGTACCATCGATCCCAACTCTTCTTGTATACTCTCCGAACTTCACCGTTATAACCCTCCCAACAAACGGCTGACCATCACCACCTGCTTTTAAAACGTGAAAACCAAGAAGATGAGTGGGAAGTTTGAAAAGCAAACACTCTTGCAAATTTGGAGAGTGAGCTTCTGGTTACTTACCATTTGCAGGGGTTTCTCTCCAATTCCAAGGAGGAACTTCATTTGCTGTAACCGGAATAGCAGTAGCAATGGCGAGTGGATGACCATCATGATCAAGCTGCCTCTCAAGATTTAGCGTTGGCCTTCCAGTTGCTGGACACAAAAATATCAACTCACATATGAAAGACTAAATCATTTCACAAGCTTTGAAAGTTGAATGGATGGAGAAATGTGGGATCAGTACCTTCAACAGATGCAAAGGAGATCTCTGTATCTTCAAAAGCTACAGTAAGATAAAGAAGACAAATCAATTCTAAACACACAACCCAAATTTAGTATCAAAAAGTCAAATCGTTTACCATCAAATCAACATACACTTTATATTTAGCCATTAATGGTCAAAATTCTTTTAGCCGCGCATAGGCTCCAAAATGGTAACAAAATTGAAACCAAAAGACCAATCTCCTCTTCTCAATCCATTAACAATTATCCAAAACACTCTATATAAACCTCAAATTCCATTTACTATAGCTTGAGATCAGGGTAGAAACTATTTCGTAGAATGTAAGATCCTTAAAGATTTCACCTTTATCTGTAAACTGCATAAAGGAATCAACTTTAGCAACAGAAGAAGATGGTGGTGGTGGTGTAGCAGGAGTGGTCTTATACAGAGCCACTTTCTTGTTTCTCTCTCTAAGAATATCTTCAATCTCCTTGTAATACGACATCTTCGCTGATCCTCCTGATCCACTTCCTTTACTATCTTGATGCTTTGCTTTCTTAAACTCCTTCAGCATATTCCTCCACTTGTCCGTACACATAGTAGGCGATCGATCGAACCCTTTCTCTCTCATCTTCGTCGAAATCTCTTCCCACAGATGTTTGTTAGACTTCGATGTGTTGAAAAGGTTATCCATTTCTCTCCGCAGCGCGATCAAGCTCCGAGTCTCGTCTTGTACCCATGTCTCTGCTCGTTTCTTCGGTGCTTTGATCTCGTGATCCTCGCTGCTACTCTCTCCAAGAATTATCTGGTGATGCTGATGCTGTTGTTGTGGTAGATCTCCGTTTGATGTAACATCGATCATCATGTTTATGTCCCGTGACGTTGGAGATGGATTGTTATCGGAAACAAACATGTTTCTGCTATTTTCTCCAAAGGAAGAAGACAATAGGAGATGTAGAAGACGAAGAAGAAGATAAAAAAACTTTTCTTTTCCCCAACCATCGGCGCGTTGACTCAACGCGCTGCCATATAATCAAAAAGCTTTGATCCTTTTATTTGCATAAACTACATTATCATAACAATAATAATCTCACTGTTTGTTTATTGAGCTGAATAATAACATACACATGTGATCAAAGAACAACAAATCCAAAAGTTACAACCTTTCTTTTTATGTAAATCTTTATCATGACACTAACAATGTGTCAAGCTCCAACATTTATGAAAAAAAGAAACATATTTTATTTCAGAAACAGTGTATAGCTATTTGAAGATTCATCATCAAAGTGGTACACCTGCAAAAAAAAAAAAAAAAAAAAAAACAGTACTGGATTCAGTATGAATGTTAAAGAAGCGTCTGCAGTAAATTAGTAGCAGCAACAAATTTTACCTTTCAAACGACGAATGGAATTGAAATTTCATCATCCCTCGAGAGGTAACTTAGGGTCAGGATTGGAACAATCAGAACACAAAAACTCAAGACAAAACGTTTCTTCGTATTCACTATCATTGATGCAACGACCACACTGAAAGCACCTCTGAATGCAGAGAGAACAAGCACGGCACTCCTCAGAGCCTTCCTTCTTCCCTTTACAATCTTCAGCTGGACAGTCATAGACAAGCCTCGAGTTCTGACACTTCGGGCACATCTCAATATCCAGCACCCGGTCATCATCGCAGTCGCACGACACACACGTCTCTCCTCTATGGTAAAAACGTGGCTTCCCCTGAAAACTCTGGCTGGAGACATTATCCTCTATCTCCAACAAGTCGAACAATTCATCATAGTGCTCTTTAGTTACTCCAAAGAGCCCACCAATCTCTAAATGCTTCACTTGAAGCTTCCCTGCAGACTTCAGATCCCTCAACACGCTCAAAACACCATCTATAGTGATCCTTGTGCATCCAGGCACGCCAAGCTACCAAACCACAAAAACAACATTAGGCTTATGAAAAAGCTTACAGATTTGAAAAGTAAATGAAGAAAGATCTCACCTTGACTATTTGTGTGTTGCGCTCCAATACCTGCTTAAGACAATCATCTGTGATTCTCGAGCAATCAACGAGCCTCAAACACTGCATAGTCCCCTGAGCCCTCTCAGTCATATGCAGCAGAGCCTCGTCCGTGAACTTCTCACTCAACGGTTGACAAATGTGGATATGTTTCCACAGAAGCGAGTCGTCACAGACAGTCGTGTGCAGAGACTTGCACACCATACTCACCGAGAGAAGATCCTTCACTCCCAAGTGATAAAGACAAAAACCAAACGCTGGATGAACATTTGCAGCAACCTCTCCTCCATCACTGCTGCTTCCTACAACTTCCTCCACTTTCAACACCTCATCAACACTACTAGCAGAAACAAAGGCACCGTGACAAGATCCATCACCATCAAACCCTCGATCCAACGGCTCCGATACATTACTATTGTACACACAACTACTACTCTCAGGGAACTCCTGAAACCGCATTGCATTGTTCCAGATGAAACTCAATCCAGCAAACAGCTGGTGATTCTTCCCATCACCAATCCCAATCTCATCTCTTCCGAATTGGCTATAATCAGCTTCCAAGTCCTCAAGCCATCCAGTAATGGCGGTGAACGTGTTGTTGATATCCATGCCAAAAGGATCAGACGGCAAAACATCAAGTATGTCAACAGAAGCTGAATCTCCTCCTCCGTAGTCAAAGCAATCACCTTTCTCGATACTTGAACACCAATTGGCTATCTTCATCGATGAAACATTGTTTTCCCCAGAAAAGTGTCTACGTGAAAAATTTAACGCCATTTCTATCAAGTCTATATACACTTCTAAAAAACCTAAATTCCTTTTGTACAGAAAATCCCTGGAAATGATTAAAAAAAGTGAGAAAAAAGCTTCTAAAGATAAAAGATCAGATCCGAAAATCTATCTTCTTCCTTTGTTATTTGTAAACCTAAATCAGATCTATTGGAGAAAAGGAAGACTCTTGATTTCAGATGGCAACAAAAAAATACTAGGCACCGAAATTTGCAGAGCTTCCTTGGATTAGAAAGTAAGTAAGGAACCCTAAGAAACCTAAATTGAAACGGAAACGCTAAAAGAGACGTATTAACAACGAATTGGTGACAAAAGAATGAATTGAATGTTTTTTTTTGTGTGTGTTTTTTTTCTTCTGTTTAAAACTATCTTCCTCGATCAAAACTAGGGTTCTCTCTGAGAATTCCGAATTCGAAACCTAAATCCTAAACATTAAAAAATGGACAAAGATGAGAACTTTTTTTTTTCTTTTTTGGTTTTTTTTTTTTTCAAATCCGTGGGATTCGAATTGAATCAAATCAATCGGAGAAACCCTTCCTCTCTCTCTCACCCACGAAGAACGCGATCAACGGAAAACCAAACCAAACCCCTCGCCGCGAAATAGAAGTAAAGAAGAAGAAGGAAAAAACAAGATCTCCTTTTTTGGGGAAATCTAGATTCTTTTTTAACAATTCGAATGAGAATCAAATTGGTGAAAACGTTTTGGATTCAAGAAGGAAGGAAGAAAGAAAGAGAACGGGTTGGTGAAATTCGTCGACCGAGTCAAGAGAGAAAATGATGGAAAGGACGAGAAAATTGTGCGAGGAAATCTCTTTTTATTTTTATTTTTCGTTTTTGGGGTCGAGATTTTACGAGGGAGAGGGAAGGAAGAAAAAAAAGAAAAAAATAAAAATTTTGGAAGAAAAATAAAGGAAAGAGATAAGATTAGGGTAACGGTGAAATCGTCAAAGTCTGTGTGGAGATGGACACGTGTCGTTTTTAAGAGTTCTCTGTCATTCTGCTCGCTGTTTGATCTGTCGACAAATTGGGATGATCTGATTCTTTTCCTGATTTGATCATTTACATTAAAAAACATGTTTACAAATTTATAGCTATAAATAAACATGTTTCATAACGAATTAACTAGGCCAAAACACTCTGCAACTCTTTTGTTTTTGTTAATAAAAGCTGAAGATTTTCTCCTAATTTCTAATGATAAAGATATTATGTACTACTGTAGTAGACTCAGATTTTAATAAAACATCATTATGAAAATTGAACAAATGGTATAATGCTTGCTATATATTTAATAAAATTAAATACATAGTGCCATGAGTTTGAGACATATTAAGTTGGTATTCATAGAAAGTGGAATAAATAATGCTTTTGCTATAAAGCCATAGAGATTCACACACTATAAGAGAATACAAATGATATAACAACAAAAATAATTACATTATGTAGATTGCCAGATTGGTATCATCGTAAATACGTAAGATAATAAACGAACAAATAAAGGCTATTTAAACTGTGGCATCAAAGCAAAGCAAAAACCAGATAAAAAGATCTTGTTTTTGATTAATGGTAACTAACTAATTATATAAATCATGTTTGATAATAAGAAAAGAAAAAAGGGAAATGTGTGCCAAATATATATGGTTGTTTTAACAACACGTAAAGTTTGATGTAGACCGGTTTTGAGCAAGGAATGCTTCGTAGAAGAGGATAAACTTGGAACATTATAAAAAAGATGAACCTCCAAGATTCTTCTCTTCTTTGTGACATGTTCGGAAATGAAAAAAATATATATATTAAGATAATTAATCGAGGAACACAAACAGAACGATTGATTAGTTTTAGAGGATATTAGTCTGGTCAATAGCTTACTGAATAATACAAGTTTAAACAACAAAGGCATACATCAAAAAAATATGTCACTGAACAACCAAATACAATAAGTATAACATTAATATACTTTTCAAAAACAATCAAAGGATGTTCATGTTCAGTTTGTTCACAACTTGAGAAGGATCTCCTATCTATCTAGTCTACAATGATTAAATCTAACTTATAAAAAAAAATATGTTGAAGATGGTCATACATACTTCTCAAAGGGTCTTGGACTCTGGGCCTCTCAGTTGTCATGGTCCATCCTTGAGAGTTATTGTTATTCTGTTGAAATGGAATTGGAGGGAGAGACAGAGAGAGAAGAGAGTCGTTTTTCTCATATTTACCAAAAAGTTTTTTTACGTAATCGTTGTTGTATGTCTGTCGTAAGCAAGGATGTGTGATAGGGTTCATAAAACTACATGCCACTTTATGATTTACTATTTATTTTGATGAAAAAATATATTACAAGCTCATAAATAAAACACACCTATGTTTTAGTTGCTTACACAGCTTAAAGTTCAATTCATCAGATTGGAAGTTTGGAACACAGTGAAATTTTTATCAGTTTTAAATTTTAAGGGACAATCTTTTTTAGTGGAATTTGTAAAGAGAATACAATTTGTAATTTCAATATTTACGAACATAGAGGATGCTACAAAGTACAAACTATACTTTGACATTCAGAAAAAGCCGGCATTGTGACAACTCTAAACTAAAGCGACGTCGTACGGTCGTGTCCCAGTGTTGAAATGCCCGCTTCAACATTCGTAAATCAGAAGACACAAAAAGTAAGACTTGGCAGCCCAGAAAGCATTTTGCACAAAATAAATACTATTAAAAGAAATCATTTCCCTAAAAATTCAGATGCAAAAAAAAGTTTTGATCGATCAAACCAAAACCGTTGGATCACCCATCGGAAGAAAGAATTTATAACTGGATCACGAGAAGATGACATTTTAAAAAAGAAAAAGAAAAAGAAAAAGAGCGAAAATTAAAATTAAATTAAAAAAAATAAAAAAGCAGAAAATTCGAGAAAAAGGAAGAAAAATTCATACTTCCCAAAGGAAAGGAAACAAAAAACAAATAATCTCAAGTCAACAAACAACAACGAAACGAAGAAGGAGGTCCGAAGAACTTTGAAATGTTATTACCATCATCGTCCTCATCATCCTCATCATCATCCTCGTTGTAATCGCATTTCCTCATCTGGGCATTTCTCCTGTTGACCTCAATTCCTGCCATCTCCGATTAACATCCGACCATCGAACCCCTTTTCTGGTTATTACTCTTTCTAAATTCGTATCCTCTGAAATCCATTTCTCTGTTTGTTTCTGGGGAAATGTGCAGCTTTCCTCTTGTTTCCGCTCCCTGATTCTCTCTATCGCGTTTCGTTTCGGATTGTTTACAGATATTGGAATCGCCGAAAGTTTGGATTTTTGTGGGTAGATTGTTCTGGGTCTCGTCGTGATTTAGGAAGAAGAAGATTAAAAAAACGGATTTTGCCTGTTGTAATCAGGAGAGCTTTACGATTATTCTCGATTCCAGGTTCGTGATTTGCTTCTGGTTAAGGCTGATCTAGGATTTGAGTTTTTTTTTTTCAACATTTTCGACGGATTTTGCTTTTCTCAGATGATGAAAAGACGAAGCTGGATTTGTTCATCTAGAGAATCTGAAACCTGTTGTTGAGAGAAAAAGGAAACAAAGTTGGTGTTTTTATAGATTTTATGAGCTATGTGGAAACAGATTCTAAGTAAGCTTCCCAAAAAGTCTTCAAAGAACGAGCACCGTGGACGTGACCACGGCGGCCATTCTTCCTCCTCTCATGCCTCCGGTGCATCTACTTCCAAAAGCGGTGACAATGCCGCCGGAAAAGCAGGGAACTCTCAGAGCAAGAACGGTCCTTCAGGTGGCAAATCTGACAAAGATGGGAACGTAAAGATCACTGTGAACAACAACAACAACAACAACAACAACAATGGAGTCGTCTTCACTCCTTATGAAGCATTGCCGAGTTTCAAAGACGTTCCAAACACGGAGAAGCAAAGCCTCTTCATAAAAAAGCTAAACCTGTGCCGCGTTGTGTTTGATTTCACTGATCCAACAAAGAACATGAAGGAGAAAGAGATCAAGAGGCAGACATTGATGGAGCTTGTGGACTATGTGAACTCAGCCAATGGTAAATTCAGCGAATCCGGGATTCAAGAAGTCGTCCGGATGGTCTCTGCCAACATATTCAGAACGCTGAATCCTCAACCACGTGAGAACAAAGTTATTGACGCCTTGGATCTTGAGGAGGAAGAGCCTTCCATGGATCTTGCTTGGCCTCATTTGCAGCTCGTGTATGAGCTTTTCTTGAGGTTCGTTGCTTCCCCTGAGACTGACACCAAGTTGGCTAAGCGTTACATTGACCAATCTTTCGTCCTCCGGTTACTTGATCTGTTTGATTCCGAGGATCCTAGAGAGAGAGATTGTCTGAAAACAATCCTCCATCGGATCTACGGTAAATTTATGGTTCATCGTCCTTTCATCAGGAAGTCCATAAACAACATCTTCTACCGGTTTGTGTTCGAGACGGAGAAACACAACGGGATTGCTGAGTTTCTTGAGATCTTGGGGAGTATCATCAATGGGTTTGCTCTTCCGTTGAAAGACGAGCACAAAGTGTTTCTGGTTCGGGTTTTGATACCGCTACACAAACCGAAATGCTTGCAGATGTATCATCAGCAGTTGTCTTATTGTATTACGCAGTTTGTAGAAAAGGATTGCAAACTTGCTGATACGGTTATAAGAGGGTTGCTTAAGTACTGGCCAGTGACGAATAGCTCCAAAGAAGTTATGTTTCTGAATGAGCTGGAGGAAGTGCTCGAAGCAACTCAGCCGCCAGAGTTCCAACGGTGCATGGTGCCACTGTTTCGCCAAATAGCTCGATGTTTGAACAGTCTGCATTTTCAGGTACCTTTAATTCTCCACTCTCTCTCAAATTACACATTTGTTATCACATTTTCTGAATATAAAGTGTCTCTGTTGCTCTTGGTTGAAACTCATTCACTAGGCCATAAAGTTTCACATATTTAACTGTATCAGCGTTTTGCCTGTGTATATATGTTACCACTAATAGGATTATATATATCAAAAGATCCAATGGAAATCCAATGGAAGTGCGGTAATGAAAAATATCAGTGTAAAGGATTGTTGTATTCAGCTCTGGATGAGACTTATAAAATCGTATAGTTAAGCCATTGTGTAGTAGAAAAAAGTATTTGGTATTGAAAGGAATAGTCTTTCTTGGTTAAAACAATGATCTTGAAGTTTGTTCATTTCATATAAGTGTAGTAGGTTCAGGAATCAGGATGGAGTGAGTTGTGACTTAAAGCTTCGATCTTTGTTACAGTCTTGTAAGCTGTCTGGATTTTTGCTTGCAGGTTGCAGAGAGAGCTTTATTCTTGTGGAACAACAATCACATCGAGAATCTGATAATGCAGAGCCGTAAAGTCATTCTTCCGATTATATTCCCTGCGTTGGAGCGAAACGCACAGAACCATTGGAACCAAGCGGTTCACAGCTTGACGCTAAACGTGCGGAAGATATTTCACGACCTTGACCCTGAGCTGTTCAAGGAATGTCTTGCTAAGTTCAAGGAAGATGAATCAAAGCAAGCTGAAACCAAAGCAAAACGGGAAGCCACTTGGAAACGTTTGGAAGAACTCGGGGTGCGAAAGGTTTCATGAGGTTAGAGCCATATAGAAGAGAGAGAGAGAGAGCTTTCATGTCTTCGATTGGAACTGAAAATGTTCTTCAGATACTTCTGATATCAACTCAGGAGAAGCATTGAAGAAAAAAGTTTCAATATTGGTCTCTTCGCTGAAGCTAAAGGAAACTCAAGATGTAAGATTTGTTCCCGTTTTGACTTTCATTATCATTATTTTTTCTTATTCTGGTTTCCTCTAAAATCTCACTGTTCGTTTGAAGCTTGTTAATGGGTTTTTGCTACATTGTTCCTTTTTCTTGAGAGACTGTCTGATTCTTTCATCTTCTGCTTTGCTGCCTGCAAAAGATTGCAGCTTTAGAGTTTGCCACGCTTAAGAATCTTCTTCTTTTGATACTGTTGGATTTTCCAGTTGTATAATTTCTTCAGTAGAATGAAAAATCGTGTCTTTATAACAAAAAAGGAACACTTTTGTTAATAATTTGCTTTTGAAGTTCACAATTTTGGATTTCCAGAATCAGAAGAGACTGTAATCTTTGGTTTCAGTTTTTTGGGGTTTGTGGGTTTGGTAACGAACTCCACAACTCAAGGAGCTCTCAAAAGGATAAACACTCAATGGATAATATTAATCGAGATTGGTTTCAGTGATTGTTATTGAAATCTTTTAGTTCATTGGTTTTTGAGTTTCGGGTTAAGACTTAAACCTTTGTCGACATGCTGTTCCCTGTTCAGACAATAGAAAATTTCTCTGGTCATTCGGTCTTCACACAGTCACCATCCTTTCTTTTCCCTCTCTCTCTTCTCTCTTCCCTCTTCTCTCTTCTCTAATCTCTATCCATTTCTTTATCCCTCTCTCTCTCCTGCCAACGAAGCAATAGCTATGAAAAGCTAAACCCTTTCTCGTCTCCTTCTACTTCTTCTTGGTACTCTACTTGTTTGGATTACTTGGGGTCAAACCCAAGTTCTTCTTTTTTCCTTTTATGATTCATGAATCCAGATCTTGTTGATTCATGATACAAAAAAAAGCTAGCAACTTTTTTGCTCTTTGGCTTTGTCTGGATTGATGATTACTCAAATCGAGATCTAGTCAAATATAAGAGATGTTCACAAGAGTTGTTCTTATGCGTGGTGAGATGATCTTAGGAGTAGTACAGTACACTTCTTCAATCCGATTCCTCTGTTTCTGAGATCTGGTTTTTCTGCTTTTTACAAAGTAAATGGAAACTTGAAGACTAATTCTCCTCTGGTGTCTCTAATATGATCTGAGTCTGTTTAGAATTTGAAAGTTTGACTCTTTAGATCGGAAAAAGATGTTTAAGCAGATACTTGGGAAGCTCCCTAAGAAACCATCTGCCAAGTTTTGGGATAATGGTGAATCCCAAACTCCAGACAACAACAACAACAACAACAACAGTCAAGGTGGTGATGAAGCTGCTTTAAGCCAGAGACCATCATCAAACGGAGACAACAATCTTGACTGTGTCTCTCTTGAGGTATTGCCAAGGCTGAGAGACGTTTCCATCTCAGAGAAGCAAGAGCTCTTTCTCAAGAAGCTTAGGTTATGCTGTGTAGTGTTTGATTTCGCCGCCGAGCCTCAGCAAAACCTAAAGGAGAAAGAGATCAAAAGGCAGACACTTCTTGAAGTTGTGGATTACGTTATCTCATCGGGTAACGGAAAGTTCCCTGAACAAGTGATCCAAGAAGCTACGAAGATGATATCAGCGAATCTCTTTAGCAACCCTCATCAGCAATGGAAGAACAAAACTCCAGAGGCAATAGAAGTTGAAGAAGAAGAAGGATCTTTAAACCCTTCTTGGCCTCACTTGCAGATTGTCTACGAGTTCCTTCTAAGAATCGTCGCATCTCCCAACACAGACGCCAAGATATCCAAGAAATACATCGACCACACCTTCGTCCTCAAGCTCTTGGATCTGTTCGACTCCGAGGATCCGAGGGAGAGAGAGTATCTCAAGACAATCCTCCACCGGATCTACGGGAGGTTCATGGTTCACCGTCCCTTCATCAGGAAGACGATGAACAACATCTTGTATGACTTCATATTCGAGACAGGGAAACACTCCGGGATCGCCGAGTTTCTTGAAGTCTTGGGATCGATCATCAATGGATTCGCCTTGCCTCTCAAGGAAGAGCACAAGCTCTTCTTGACTCGAGTCTTGATCCCTCTGCACAAGCTGAAATGCTTGCCGAACTACCACCAGCAGCTTTCTTACTGCGTTATACAGTTCGTTGAGAAAGACTGTAAGCTCGCGGATACGGTTATTAGAGGGCTGTTGAAGTACTGGCCAGTTACTAACAGCTCCAAAGAGATCATGTTCTTGAATGAGTTGGAGGAGATTTTGGAAGCTACTCAGTCAACAGAGTTTGAACGGTGTATGATTCCTCTCTCTCGCCAGATCGCTCTGTGCTTGAGCAGCTCTCACTTTCAGGTACTAAAAGTTTAATAGTTTCACTTCTTGATTGTGTTTGTTAGATTCTTGAATTGTTTGTGTATTTGTGTGTGTGTGTAGGTAGCGGAAAGGGCTTTATACTTATGGAACAACGATCATGTGAGTGATTTGGTGAGACAGAACAGTAGAATAATTTTGCCGATTGTGTTTCCTGCTTTGGAGAAAAACGGTAGTAGTCATTGGAACCAGGCAGTGAAGAACTTGACGGAGAACGTGCTCAAGGTTTTGTCTGATACGAATCCGGACTTGTTCGAAGAATGTTTGCGCAAGTTCCAAGAGGACCAGCAGAAAGCTGAGGATAGTAAGAAGAAGAATGGAGAAACGTGGAGACAGCTAGAGGAGATTGTTGCTTCAAAGGGACACACATCAATGGCGAAGTAAGAGTTTTCAAAAGGTTTATGTTTTGTTTTTGTTCCCTCGTCTTTACGGCTTGAGAGATATATATACAGTTTTTTTTTTTTTTACTTTTGCTTGCTTGCTTTCAAGTCTCTGATTTCGTTAAAACAGTGTGAGAGGTTTTAGCCAGATGTTTTTATCCTCCTCTTATTTCAGTTCTTGATTTGTGTCTGTATACTTTTTGTTCATGTAAACATCTTCTTATGAAAAAAAAACAGGAATTTTCTGTTGTCTTAAGTCTCTTAGTTTAAGGTTAAAAGAGATTGCTTGAATATTAAAAGATGATCTCAACCTGGTTACAAAAGTTTTGTCCTTGAGTGTACAGAGGATCTATTGGCATTTTCGTGCAAGATTGTTTGGATTTTTTTTCATGTTAAAAAGCTCTGTTACAACAGGTTACGTTTCTTCTTCCTCCTCGAGCAACAAACACCTAAACAGAAACTCTCGTGGATGGCTTTTCTTCAGCAGAAAAATGTTGTCACTATATAAATCCAAGAAGCAGAGAAGGTAGGGCGATTCTCGGATTTCAATCTTGCGAACGGTTAGGCGGGTTTGGTCACTGATATCTCACACATTAATGATGGTTCTTCTCAAGGTTTTCGATTATGTGGTTCTTCTCAAACGTGAGAAAAAAGAAACCTGAATCGGGGTTTGTCAACTTCGATTTTAAACTCCAAAAAAGGGTTTGATCTCTTGAATTCTGGTAACTATGGGATTGAAATGAAGCCAAATGTGATTGCAGATAGACATCAAATAGGTGGTAAAGGAGACTCTTTCTTTATATTTTTTTGGTTATAGAAAGAATGTTACACATTGGCTTCATGTTGTTTTCTTCATAGTCAAATATCAAAACTTCTTTGAAATCTGACAACTTGAAAGAAAAAGAATTAATACAAAATAATCAGAAAATGATTAGGCTCTATGGAGCCACAATTTGTGGTGTTGTTTTGCGTTTTCTCGTGTCACATTGTTTTTTTTTTCTTTTTTTTTGAGTTATTATGTGACTAAATTATGTTTGTGCAATATTCAAGAAAAATGTAATATATTATTTGCGAAGTCAGAATTTGGAATGGAGTCACCACGTTCAATCTCAGCCGTGGAATTACCGAACTACCCTTAATAAAAATCTTGATTAAATCTATGAATTTCCCTTTAAAAAAAAAAAAAACGAATTTGATGTTTGACTAAAATATTTTTAGATAAAACCTTAACTACCATATTACGCCTCATAGTTATCGAAGAAATTAAAAAAAATTGGAAAAAAAAGGAAAACCTAAGTTTCTTAACTGACTTTGTCTTATATAAATAGACTAGGTGGTTGTCCCGCACCTTGTGCGGGTACAATACTTTTTAAATACATTACTTAATGAAAGATTTTATTAACATAAATAGTAGAATTTATGATTGTAATTCATCGTTTTTATTTTCACCAACTTCTTATTTTTCTAATCTTGATGTGTTTTATTTTTATCATCTCTTTCTCATTTTTTACATAATATTCTTCATTCGGTTAGAGAGATACAAAAGATTTTTCACTTCTTGTTTTCATCTTCTTCCTCTTATTCTTCTCCAATATATCATATTCTTCATTTTCTTTCAATTTTATATTCGTTTTCATCATTTTTTTCTTTTTCTTCTTTTTCCCATTGTTGTTCTTCAATCTTTTCTTGTGATGTTTTCAATATTTTTTTTTTGCTTTCTAATTTTATTTACATTTTTTCCCGGTTTTTCGTCCTCCTCATTCCCCCTCTCTTTATCTCTATAATCTTTGTCTTATTTGACATCATATTATTCTAGTTTTTTTTTCTTTATCTTTTCTTCTCTTCACATTCCACTTTTTTTTCCTTTGATTTCTTTTTCCCCATGTTCGAGTTTTTCTCTTCAAAATTTCATCTTCTTTTTCACCGTCTTCTTTTCTTTTACTCATGTTTTATTCGTTCTTATCTACATCTTGTATTCCAGCTATCACTTCATTCGATAGTTTAGATTTTCAAGGATTTTTAAAATAGTTTTTATCTTTATATAGTCGAGATCTTTTAAAAATCTATTGGTTTTGTTATTTTCGATTTTAGATTTGCTTTAATTGTTTTAGATTTTTCTATTTATGAATTTAATTTAGAAAGGTAGATTCTTCCATAAATTTATAATCAATGATTTTTAATTTTGATATTCTTCCATACTAATTCAAATGTTTAAAAATACACCAAAAACTAAACCCTACATCTATCAATATAAACCCTACACCCTACACCCAAACCCCACAGTGTAGCAAATAATATATAAAAAGAGTAATTTGAAAAGAATACGGAATTTATGATAAATAGATGGTTGTCCCACACTTTGTGCGTATACAATATTTTTTAAATAAATTAATTAGTTAAAGATTTTAATAATATAAGTAGTAGAATTTTTGATTATATATTTTTTGTTTTCGTCAACTTCTTATTTCTGTAATTTTGATGTGTCTTATTTTTGTCTTCTCTTTCTCGTTCTTCTATATAATCTTCTTCATTCGTTTAGAGAGATACAAAAGATTTTCTACTTCTTATTTTTTTCTCTTTTATTCTTCTCCAATTATCTCACCTTCTTATTTTTCTTTCAATTTTATATTCGTTCTCATCACCTTTTTATTATTTTTTTCTTCCAATATTTGTTCTTCAATCTTTTCTTATATTTTCATATCTTCCACCTCACTATTCTTCTTTTTCTTTCTAATTTTATTTACATTTTTTCGGTTTTTCTTCTTCCTCATCCCCCCTCTCTTTATATTTATCATATTTGTCTTCTCTAACATCATATTATTCTAGTTTTTAGTTATTTCTTATGTGTCTTTTTCTTCTTCTTCACATTTCATTTGTTCTTCTTTGATTTCTTTTTCCTCATGTTCGAGTTTTCTTCTTCTCCATTCGTTTAGAGAGATACAAAATATTTCCCACTTCTTATTTTGTTCTCGTTTATTCTTCTCCAATGATCTCACCTTCTTATTTTTTTTTTTTCAGTTTTATATTCGTTCTCATCATCTTTTTCTTTTTCTTCAATCTTTTCGTATATCTTCATATCTTCCAGCTCACTATTCTTCTTTTTTTGTTTCTAATTTTCTTTACATTCTTTTTGTCAGTTTTTCTTCTTCCTCATTCCTCCTCTCTCTATATGTATCATCTTCGTCCTTTCTAACATCACATTATTCTAGTTTTTATTTATCTTTTCTTTGTCTTTTTTTTTTCTTCACATTGCATTTTTTCCTTTTTGATTTCTTTTTCCTTATGTTCGAGTTTTTTTCTTCTTCTCCAAATTTTCCATCTTCTTTTTTATTGTCTTATTTTCTTTTACTTGTGTTTTTATGAAAAGAGTAATTTGAAAAGAATACGGAATTTATGATAAATAGGTTGTTGTCCCGCACTTTGTGCGTATACAATATTTTTTAAATAAATTAATTATTAAAGATTTTAATAATATAAGTAGTAGAATTTTTGATTATATACATTTTTTGTTTTCGTCAACTTCTTATTTCTGTAATTTTGATGTGTTTATTTTGTCTTCTCTTTCTCGTTCTTCTATATAATCTTTTTTCATTCGTTTAGAGAGATACAAAAGATTTTCTACTTCTTATTTTGTTCTCTTTTATTCTTCTCCAATTATCTTATCTTCTTATTTTCTTTCAATTATATTCGTTCTCATCACCTTTTTATTTTTCTTCTTCCAATTTTTGTTCTTCAATCTTTTCTTATATCTTCATATCTTCCACTCACTATTCTTCTTTTTTTCTTTCTAATTTTCTTTACATTTTTTTCGGATTTTTCTTCTTCCTCATTCCCCCTCTCTCTATCTTTATCATCTTCGTCTTCTCTAACATCATATTATTCTAGTTTTTATCTATCTCTATTTTTGTCTTTTTTCTTCTTCACATTTCATTTTTTCTTCTTTGATTTCTTTTCCTCATGTTCGAGTTTTCTTCTTCTCCATTGTTTAGAGAGATACAAAAGATTTCCACTTCTTATTTTGTTCTCTTTTATTCTTCTCCAATGATCTCACCTTCTTCTTTTTCTTTCAGTTTTATATTCGTTTTCATCATCTTTTTCTTTTCTTCTTCCAATTTTTGTTATTCAATCTTTTCTTATATCTTCATATCTTTCACTATTCTTTTTTTTTTTCTAATTTTCTTTACATTCTTTTTTCGGTTTTTCTTCTTCCTCATTCCTCTCTCTATCTTTATCATCTTCGTCTTCTCTAACATCATATTATTCTAGTTTTTATTTATCTTTCTTTTCTTTTTTTTCTTCACATTTCTTTTTTCATGTTTTTTTTTCTTCTTCTCCAAATTTTCATCTTCTTTTTTACTGTCTTCTTTTCTTTTACTTGTGTTTTTATTCGTTCTTGTCTACGTCTTTAATTTATCGATAGTTTATATTTTCAATGATTTGTAAAATAGTTTTTATCTTTATATAGTTGAGATCTTTTAAAAATCTATTGGTTTTGTTATCTTTCCATTCTGGATTTGCTTTAATTGTTAATTTTTCTATTTGTGAATGTAATTTAGAAAGGGGAATATAAATTTATAATAAATGATTTTTAATTATGATATTCTTCCATTCAAATGTTTAAAAATGCACCAAAAACTAAACCTACACCCGGTCGTACGGGTGAAATTAGGGAACCGGGGAATCCGGTCGTACGTGTGGAATCCGACTCGGTGGGGGAATACTGACAATTGGATGGGGCGTGGAAGGAAACAGAGTGTCAAGCGGGTATTGGTTGGTTTAATTTTGATCCGGATTCGGGCTCAATTTTGGTCGGTGCAAGTAACCTACGACGGGGTTTAACACCTTTACAGACGGAGTTGGAAGCTTTAGTGTGGGCTATGCAATGTATGTTAGCCCACAATAAACGGCGTATGAATTTTCAGACAGATTGCACAGACTTGGTGAAGATGGTGTCGACACCCAGAGAGTGGCCAGCATTTGAAAATCTACTTGACGAGGTTGAGCAGTGCAAGAGGAAGTTCCAGGCGTTCTCCTTAACCCACATCCCAAGGACAAATAACACAAAGGCAGACAAGCTAGCACGGAGTGCTCGAGATCAGCCTTACAATGTGTGCTACATAAACTCAGTTCCACCGGTTTCAATCCCCGAACCGTTGTAGGAATTTAGGCTGTTGTCAAAAAAAAAAAAAAACTAAACCCTATACCATCAATATAAACTACATCCTAAACCCAAGCCCCACAGTGTAACACCACCCCCCCCCCTAAACATCCCTACACCCTAAACCCAAACCCCACTGTGTAGCAATCCCCCACCCCACCCCCACCCTCTAAGTAACCCAACTCCCTAAACCTAAACCCCACCCCAAACCGCACACCCGAACCCCACATTTTAGAAATTTGTTCTAGATTTGCTTTTTTTTTCTTGGAAAGATTTTTTTTAATCGGTAATGTATTGTATTCAGAATTTTTAAAGTGCATAAAAAAATAAACCTTATGCCAATCAATATAAACCGTACATCATAAATCCCAACCCCATATTATCTTCTTCTTTTACTTCTTTCATAATTTTTTCCTTCATTTTCTACCATTTTTTCTTCTTATGAAACTTTGTATTCTCTTTTATTTTCCTCTCTCTTCATCGTCATCTTTTTATCTCCTGGTTTTTATTCGTTTTCTTCATTTTATTTACAATTTGTTTTTCAATTGGCTTTGTGTTCTTATTCTTCATTTTTTTTATCTTTTGATTTTTAACTTCTTTGTTGTTCACATATTCTTCAATTATTTTCTTCTTCTGTTTTGTTTCTTTCGTTTTTTCGTCTTCGTCTTCCAACTTTCGTCTTTTCCTTATTATTATTCAGGTTTTCTTCTTATTTCATATTGTATTCTTCATCATTTTGTATTATCAATCTTTTTCTTTTTTTTTCAACATCTTATTTATCAGTTTCGTCTTCCTCTTTATTTTCTTCTATTTATGTTTTCTCATATTTCATATTTTTTCTTTATTGGTTTTTCTCAACATTTTATTTTCTTCTTTCTCCTACCTTATTTAGTTTATACAAAATAGACAACTTTTTTTTTGGTGAAAAATAGACAACTCTTTTCAATATACACTATAAATCCCAACCCCATTTTATCTTCTTCTTCTTTTACTTTGTCTTTTACTTCTTTCATATTTTTTTCCTTCATTTTCTACTCTTTTTTCTTATCCTTATTAAACTTTCTAATCTCTTTTTGTTTTCCTCTCTCTTCATCGTCATATTTTTATTTCCTGGTTTTTATTCTTTTTCTTTCTTTTATTTACAATTTTTTTTTAAATAGCTTTGTGTTCTTATTTTTCATTTTTTTATCTTTTGATTTTTTGAACTTATTTACTGTTCACATATTCTTCAATTATTTTCTTGTTTCGTTTTGTTTCTTTCGTTTTTTTCCGTCTTCGTCTTTTCCTTATTTTTATTCAGGTTTTTCTTCTTATTTCATCTTGTATTCTTCATCATTATGTATTATCAATCTTTTTTTTGCAACATTTAACTTATAAGTTTCGTCTTTCTCTTTACTTTCTTTTATTTATTTTTCCCCATCTTTTTATATTTCTTCTTCTTCATCTCCTCATACTTTTTTGTTATTTTTTTTCAATTGTAGTTCTTTCATCTTCTTTATTTTATTTGTCTTCTGTAACATCTTCATTTTCAGGTTTTCTTTGTCTTATCTTCTCATACTTTACTTTTGTCTTCTTTATCCTCCGATTTTCTTATTTTAATTTTTCCTTCTTAATCTCAGCTCTTATTCTTATCTTCCTTCATTATCTATGTTTTGTTATCTGAATCCATATTTACAGGCGCTATACTTCTTATTTTTCATGTTGTTCTTCGTCTTCTTGGTAATATATTTTAGTATCGATTCAGTCGTTTATGAAGGAAGACTATGATGTATGCAAATACAAATATTTTTTCTTGTATTTATCAATATTGCATTAATGTATATTCCATTAATATATGGGATAACCATACCCTTTCTTCTAATTTTTTCTTGTCCAATTTTCTCATCTTCTTTAGTTTCTTCCTACTCAAACTTTACATGCATTCCTCACTATCTTCAGATACCTTTTGCCTTAAATGTGTCTCTCTACCACTATATATATTCTACTCAGACAGTCTGATTATAAAATTAACAATAACCCTCCACCATCAATCATCCAATCAAAATCCATATTAAAACCACCCAAATCACCACATCACCAATTTTACCAACTCCGTCGAATTAGATTCACATCACTTTCGTATTTTGAAGTTCTTACAGTTTTTAGTCGGATCTCCAAAGCTTACTACAATCTGTTTCTCTAGTGGACATTCACAACCTTCAGCCTCATATATTTACTTATCGGAGCTATCTTTGGCCCTTTCTATCTTCTACTGTTTTACCGATATGATATTGGATAATCATCCCAAACATATTGATCGTGTCTGTATTTACCAATAGTATAACCAATTTCACAATTAGTCCTTACTCGAGAATCATCATCATGTTCTTGTTCTTTCTCCTCTCAAAAATCTTAGATCTCATTATATGATGCATGTGTAATTAAATTTATGTCATTGACAGATTTAACATGGACTATCCATTACTTTCAATCAGAGTATTATTTGAATGGACTATCAATTAAAAAGTCTATGCAAGAGGCAGAGAAAACGCTACAAAATTTTCAAATTATATTCGATTCACACCGACTCTAACTTAAGACATATCCACAACCGCGAGACCATATCAATTTGATTAACAATTAATTCCCCGCTCTCACATGTTTGTAAAATGTTCATCAGCTCACATGTTAGTAAACACCTTGCTTTTAAAGTGATACGCTTATTTTCTAGCTGAGACACAATGTTCATATTACGTAGGGAAGAGAGCCAAGAGACTCTTGCAGCCCAAGAAATACACTAATTAACATGTTAATTGTAAAACAGAAAATCTAGATACATTAACATCACGTAACGACTAAAACCAAGATACACATACCTTTAATAGAAGACAATATAGAGTTGTAGCAACAACAACACCAAAGATCTCTTCCTTGACCTCCCCACTTTTTTTCTACTCCTCACGGTCCATCTCCTCACATCTTCCTCTTTATCTCTTTCCCTTACAAACTCAACCCTAGCATTAAACTAATCAACTACTCAATCCTACCATTAAACTAATTAACTCTCTTGCCATGTAAGCTTCACTAAAGTCTTTTAGATACAGCCAAAGCTCCTTATGTCCTGGAAAGCTCTTCATATCTATTCTTTATTAGCCACAAACCCGAAAAATACGAATAACCCATTATCTCTCACGGTGAGTCAATGTTACTATAAACCTGAAGTTCACCATTAATGGAACCACTACTTCTTTATAATGGATATTATTCTACTACGCTAGGTTGATACAACCACTGATCTCCTACATCAACAAAATATAAGATTTCAACAAAGTCCCAGCATCGGATCAAGTCATCTAGAAATTAATAATCCTTGATTTGGATAGAAAACATTCAGAAACGATGATCGGAGTGGCACACAGCACCGGTAGTGGTCTAAATAGAAGAAAGATGGCTCGTAACAAAAGCTAGAGTTTCGGATCAAAGGTTCATGAACAAATTCGACGTATCCATCTGCAGTCATATTTCCGCAGCTAGCTATCAACTCCCATGACAATCTAAAATTGATATATTTTTTTTTATCGCCGAGAACGCGCTTGGCTGGAGCAAAACACTTTCAAAAGTGCTAACAAAGAATCTTTATATAGGTATACGATTAGGGTTTTTTAGCAGTCAATACTTGACGGGCTAGGCCCCAAAACGAAATTCAAACCATGTAATTTTTATCTTTTAATATTTTAATGAACAATAAATTCGTGAATAAAAAAAAAAGAAATTATGAAGATTTAATCTAGATTTTCATTAAGGGTATCTGGATAATCAACCAGCTGAGATTGAATGTGGTGCCTCTAAACGAAATTATCACTTCGCAAATAATATATTAGATAGCAATAAGCAAAATCAACACAATTTAGGTTTATTGTTTTTGTTAGATCTTAGTTCGTTGCAGTCTCGATTAAATAAAGATGAGTTTTTGGGTTTAAAGAGATTTGAAATTCGAATAATATGATCCATTATGCTACCGATTTGGTCATGGCGTTGCTGGACTTTTTAGATTGATGAACTTGGTGTGAGCCATCGTCTACGTTTTGTTTTTTTTTTTGGATTTGAAACTATATAGCATGTTTGGAGATGGATGCTTTAAAGCATGACTTGACCCATGAAAAATCTGTGGAAGATAAAAGAATCCTAGAGGTTCGTATCGACACCACGATTATATGGATAATTAATTTTTGTGGGTGCAACGTGATGGTTGTTGTAAGACATCCGTTGAAGAACCATGAATCTGTTCACGAGACAGCACAGCACAGTTTTTAACGGGATCGAAGCAAGGTGTAATTTGATATAATAGGGAATAAAGACAGGGAAAGGTGAAGGACTAGACCCGTTCGTTCTCACCAGAATCTTGGTCACTCCGGGATGGATCTCCACCACGTAAGCTCTCACACCTCCTCCGTCAGTTTCCGCGACGAACCTGAAACAGTCCAACCTCTCTTCTACCGCCACGTCAGCGTCTGACCTCAAAGGAAGCTCTAAGACGCGGCTGAAGATATGCGGGAGCCGTCGGAGCTTCTTTTTAGGTTCTCGGGTCGGGTGGTGATGGATCAAGATGTTGTTGCCTTTTCTGGGTAAAGCATGGACTGTCATGGTGTGTGATTCGTGAGAGTGATAAAGGAGCGATTGTGGTCAAAATTAATAGGAGAAAAGAAGAAAGGAATATTGATAACCAAAAAAGTGATCGCCTTTTTTCGGTAGGAAATCAAAATTTGCAGAAAAGCTACGGCTCTGTAAATTTTATCGATTTATGATCCAACTCTGGGATTAGTATTAGGCAATTGAGATTGATAAGCAAATTAGATTACGAAACGAAATCGAAAGCTGCGATTTTTAAAGAAGTGGAGACGGAAACAGAATGTTCATTTTAATTTACAGAATAACTTCTGTCTACGTGGATATTAACTGATAACGACGATGCTCCTTCCGCCGCCGATAACCTCAACCGCAGCCTCCGCCGCGAATGGTGGTGTTTTAAACGGAATGTCACTCTGCAAAACGCTCCCCCACGTCTAGCAACTCCATGCGCATATCCTCCGTACAGTCTTCGACTACCGCCTCAACACCATTCTCTTCAACCTCTCCTCTTCTTCTTGCTCTATCAGTCTCACCTACGCTCTATCCAAAGGAGATCGCAACAAAGGAGCTCTCAGTTTTTATGTAGAGCTGCTAATTCAAAGGAGCTCGCAACAGAAGAATCCAAAAAAGCCAAAAACCATAATCTCCAGAGCCAAACTGATCTCTGGTTTGGGTGATCAATACTTAACTCCTAGGTGTTTGACAAGCTCAAGTTCAGCTCTGACAAGGTAAAGACAAACGAAAGTTGGGAAGACAAAGATGGAAAAAACAAAAGAAACAAAACAAAAAAAGAACAGAATTAGAAAATATGAAAACAAATAATAAGTTGGAAAAATGAGAAGATAACGAAGATGAAGAATAAGAACACAAAACCATTAAAAAATTGTAAATAAAAGAACAAAAACGAATAAAAACCAGAAAATAAAAAGATGATGAAGAAGAAATAGGAAATGAAAAAAAAAGAGATTTGGAAAGTTGGATCAGAATAAGAAAAAATGGTTGAAGTAGAAGACAAAGTAAAAGAAAAAGAAATAAAATTTGGAATAATAAAAAGTTGGAGAAGACGAATATGCTAAGAACGTGGGGAAATAATCAATGAAGAAGAAAAGTCAAAAAAAAGAAATACAATCAGAAAAATGTATATGAAGATGATGAAACTATAACACATGATGAAACAAAGCATATTGGTGTTTGATTATGATATTTAATATGTTATGATGCTTCCACATATATTAATTATGATTTTTTTTTGTTTTTTTATAAAAAAATTAATGTTCTTAATATATTGTGGTGCTTTGAAACAAAAATAGTGATGCTATGGTGTTTGAGTATTTATTTACTATTCTAAAATACATTTACAAAGAGAAAAAAAAACTAAAACAATTAAAGAAAAACCAAAATTAAAAGATAATAACACCCATAGATTTTTAAAAGATTTCGACTATATAAAGATAAAAACTATTTCATCCATCCTTGGAAATCTAAACTATCGAAGGAATTGATAAGTGAAATACAAGACGTAGACAAGAATAAAAAAAAATGAGTAAAAGAAAAGAAGACGGTGAAAAAGAAGATAGGAAACTCGAGAAGAAGAAGAAGAAAACTCGAACATGAGGAATAAGAAATCAAAGAAGAAAAAATAGAATGTGAAGAGAAAAAAAAAAGACAAAGAAGAGATAAATAAAAACTAGAATAAGATGATGTCAGATAAGAAGAAGATGATAAAGATAAAGAGAGAGGGGAGAATGAGGAAGAAGAAAAACCGGATATATAATGTAAAAAAGATTAGAAATAAAAAGATGAATATTGAGTTGGAGCATATGAAGAAACAAGAAAATATTGAAGAACAAAAATTTGAAATAGAATAAAAAAAAAAGAAAAGGAATAATGATGACAACCAATAAAAAAATGGAAGAAAAGAGAAGAAAATGGAATCACCGGAGATGAATAAGAGAGAAGAAAACAATTCTTTTAAAGAAAAAAAAAACATAAAATTAAATCCAAAACCAATTTATAATTTGGGGTTCACGTGTGTGACTTAGGGGGAGAGGATTATAATGTGGGTTTGGGTTTAGGATAGGGTTGTTTAGGGGGGAATAGTGGGTTTGGGTTTAGGGTATAGGAAGGGTGTTTATTATTCTAAAATACATTCAAAAAGAGAAAAAATGACTACAACAACCAAAGCAAATCCAGAATCAAAAGATAAAAACACTCATAAATTTTTAAAATATCTTGACTATATAAAGATAAAAACTATTTCACCCATCTTTGGAAATCTAAACTATTGAATGATTTGATAAGTGAAATACAAGACGTAGACGAGAATAAAAAAATGAGTAAAAGAAAAAAAGATTGTTGAAAATAAGATGGGAAAGTCAAGAACAAGAAGAAAACTCGAACATGAGAAATAAATAATCAAATAAGAAAAAATAGAATGTGAAGAGAAAAAAGACCAAGAAGAGATAAAAAAAATCTAGAACAAAATTATGTCACAGAAGACGAAGAGGATAAAGATAGAGAAGAGAGAGAGAGAGAGAGAGAGAGAGAGAGAGAGAGAGAGAGAGAGAGAGAGAGAGAGAGAGAGAGAGAGAGAGAGAGAGATGAGGGGTTATATTGTGGGGTTGGGGTTTACGGAGTAGAGTTTATATTGATGGGTGTAGAGTTTAGTTTTTAGTGAATTTTTAAAAATTTGAATTAGTATGAAAGTATATCAAAATTTATATCTACTATTCTAAAATACATTCACAAAGAGAAAAATAACTACAACAACCAAAGTAAATCCAGAATCAAAAGATAAAAACACCAATAGATTTTTAAAAAATCTCGACTATATAAAGATAAAAACTATTTCACCCATCCTTGGAAATCTAAACTATCAAATTATTTGATAAGTGAAATACAAGACGTAGACAAGAATAAAAAATGAGTAAAAGAAAAGAAAATAAGATGGGAAAGTCGAGAACAATAAGAAAACTCGAACATGAGGAATAAGAAATCAAATAAGAAAAAATAGAATGTGAAGAGAAAAAAGACAAAACGAGATAAATAAAAAAAACTAGAATAAAATTATGTCAAAGAAGACGAAGATGATAAAGATAGAGAGAGAGAGGGGGGAATGAGGAAGAAGAAAAACCGGAAAAATCATGTAAAGAAAATTAGAAATAAAAATAAGAATAATGAGTTGGAGTATATGAAGAAACAAGAAAATATTGAAGAACAAAAATTGGAAGTAGAAGAAGAAGAAGAAAATATAATGATTGACAACGATTAAAAAAATGGATGAAAAAAGAAGAAGATAGAATGGCTAGAGAAGAATAAGAGAGAGAGAAGAAAACAATCATTACAAAAAACCTTCTTTTAAAGAAAATAAAAACATAAAAGCCAACCCAAAACCAATTTGTAACATGGTACTTAGGGGAGAGGATTATAATGTGGGTTTGGGTTTAGGGTGTAGTAGGGGGGTTATAATGTGAGGTTGAGTTTATGGTGTATTGTTGTTTAGAGGGAGGGGGTTATAATGTGGAGTTTGGATTTAGGGAGTAGGGTTTATATTGATGGGTGTAAGGTTTAGTTTTTAGTGAATTTTTAAAAATTTGAATTATTATGAAAATATATCACAATTTATATATACTATTCTAAAAATGTTCACAAAGAGAAAGAAAACTAAAAGAATTAAAGCAAATCTAGAATCAAAAGATAATAACACCCATAGATTTTTAAAAGATCTTGACAATATAAAGATAAAAACTATTTCACCCATCTTTGAAAATCTAAACTATCGAATGAATTGATAAGTGAAATACAAGACACAAACAAGAATAATAAAATAAGTAAAATAAAAGAAGACGGTGGAAAAGAAGATGGGAAACTGGAGAAGAAGAACTCGAAAATGAGGAATAAGAAATTATAGAAGAAAAAATAGAATGCGAAGAGAAAAAAAAAGACAAAGAAGAGATAAATAAAAATTAGAATAAGATTATGGTTGAGGAGACGAAGATGATAAAGATAGAGAGAGGGGGGAATGAGGAAGAAAAACCGGAAAAATAATGTAAAGAAAATTATAAATAAAAAGAAGAATAGTGAATGGGAGGATATAAACAAGATAATAATGAAGAACAAAAATTGAAAGTAGAAGAAGAAGAAGAATAATAGGAATAATGATGACAACAAATAAATAAATGGAAGAATAAGAAGAAGATGAGATTAAAGGAGAAGAAAACAATCATTACAAAAAAAAAAAAAAACTTTTAAAAAAAATAAAAAAATAAAAGCAAATCCAGAATCAATTTGTGATGTGAGGTTCACGTGTGAGACTTAGGGAGAGAGGATTATAATGTGGGTTTGGATTTAGGGTATAGAGTTGTTTAGGGGAGGGGAAGGTTATAATATGGGCTTTGGGTTTAGGGTGTATGAAGGGAGTTATAGTTTGAGCTTGAGTTTAGGGTGTAGGGTTGTCTAGGGGGAGGGGGTTATAATGTGGGGTTTGAGTTTAGGGTATAGGTTAAAATTTTGAATTATTATGGAAGAATTTCGTAATTAAAAATTATTGATTATAAATTTATATCTACATTTCTAAATTAGATTCACAAATAGAAAAAACTAAAACAATTAAAGTAAATCCAAAATCGAAAGATAACAAAACCAATAGAATTTGAAAAGATCTCGACTATATAAAGATAAAAAATATTTCACAAATCCTTAAAAATCTAAACTATCGAATGAATTGATAGGTGAAATACAAGACATAGACAATAACGAATAAAAACACGAGTAAAAGAAAAGAAGATAGTGTTAAAAAAGATGGAAAATTTGGAGAAGAAGAAGAAAACTCAAACATGAGGAAATAGAAATCAAAGAAGAAAAATGGAATGTGAGTTGAAAAAAAGACAAAGGAAATAGAAATAAAAATTAGAATAATATGATTTCAGAGAAGATAAAGATGATAAAGATAGACAGAGGGAGAATGAGGAAGAAGAAAATCGGAAAAAGAATGTAAATAATTGAAAAAGAAAAAGAAGAAGCGTGAGTTCGAGGATATAAAGATACAAGAAAAGATTGAAAGACAAAAATTGAAAAAAAAAAGGAAAATGATGAGAATGAATATAAAATTGAAAGAAAATGAATAAGATGAGATAATTGGAGGAGAAAAATAGGGAGAAGAAAACAATAAGTGGAAAGATTTTGTATTTCTTAAAGCAAATGAAGAATATTATTTAGAAGAATGAGAAAGAGAAAACAAAAATATGACATATAAAGATTACAAAAAATAAGAAGTTGGCAAAAACAAAAACGATGAGTACAATCCAAAATTCTACTACTTACATTATTCAAATCTTTAATTAATTAACGTGTTTAAAAAATATTTTTCCCGCACAAGGTGCGGGACAACCACCTAGTAGACTAGTAAAATATTGTGAAATTTCCACAAGAATCGTGTACATAACATTGTTTTGGACAAGAAAACAATTGAATAATTGATAAAATGTAAAATTTTGGTAAAAGGAAAAAGCTACAAATTTTAAAAGAAAAAAAAGGAAATCGATGATCACAATAAGTAAAATGTAAAGTCTAATAAATTACAGTTTTCTTATAAGAAGAGATGTAATTTTTTTTAATAAACCAGAAAAAGAATTGTATACGTTGACAAAAATATTTAAAATATTTGTAGTAAGTTGACAAAAAAAAATATTCTTAAAAGGAAAATTACTACATCATAACAATAGAAAAAGAGAAATCTTATTTGATTGAAAGCTATATAAAACATAAGTGAATAAGCTTAATTTCTCAATTAAAATATTCATAGTAGCTATCATCATCTTTCACATTTTAAAAAGATGGATCAAGAGATGGATGAAGAGTTGGATTTAGATTTGAGCTTAGCTCAATATGATCCATGGGTTATAAAAAAGAAGTTAACCGCGACTGATACTTTGTATTATGGTAAACTTTATCTACCGCAACAAGGAATGGATTCTATAACTGCGCAGATGAGACAGCCTATGATCCAGCAAATGAGAACAATAGAAGGTGTTGAAGTGAAGGTTCATGTATAGAAGAATGTGATCAAAATGATGACTACACATGGAGGTTAGTTAGAGAGGGTGACAGCAAATACTATTTGAAGGGAGGATGGACCGCTTTTGCTAGAGACAATAGTTATAAAACAGGCGATGAAATTGGACTCATGTGGGATCAAAGTTATGAAAGATTCTTGCTCCACAAAGATAGTCCAATATTAGTCGTCTTCTCAACTATCAAAGAGTTGTTTTTCTACTATTTATTTAGAGGGTTTTATTTTACTACTATTTTTTTTAATGTGGATTTTATGAGGTTGTAATAGTTAAAATAATGATTATTATTTTTTTAATTTTAAGTTTTGGTCTTTTATTCATCAGAAACTCTTATATCTTTAAGGGATAATAATGTTGATGCTAATCATACCACTTGTGTTTAATTTAATTACTAAACTCTTATATCTATAAGATAGTAACTGGTGATTATTGCTAAACGGGACTAACTTACTAGGATCCAACCAAATTCTCAATATTCACGAGGAAAGGTGTATATACAAAACTAATCCACGAAACCATCCGGTATTATGCGTGGTGTCGTTTAAACACAATGTTTCGTGTTGTATAACTATGTCGAGTCAAACTCTTGTAATGTATGTAGTGTGATACAGAATACTCTGTCTTACTTCACTCTGTTTCGTAAACACATCAAACACAATTTCTAACATGGTAATAGAGCCGGTTCCAACGCAAGAGACCCCTGAAACAGCGAGGGCAAAGGCGCTGAGAGAAGAAGCTGTAAAAAATGATACGTTGGCATTGCAAACTTCTGTGACGGATCAGATATTCTCACGAATTGCGGGAGCAACAACATCAAAAGAGGCATGGGATGCATTGAAGGCTGAGTATCAAGGTTCTCCACAAGTTCGTTTGATCAAACTTCAAGCATGAAGTAAGGAGTACGAAAATCTGAAGATGTATGATCACGAAGGCATAAAGAACTTGACCGATAAGTTAATTGTTCTGGAAAATCAGTTGGCTTATCATGGTGAAAACTAAACCAACATTTAACTCATACAAGAGATACTCATCTCTCTCACTCCCGGCCAAAATCGATAGTATCGTTAGCGTGTTGGAGCAAACTCGCGACTTGACTACAACAACGATGACAGAGCTAATCGGTATCTTGAAGGCTCATGAAACAAGGCTGTCCGTAAGAGAAGAAAGAAACAGCGAATGAGCATTCAATGCTCACTCAAAACAAAGAGATTCTGGTTTCAAACGAGGCAACACCAAAAGCCGTGTGAGTCAAGGCAAGAAGTGGTGTGAGTTTTGCAAAAAGAGCCACCACACAGAGAATGAGTGTTGGAAGAAAAGAAACCAAAGAGAAACGATCATGGCAAGAGCCAGAAGAGTAACAAGTAGTGTTACAACTTTGGCAAGATCGGCCACTACTCAAATGCGTGTTACTCAAAGAAAAAGGAGAGAGCGCATGTAAGTCTCGAGGAGGAGGACTTAGACGAAGATCACATGTTGTTTAGTGCGAGTAAAGAATCGGCAACAACATCGAGAGAAGATATATGGTTGGTATACAGTGGGTGCACTAACCATATGACCAAAGAAGAGAGATACTTCTCAAAGATTGATAGAAGTATCAAGGTTCCGATAAAAGTCGGAAAAGGAAGCATAGTCATGACGGCCGGGAGACATCACTGTCATGACAAGTTGTGGCAAGAAGACAATCAAAAACGTGTTTTTGGTTCCTGGTTTGGAGAAAAATTTGCTATCGAGTATGTTTCCAAAACAAGAGATGTGTCATTTTAGATGCATATGGCGAGAGGATAATGGAGATTCCAATGACTCACAAAAGTTTCAGAATCAAGATGACTTCTGTCGTAGAAGAAGCCATGAATGCAAGCAAGCAACAAGAAATGGAGATATGGCACAAGAGACTCGGCCATGTAAGAAACGGTCGCTTGCAACAGATGCAAGACAAGTATTTGGTAAAAGGTTTACCAAAGTTTCAAGTCACAAAGGAAGTATGTGAAGCGTGCAATCTAGGGAAGCAATCTCGCAAAAGCTTTCCAAAAAAGTCTCAAACGAAGACTCAAGCAAAGCTTGAGATTGTGCATACGGATCTATGCGGACCGATGCAGCACAAATATCTCGAGGGAAGCCGTTATTTCCTTCTGTTTTTAGATGACTATACCGATATGTGTTGGGTATACTTCTTAAGGCAAAAGTCTGAGACTTTCTTAGCGTTTAAGAATTGTAGGGCAGTGGTGGAGAAGCAATCCGACTGTACCATCAAGACCTTGAGATCCGACGGAGGTGGGATTGGGATAAGAAAGAAGAAGCAAAGAAGACCATTGTCTTATCCATAGAAGACAATCCACTACCAAAAGATCAACCCGTAAGCATCTCTAGTCCAAATCTCATTTCAAATAATGATCAAGACGACATTGAAGATGGAGAGACGTCTGAATCACCAAAGAGGTACAAGTCCATGAACGAGATTCAACAAGTAGCCCCGAGAGTGGAATTTGAAGATGAAGCGGCTCAAACAATCGAGTTTTGCCTTGTTGCTCATGACGAGCCACAAACTGACGATGAAGCATGCAGACAGCAAAGAATGGAGAAAGGACATGAGTGAAGAAATAGAGATGATTGAGAAGAACAAGACTTGGAAACTTGTAGGCATGCCAGAGAAGAAAAACAACGTGATAATCAGAGAAGTAGAAGAGAAGAGTCGCCATGAAATAATGAAATCACCTAAACCTCCGAGTCTCCCTGAGAAATCTCTTAAACCCAGTTTCTTCTACGGCCACTGTAAACCGTCGCGTAGCCGTCCCGTCGTCGTCTACGGTGGTCTCTTCTCCAACCGCCAATCTCTGAGTCCAATTATGGTTGGATATGTGGTGATGAAGAGGCTGAGTGATTTCTTGAGTTTGCTAGAACGAATTGGCAAGGTAGGTTACGATTACCTTACTGAGATTTTCAGATTCTTGTGTGCTGGCTGAGTGATTTCTTGAGTTTGATAGTAAGAAGAATGTGCTCAAGGTTTTGTCTGATACGAATCCGGAAGCTGAGGATAGTAAGAAGAAGAATGGAGAAACGTGGAGACAGCTAGAGGAGACTGTTGCTTCAAAGGGACACACATCAAGGCCAAGTAAGAGTTTTTTAAAGGTTTATGTTTTTGTTTTTTTTCTTCCTCGTCTTTATGGCTTGAAAGATATATATATATACAATTTTTTTTTTACTTTTGCTTGCTTGCTTTCAAGCCTCTGATTTCGTTAAAACAGTGTAAGAGATTTTAGCCAGATGGTGTTTCTAATGAATAAAAGACCAAAACTTAAAATTAAAAAATAAAAATATCTATTATAAAACTCATAAAACCCACATTAAAGTAAAAAAAAAAAACATTAGTAAAATAAAACCCTCTAAATAAATAATAGAAAAACTCTTTAACTACTTTTGGAATTGGACTATCTTGTGGAGCAAGAATCTTTCATAGCTTTGATCCCACATGAGTCCAATTTCATCGCCTTCTTGGTAACCATTGTTTCTAGCAAAAACGATCCATCCTCCCTTCATATAGTATTTGCCGTCACTTTCTCTAACTAATCTCCATGTGTAGTCTTCAGCTTGATTACCCTCTTCTATAACATGGACCTTCACTTCAACACCCTGTATCGTTTCCATCTCCTCGCGCATAGACTGCCTCATCTGCGGAGTTATAGAACCCATTCCTCTTTGTGATAGAGAAAGTTTACCATAATTCGAAGTATCAGTCGCGGTTAACTTCTTTTTTATAACCCATGGATCATATTGAGCTAAGCTCAAATCTAAATTCACCCCTTGATTCATCTTTTTTAAAGTGTGAAAGAAGATGATAGCTAATATGAATATTTTGATTGAGAAATTAAGCTCATTCACTTATGTTTATATAGCTTTCAATCAAATAAGATTTCCCTTTTTTTGCTATTGTTACAATATAGTACTTTTCCTTTTAAGAATATTTTTTTTGTCAACTTACTACAAATATTTTAAACATTTTTGTCAACATATACAATTCTTTTTCTCGTTTATTAAGAAAAATTACATCTCTATATAGGAGAAAACTGTAATTCATTAAACTTTACATTTTACCTACTGTTGTGATTATAGATTTCCTTTTTTTAACTTTTAAAATTTCTAACCTTCTTCTTTTACGAAAATTTTACTTTTTTTTATCAATTCAATTTTTTTTTTCTTGTCGAAAAAAATGTTATGTACACGATTCTTGTGGAAATTTCACAATTTTTTACTAGTATATCTTTCTTGAATATAAATGCGCAAACATATTTATCCACATAATAGCTCACAAAAAAAAAAGTAAAGAATTTGACCGGAGAAAACGCAAAACAACACCACAAATTATGGCCCATAGAGCCCAATCATTTTCGAAACTCGTCATCACCATCAAAATATATCGTCATCACCATCACCATCACAATTATGGTACGAGTTCTTTTGCCACGAAATAAAACACCATACTGTAGTGTGTAACGTGTTGATCAAGGAACCTAGCAAAATTCCGGTTTTTAAACATGGATATTAAGCTGCTTTTCTACATTGTAGTTGGCGGGAAAAACTTACTTGAACGTTAACTACCAATGAGAAAAGACCCTTCTCTGCAGCAACCTGAACAAATTATCAAGTGATGAAGAAGATACCTCAAAGATGGGATATACATTATACATATAATATCTCCCTTAAGACTAACTAGGAACTTTAAGTAAGACGAACTAATTAAGGTGATTGTCTCTCTTACGTACTTGTGCAGCACGGCCCTTGCGTCTAACCACATGATCCATACTTCTAGTGTCTTTGTAAAATGTTTTTACCTGTTTTCTTGGAGACGGTCTCCGGCTTACTCGTTTCAGGCTGAAATAGTTTAATGTTTATGCTGATGCTTCCCACCTTTACCCAAGGCTAATGAAGAAGATGCCATATTCAATTAAAGAAAACGGTGCGTTTGAGTTTGTAGTGATGATGTTGATGTTCTTGCTAATGAGAATGAGGTTAGATTCTACGCTGAGGTTAAGAACGTGGAAGCATCAACAGTCGTGCTCCATCTTCTTCCTCTACGCCCTCGGTTTTGAGCCACAAAATTGGTTGGGATGCACAGTTTGGTGTTCTCAAGATTGTCCTTATACCTCCTCGCGACAACGACATCACCAACACCAACACCAACACCAACACCAACAAGAGCGACTAATATCACTATCTTATTATCTACTACGTTTTCATTTCACGCATCTATGTTTCTGGTTTGGGAGAACTTTTGTTTGACTATTAGCTACTCTTGTGTGTGTTTAAAGTTATGAGACAATTGTGTGTGTTTTGTGTTTGCTACGGAATCCAGTGATTTATCTTATTGCTTTCACGATCTTTAATTTTGTTTCGATCTTGATGAAAAAAGCTACTACCCTTTTGTATCTGCGTTATGGTGTATTTAATTAACTCGAGATCTAGTGATAAGAATCAAATTTGTATTAGGGTTTATGAGATCTGATATATTTTGGTTGCTTTAAATTAAAGTGTAGATGGAAACCTTAAGAACTTGATCTAAGTCTACTGTAAAAGAAAATTTGAAGTTTTGACTCACAGATATGATCAGAAGCAGCTTGAGAGAAGATGTTTAAGAAGATAGTTGAGCAAAAAGATCACCAAATGGAGATAGTCTTGATTGCCAAGGCTGAGAGATGTTTCCATCTCCAAGAATCAAGACCTATTTCTTAATGCCAACAGTGTTAACAAAATGTCAATAGAATTTCTGGATTTACATGAACAAAAAGTCGGTTTATGTATTCAGTTCTTGATTTGTCTGTATACTTATGTTCATGTAAACATCTCCTGATGAAAAACATTGCCTTAAGTTGCTTAATTTAGGTGAAAGAGATTGCTCTAATATTAAAATGATGCTGGAAAAAGTCTTGTCCTTTAGTGTACAAAGGATCTATTGGCATTTTCCTGCAAGAATCTTTGGAATTTGTTTTTAAAAAAGCTCTGTTGCAACATGATTTCCTCTCTAACAAGAAACACCTAAACAGAAACTCTCTGCGATGACCACTCTTGGTCGGTTTTTCTTCCGAAGGTTTCACCAGAAAAGTGTTGATGTGATCTCGAGAGACATCATCAAGCCATCATCTCCAACTCCAAACCACTTAAAGAACTTCAAACTCTCTCTTCTAGAACAGCTCGGTCCAACCATCTTTGGTCCTATGGTCTTCCTCTATTCAGGCAACAACAACAGAACCAAACAACCTGAACAATTACAGAAGCTAAAGAAGTCTTTATCCGAGACTCTAACTCATTTCTACCCTCTCGCTGGACGGCTCAAAGCCAACACAAGCATCGACTGCAACGACTCAGGCGCTGATTTCCTCCAAACAAAAGTTAATTCACCGCTTTCGAGTCTCCTACAAGAACCCTCTTCAGATATCTTACAACAACTGATTCCAACACCAGTCGATTCCACAGAAGCAAGAACCAAGCTCCTTCTCGCTCAAGCGAGTTTCTTCCAATGTGGAGGCATGGCGATAGGAGTTTGCATCTCTCACAAACTCGCCGACGCGACTTCCATCGGTTTGTTCATGAAGAGCTGGGCTTCAATCTCGGATTTCGGTTCGATCAAACCCGGTTGTTATCCGGTTTTCGACACGGCCAAGATCTTCCCACCTGGAAACTTCTCCGAGACTGCCCCTGCACCGGTGGTTGAGCCAGAGATCAAGATGGATCTGACTCTTTCGAAGAGGTTCGTGTTCGATTCCTCGAGCATTCAAGCTCTGCAAGCGAAAGCTTCAAGCTTTGAAGTGAATCAACCTACAAGAGTCGAAGCTGTTTCAGCTCTGATTTGGAAATCCGCAATGGAAGCTACAAGAAAAGTTTCGGGAAAATCGAAACCGTCGATTCTCGCGAACTCCGCGAGCTTACGCTCTCGTCTGTCTCTACAGTTTACAGAGAACTCAATCGGGAATCTCGTGAGCTACTTTGCAGCGAAAGCAGAGGAAGGAGTAAAACAGAGAAAGCTTCAAACTTTGGTGGCCGAGATACGGAAAGCGAAACAGAGGTTTCGAGATAGCCATGTACCGAAGCTCGTGGGAAACCGGAATGCGACGGAGATCATCTGTAGCTACCAGAGAGAAGCTGGAGATATGATTGCGAGTGGAGATTTCGATTTCTACATCTTCTCGAGTGCTTGCCGGTTTGGTTTGTATGAGACAGATTTCGGTTGGGGGAAACCGGTTTGGGCTGGGTTTCCTTCGGTTAGACAGAAGAACATTGTGACGCTTCTTGATACGAAAGAAGCTGGTGGAATTGAAGCTTGGGTGAATTTGAATGAGAAAGAGATGAAGATTTTTGAAGAAGATAGAGAATTGATCGAATTTGCTTCACTGAATCCTAGTGTGATCCAACCTTTTCTCCATGTTCTCTGATTATAAATCCGGTTTAGTGATCTAAACTGGAGATATTTGCTGAATTTGGTTTTATTTTGAGGTTTTGTCTTTTTTAATTTCCAGTTAATAAACTAGCCGTTGGGAGGCCACTGAAAGGTTAAAAATGTAAATAACAAAATGGTGATGTAATAAATAGTCCAGGAGAAGGAAAATAAAGATATCATTTTGTCAAGTTAAAATATAAATGAGAAATCACTAATAAAAGAATTCCTGTTAAATATTTGTCAATTTACCTTATAGTATTCATATTTTCTTTTGATAAATGTACACTATTTGCCAATATTCCATATAAAAACATGTACAATTTTGTCATATTTTCATAAAACCTCTCTTAATTTTATCACTAAAAATAAAAAATTTCCGAAGTACATTTTCATATAATTTAATATTATAAGCTAATTTTAGGTTTAGTAGATCTAGTAATTTTTAAAAATAATTATTATTTCCTGTTAAGCAAGGGTAAATTCCAGTATTGTAAATTATTCACTTCTTCTACATTTCCACTATTATTCTTTTTTTTGGTAATGCAATGGGAGACATAGGCCCCCCCCCCTCCCCGGCGAATGGAATTAGAAAAAACTAAAAAAAAATTACAAAAGTACTTGTCTCATGCTCGTAAGCCCAATCTCATCTTCCCATCTAATAGACTCAAGGGAAGGAGGAACAACATCGAAAAGGTGAAAACCAAGCGGTAAAGAGTAAGCGTGATTCGCCAAACCATCTGCAAGACGATTGGCTTCCCGAACAATAATTTTCTACTATTATTCTTCTACTCAGGAGTCAAGACAACAAAATAAAATTTCTCCCTCTGTTTGATAAAATAATTTTCTACTAAAAAATAGAGAAAGTGCCGTTGGGAGAAAATTTTAAATCAGAAGGTTGAGTTTTGGACCTACTTTGAGATTTGGAGCCGAAGCTATAGATAAAAAGAAGTTTCAGTTTCTCAGCGAGAATCCAGATTTGGGGATAAAATTAGGGTTTTGGATACTCGAGAGGAAGAAAAAAATGGGAGAATCCGTCTGTCTTATGAGATCCTTCTCGCAACCTGCAGAGATTTCATCGCGTGAAACTAACGAGGTCAGTGCTTGAGATTTGCTTTTCTATGCTCTTAATTGTTTTCTCTCTACTTTCTTCTCGTTCGATTCCGCCATTTTTGTTCTGTTGAGGAAATTCGGGAATTTGGGAGTTATTTGAGCAGATGTAATCATTGATTTAGGGTTTTTGAACCTCGGAGCCCGATTCTGGAAATCGATTTTGCTAGTGTTTCGAATTATAGTGTTTGCTGATGAAAGCTGAAGATTCTGGGAAGAGAATTTTGAGATTTGGATTTGGATTTTTTGGTTTGCAGGTGGTGAATCCGCATCGCGTACTCACGGAATCAGTATCGTTCGGTAGATTTGCGTCAGAGACTCTACAATGGGAGAAATGGTCAGCTTTCACTCAGAATCGTTACTTGGAAGAGGTCGAGAGGTTCACAAAACCTGGTTCTGTGGCAGAGAAGAAAGCTTTCTTCGAAGCTCACTTCAAGAGCCGAGCTGCTGCTGGGAGAACAACAAAGACGAAGATCGAACAAGTAAATGTCAAAACCAGTGATGAAGCTCTGTGTGAAGTAAAGAAAGATAAGCTCATTGATTCAGAAGAAGTATCACTTGTGGTGAATGAAGTCTCTAATCCTGAGGTGGTGGACTCTGTTGCTCCATCAACTTCTGTGATAGATGAAACAAACGATGTTCAAGCTGGTGAAGTGAAGGTTACTACTGAGGAGAAGTTTGATTCAATGGCTCTTGATGAGGTAATGTTCTTGTGAAATCATCAAATTCTTATACATCCTGCTTTGTCTTGTTCTTGCTTTCTCAACGTCCATGGAATTTTCAGGGAATTTCTACTTCTATGAGCAAAGAAAGGCGTCCTAGCTCTTCAGGATCAAAGGCTTCAAAACCTGAACCATCCTTTGTTATAGGACTTGATCTGCCACTTAAGAAAACCAGAAAAGAGCCATCCTCAAGTAGTAGAAGGACAGTTCGTGGAATCAGAAACCAAAACAGATCGCCTCTTGAACCAATTCACATGTCAATCAACTGTGCTCCGTCGGAAGAGAAAAGTACCGGGAAGCCCCAAAACGGTTTGAGAAGCAGTGCCAATGCTAATAAGGGTGCAGTGAAAGCAAACAAGAAGGAGAGATCGTTTCCAAGTTCAGTTCACATGTCACTCAACCTTGCTTCTTCTGCTCAAAAACCAGCCCCAAGAAAACCCACTACACAGGAAACAGCTCCAACAAATGCTAGAAACAGTGTTTTCTCAAATGAAAACGAACCAACGGGAGCTCCAAAAAGCCGCAAGAGACCATTGCCTCCTCGAACAGCCAAAGAAGGTTCTAAAGCTGCAAAATGTTCAACCAGAGTAATTCTCCTCCCAAGTGTTTTACATTTTCATTCTGTATATTCCAGGCATATATGCTGAGACTGACTCTTATATACATTGTTTTAGGCCTCTGCTCTCAGGTTACCTGAAATTCCTCCTCCTCCCAATAATCAGCTACCTGAAAACAAAAGGTTATTGAATTGATCCATCCTATCTTCACCATCATTCGTAGCTTTATAGTAACTCAACCATGAGATTAGCTTCTTTTCATATATACAGGAGAAACATTACAGTAGGTAGCTCAGTTTCAAGCAGAATACCCAACAATGTGCAAAGACAGCCTTCTCTCGGGTAAGCGGTTTAAGTTCTTACTATCTTATGTCACTTACTGCATCTGGGCTTGAGTTGTTTATGAGGAAATAAGTCGGGATCTTTTTGTCTAATGCATTTGTAACAGTGAAAATCTTTCAACTCAAAGCAGAACCAGAGCAAAGTCTTTCACTGTATCTTCTCCTTTCAACTTCAGAAGTGATGAGAGGGCAGAAAAGAGGAAAGAGGTAAACCTTGAGAAGAACCCTTTATTTATCTCTATCTTTCGGATCAAACAGAGCCAAAAGTTTAATGAAGCTCTCTCTTTTGTTGTGGCTTTGTTTGTTAGTTCTTCAAGAAGCTAGAAGAAAAGAACAAGAAAGAGGATGATGCTACGAAAGAGCAGTTGTCTTGTGGCTTCAGATCTGTGACTCTTCGAAACAAAACTGTAACAAAATTGTAAAATCAGTAGAATAAGAGAATCTGTCGCCTACGGATCTTATATACAATCACTTAGAAACCAAATTTTTGATTATTTTAATCTTTGTTATGTTGGTTTCTTGTATATATGTTTGGTAGTTTTTTTCTGAATCAAAACCCCCACTATAGGATGAAGAGAGAGCTCAAATTCTTCGTATAACTACTTGCTCAATAGTTTTTGTAGTCTCTCGATCTTGTATCATCTGTGTACATCAGTACATGGAGAATGTGATTATAGAAAAAAATTATTTTTGATGATCTAAACGATTCTTTCTCATCGTCACGTTTGTGTTTCTTTCATGATTTAGTACAGACATGAAGAAATGCAAGTCTCTTAGCCATTAAGCCAATATGAAGAAAATGGCAAATCTTTCCTTTTTTACATTTGACTCCAAAACGACGACGTAATTGGGTCGTAAACACCGAGGGCCTCTCGTTTCAGAGGAGAGAGAAAAAATCTTATCTCTGTGGTGGTGTGAATGTGATGTTGTTGTCAGCCATGGCAATGACAGAGCAAAAGATCTCTCCTTTTCTCCTTCTTCTTCTTCTTCCTCTTCTTCTTCTGTCTGTCGTCGAACAGAGTTTCTCTGAAAACGAAGCAGTGACTCTTGTTTGATTCCATGGCGTTGCCTTCATGCCTAAAGACTGGAGTTCCGATGTCTCCAACCACCGGATTTAGTATTTCCGGTAGTCTCTTGAAGTCGGACAGTGGCTTCGCCGTACCTACGAAGTTACAGAGTATTCGAAAAGTTGATCGAGAGAGACTGAGAATCCAAGCTGTGTTCAGTTTCCCACCGGCGTTTCTGACCAGAAACGGTCGAGCCGAGAAGCAGAAACAGCTGAAGCAAGACCTTCTCGAAGCCATTGAGCCTCTAGAACGTGGAGCCACTGCTTCGGCTGATGACCAGCTTCGAATCGATCAGGTCCTTTCTCTTTCTTGTTACAGATAGTTAGAATTGGTGGTCATGGTGCTCTGTGAGGAACAAAAATCTCCATTGATCTTACATGAACACGACTTTTGATTGGCCTTGGTTTGTACTGAGACAGTTAGCGCGTAAAGTGGAAGCAGTGAATCCAACGAAGGAGCCTCTGAAATCTGATTTAGTCAATGGGAAATGGGAGCTCATTTATACAACTTCTGCTTCGATTTTGCAGGCAAAGGTTAGGACTTTGTTCATCTTTGAAACATGTGTGTACGTTTGTTTGTTTTTGGCTTGTTGTGTCATTGTGTCTTATCTCTTTAACAATGCAAACAGAAACCAAAGTTCTTGAGATCAACAGTTAACTACCAATCTATCAATGTGGATACACTAAAGGTGCAAAACATGGAGACTTGGCCTTTCTTCAACTCGGTAATGTTTCTTATTTGTACCATTTGCACAAATAGGTCCACGTTAAGGATGCTAAACCATATGCTGAGTAACTACTGTACATTGGTATAAATGTTGAAGATGTACAAATTGTTGTAGACCTTTTAGATCTTAGGATTGGAAACTGGACCTCACATATATGATAACTTTCCATTGCCGCTGACTAGGCAAGAACAAAGGACTAAGAACAACTTTCTTCATCAATATATAGTGTGATTTTGGAGAGTATTGGCTTTCTACTGTAATAGTGATTTACCTTTTGCAGAGTTTGTAAACAAAGAGTCTACATTTTTTTTGTTTCCGTTAGGTAACTGGAGATATAAAACCCCTCAATTCAAAGAAGGTTGCTGTGAAACTCCAAGTTTTCAAAATTCTTGGATTTGTAAGTACACCTGAACTCTTCTTCTCCATATGTATGTATGATGAGAGAAGAACCATATGCTTCTGTTTGCTGACCTGTGAATGATGATTTGATATCCAGATTCCTGTAAAAGCACCTGATTCCGCACGTGGTGAACTGGAGATTACCTACGTGGACGAGGAACTACGGTCAGTGTGAATGAAAGTTTTCATTTTTGTGTGTTTTATGAACAAACATCCAAAACGTGTTCAATATTTTTTTTCTTTTGCAGGTTATCAAGGGGGGACAAAGGCAACTTGTTTATATTGAAGATGTTCGATCCCACTTATCGAATCCCTCTCTGATCTCTGTTTGATTATCGAACAAATGGTTGTTAGCCATCATACATACATACCCTGTCTCTGCTCTGTCTCTCTTCATCATGTATAGATGAATGTTTCCAACTTTCTATAAACATAAGAGAGAGAGAGAATAAAAAAAAGCTTGTCACTTGACTCACTTGTAAGTTGTAACAGACTAACAGTTTGAACTTTTAAAGAGGTTCTGATCGACATTGCACTTACATGAGATGAGAAAAGCTAAAAACTTTGAAACCGGAATAGGCATTTTTCTAGATTCTGGTTTGATCTAAAATTCGAAATCATATATATGAAAAATTGGTTTTTGACTTTGTTTATGTGTGTTTCCTCCGAGTCTGAGGTGTGATAAACGGCGTCGTATGAAGCTGGCGAGACACAGACCTCTCATTTCTTCCTTTCTTGGCCGTAAAACTATTCCTTTGTTTATTTGGAAACAGAGTTTCTATGAATCGAAGCAACTACTTGAGAAGACAGACCCAAATTTCGGATGGGTTTCACAGCTCTGCAATCTTGGAGCAGAGGAGCTTTTACTTCTGTTCATCTACTTCGTCCAGGTAGGTAAGTTAGATTCCTAACTCGGTATATGATCAAATTCAATTGTATTCGACAAAGATTCTGAAACTTGATCTGGTTTACTTTGTCAGCTGGCTCGAGCACTAAGCTTTATGATGCTCCAACAGTCCAAACGCTCAAGTTCTACACTGTAAGAATTCCTAAATTTGGTCCCAGAAACCATTTTCATTCAGATGATCTTATGGTCCCATTGTTTATTTATCTTCAGGGTGTTAAGTTTGATGTAAGAGCCTCTTCAAGTCGTAAATCACTGAAGAAACTCAGAAGAGAGTCTCGACAAGGTAAAGACATAAACAGGAGAAGTGTTTCAGAAACAGAAGAAGAAGAAGAAGCTGCTCAACTTTCGTATCCAAGATTTGAAGAAACTCAAGTTGATACTTCAACTTCAAAGAACTCCATTGATGATGATGATGTTGTTGCTGCTGCTCCTCGAGACAAAGTGCTTCAAGCTTGCACTGTAACTTCCGGTTTAATGGCTGCATTAGCCCTGATCATCAGAACGGTGAATCCCTTTTGAAAGTTTCGGTTTTTGTAAATTCCAAACATTTACATCTAAACTAATTTAAGTTTCCACTCTCAGGCGTCTCATGTTGCTTCAACTCAAGGCTTGCCTGTCCCTGACTGCTCTACAGATATACCATGTAATGTAACATCTTACAAAGAAAACATATTATGTTTGTGTAGTGATCATTTGAGAGAATCAGTCACATTGTTTGAATCTTTTATGCAGTTGGGTTTGAAACTTGGCACTTGGGGTTGATTGGTGGAATCGTTGTGCTTATATCGTCAAGCAGGTTCTTGCTACTAAAAGCTTGGCCAGATTTTGCTGATTCAAGTGAAGCAGCAAACCGACAGGTACAAAACATTATTACTCATAATTACATTCCTAAGCTTCTCAAAACTCACTTAACCATCTCCTTGGCAGATTCTTACTTCGATTGAACCTCTAGATTACCTTGTTGTTGCGATTTTGCCTGGAATCAGTGAGGTAACAACTTAACAGTCAAAGGGACAAAACAAAAAAAAAAAAAATTCATTGATGTAGAGATGATGATGATGATTCACAGGAGATGCTCTTTAGAGGTGCATTGATGCCTTTGGTTGGAACCAATTGGACCGGTATTGTAGCGGTTGGACTCATCTTCGGTTTACTCCATCTCGGGAGCGGAAGAAAGTACTCTTTTGCTGTTTGGTAAATCATTTTGGTACCTCATTGCTAATGAGAATTGAGTAGACAGAATCTTGATCATTGTTTGGTTGCCTTCACATCATCACATGTTCTTGCATTTGTTTCAGGGCGTCGATTGTCGGTATAGTGTATGGTTATGCAGCGGTTTTGTCGTCGAGTCTTGTTGTTCCGATGGCTTCTCATGCGCTCAACAATTTGGTCGGAGGTTTGCTGTGGCGCCACACTTCCAAGCTCAAGTCTGTGGAGTGAATTTTATACAGATTTTGAAAGGGGATTAAATTAGAAAACTGTATAATTTTTAAGGGTGGTTTTGTCAAATAGTTAATAGTATTGGGTGATTATTGCAAAATCTAAAGCACCAATCTCTGATTCTCTGTGGCTCTGTCACAAAGGACAAGTCAAAAGTGAAAAACCAATCATAAAGTTATACTGTTGTTTTTCTGTATAATGGAAGTACTGATTTATGAAAAAAAGTATATATACAGTTAAAATCAGTTATTATCATTTCCCTTTGTTGCAAAAAGTCTTCCCTTAAAAATCTTTAATTATCTCATTTTAATTAGTGTTGTAATTTGTAAATGATGTTGATGCCAGAAATTACTTTTTTTTTTTAAATAATTAATTGAAGAAAACTGTTACCGGAAGAAGAAGTGTTTGCTGGTCAAAAAGTCAGATTTGGGAACAGAAACGTGACGTTCTCCGAAGTCGGAAACTTTTTTGTTCCTCTCTTAAATTCCAACTTCGATAAATGAAACTTCTTTTGAGAAATTGCTCACTTTACCTTGACATTAAAGCAACAAGCTTTGAAAACAAACAAAATCTCAGACGAGAGAAAGAAAAAAAAACCCAGAAATTGAGTGGAGAAGTAGTGAGAGCGATATGCTACAAGAAAAATGGCGAATGGATGTGCTAAAAGAGGTGGTTGTCCAAGCGATTACGTCGCCGTCGCAATAGCAGTAATCTGCTTCTTCGTGTATGTTTGTTCTTCTCTTTGAGTTGATTTTCATCCCTGGGTTTTTCAGTTTCTAGTATTGAAGATCTGGCTTTTTCGTTTGCTGGGTATACTTGTTGACTCTTTACTTTGGGTCGTCTTCGACGAGATATTCTCAATTTTTTCGATATAATATTTTGGGGTTTAATCGTTACATGTTCGTTCGATGTCTTGTAAAGTGTTTGATATAAAGTCTCAACGAAATTGCTTTATTTATATGAGACCCAAAAAGGATCTGGCTTTAGCTTCGATTTTAGTGAATCCTTATCCTGAATTAAGTTATTCACTCCCATAGTTCTTCAATTTTCTCTGTTAATTGGTCGTATATATCTGATGGATTTCACTTGTTTATTTAGGCTTCTATCGAGATCGGTCTTGCCATGTTTGATACACAAGGCTCCTCGTACCAACAGTAGCAGTTTCTGGATCCCTGTCATTCAAGTCTTTTCCAGTTTCAACCTTCTCTTCTCTATTGTGGTTAGACAACTCAAATGACTCGATTGCTCTTCAAGAATATCACTCAACATTTGATAAGCTTCTACAGTAACATTTCCCAAACTGATTGTGGTTTTTTTGTTTGTTTCAGATGTCAGTTAATTTGCTTCAGTTCAAGTCCAGACATTGGTGGCAATATTGCTATCTTTGGGCAGGTTTGTGTTATACAATTGCTCAGTTGTTTCTGATTGGATCAACGATTCTTGATACAATCTGATCAGTGTAACATTTGGTTCCAGTGTGGATCGAAGGACCACTTGGATTCGGTTTGCTGATGAGCTGCCGTATAACTCAGGCGTTTCAACTATACTTCATATTTGTCAAGTAAGGATTAATCTTTGATAATATGCTTCTGGATATTGGATTCATATTATATGGTCATATAATGTAGGAAACGTCTACCACCAATAAAATCATACATTTTTCTTCCCCTTGTTCTGTTGCCATGGATCATTGGAGCTGCAAGTAAGAATTTTCTTAAGAACTTCATTTTATACGTTGCAATTGTTTCCTTGTTTTGGATAATAGCTCATAAGCTTTTTTTATTTTGCATTTAGTTCTTCACGGAATAAAGCCTCTCAATTCTGAATGCCACATGGGTCTGGAATGGACTTTGCCAGTAGCAGGCCTTCATGGTCTTTACGTCCTTGCTTTGATTGCCTTCACAAGAGCGATACGACATGTAGAGTTTCGTTTTGATGAGCTTAGAGATCTCTGGAAAGGAATCCTCGTCTCAGCCACTTCAGTCGTTATTTGGGTAACAGCGTTTGTCTTGAACGAGATTCTTCAGGAAATCTCTTGGCTTCAGGTTGCTTCAAGATTTGTGCTTTTAGTCACGGTATGAAGCTATAATACATACCAAGATTATGCTAACATCATCATCATTTTTTAGTTGAATAAAGCCTTTTAATTCTTCTTTTCAGGGTGGAGTTCTCGTTGTTATCTTCTTCTCCATCTCGAGTAATCAACCTCTTCTCTCGCAAATCAGCCTGAAGAAAAGAGAACAACACTATGAGTTTCAAAGAATGGGACTAGCTCTAGGCATTCCCGATAGCGGATTGTTGTTTCGCAAGGAGGAGTTTCGACTTGTTGATCCAAACGAGCCACTTGATAAGCTTCTTCTCAACAAAAGATTTCGCCATTCGCTTATGGAGTTTGCGGATAGGTACACTCTTGTTCATGCCTTGCCCTCCTTTCGACATTTTATATAATCCAAACAAAATCTTGATATGTTGTTGTGTTAGCTGCTACGCTGGAGAAACCTTGCATTTCTATGAAGAAGTGTATGAGCATGGTAAAATCCCGGAAGGGGACTCAACAAGGAGAATCTACATGGCTCGACATATCATGGAGAAGTTCATCGTCGCAGGAGCGGAGATGGAAGTGAACTTATCTCACAAAACAAGGCAAGAGATCTTAACCACTCAAGATCTGACTCACCCTGATCTCTTCAAGAACGCATTAAACGAAGTCATGCAATTGATCAAGATGGTATGTTAACATCTCTCTTCCGCCTTCAAAAAGCTTATATGTTTCTCTTGATTCTCAATATCTATGTGCTTGTGTTTTTTTATGGTATGATTTTGAAGAACTTAGTGAGAGATTACTGGTCATCTATCTTCTTCATCAAGTTCAGAGAAGAAGAGAGGTGTGATGAGGCAATGCATAAGGAAGAATGGAGTTTTTCTTCACCAAGGCTGAGTTCAGTTCAAGGCTCTGATGATCCTTTCTATCAAGAACATATGTCAAAGAGTTCCACTTCCAGATGCAATAGTCCCGGTTAAAGGAGTATTTACCGGTACTAAGCCAGAACCTAAACCGTGTTTCACATTCGGTATCCGATGTTCATAAGCGATCCAGTCCATATAAATCTTCTTCACATCTATTTGTACATGTCTTTGACTTTGATATACCAAACTGAAAGAGAAAGATGTCAATTTCGGTTTGGTTTGGTTTGGTTTTGATGTGTATACCGGATAAAAATTATAGAACCACACTGATTGAATGTCTCTGGGAACATTTTTTTGTTTCAACCTCGCATTTCTTAGGAAAATCTATTAAAAATTCATTTTTTATCAATTATTAAAATTTTCTAAAAATATATATTAGTCCAATTATTGGCTACCAAACTAAAACTGAATTGGAATTACGAAGATCTTGCTCCTTTGTGATCATTTTCATGTCCTTGCATATGTATAATGATATAATGGTTGTTGCATCACATGAATCATGATGTGTGTTTCATCACACCTTTGGACATAATCCACATTTATTTTACGTTGTACAAACATCTTAAAACATTCACTTGCACATTCAGAAACAAAAAGAATACTTATTTTCATTATTATATCTCACATCACTGTTAAAAATAAAATAAAAACTGATTTCAGTGAATACAACAAAAAAAACTGCAGCAACTTTTCCCTAGCATAATGGAATTTTTTTTTTTAATGTGTAGGTAAGGAGTCTTGTCAACGAATGGAAAAAGTTTAAAATATTGTTTGAGATTAGAAAAATGATATTTAATTATTATGGTGACTCTTTCCAATAGTAATGATATAAATATGAACATTTTTTTTTTTGGTATGAAGTAAATATGAACATTATTTCCCAAATAAGTTATTTTCCTTTTGCTGCCTACTATATGGTTTTGGTCAAATATATATGGCAATTATTGGGTGTAGTCGCTTGCAACTCTTAATGATGCTAAGATGTTTATAGAACGGAATGGAATCTTTATAAGTTTACCTTTCACCTACCCATTGGCCATAAGTTAACTCAATTGTCTTTTTCGGTAAATAGTTTACTTCTTGTTTATTGTGTTTTGGATTCTAAAACTACCACTAAAATTCTCACATTTCGAAAGCACTATAATTTGTATTGACTCTTAAATGATTCACAAACACATCCTAGATTTGTAGAAACATTTTAAACATAAACTTGTGAAGTAGTATTAGCTAGTGGTTTTCTTTTGAGGATTTACCACTGGAACCATAAAAATGGAAAGGTTAACACAGTAGAGAAGTATTGAGAATATTTTCGACCAGACATATACAAACACCGAAAAAAATCCACTAAACAATACGTGACAAACAGTGCTAAACAATATTAGTTCATGGTTTTTCTTTTCTTTTAAAATCTCATCGAGATCTTGATGTCTACAAAAGACTATCTAATTATCTAAAATACCATGTGAATTACAATGTGTTCCAACTTCCAAATAACTAATAAGCTACAATTCAGATTGTGAAGTTTTTATCCGTTTATTATTATTCCCAAACATCGTATTCAAAGCTGACATATGAATCATCATTACCATCAAATAACATCAACAGAAAAACCACATCTTTCTTTTCTCTACTTTCTTGTTTTGATTATTGTCATTATATGGAAAAAATAATATGAAAATGAACGTGGAATATTCTTGTAGACGGAGCCACAACTTGCACTCCGTAATATTGCCAGGTTGGTATTGCTTCCGAGCTTATTGCTTCTTATCAGATATCTTTTTTTAGTTTATGTAAGCTTACAAAAACGTGAAATATTGAACATCCATCGAACTTTGACATACATATTTATATTATAACAGTTGTTATATCCTCATTATCATCATAATCTAGACATAAAAACTCAAAATAAAGATGGATTTTTCATTTCAGAGAAAACCATAACAAAAGAACAAGAACAGAAAAAGATAAAAACTGGAGATGTCATCATAGTGGATAAATATGTCAGGACTCATGAATTAAAAGTAGTATCCATTTTTATTCTCAACTATTAAAAACTATAAAAGATCCGTTGGATGGATAACTTGTTCGACCACTCAAACTAAGTTTTGGATCCACACGTATGTATACATGCATTCATGTATGAATCATGATGTTATAACGTATATGTGCATAGGCATATATGCATTAATACATGGGCATACACAAATCACAATCACAATTAGTACAATTGATCAGAAATTTGTAGAGAGAGAGAGAGAGAGAGGTCTAATTGCTTTATAAGACCGCATAAAGAGACACCACAACTTTCTTTCCTCTTCATTCACTTGCCTCAACGCGAAATTTGCAGACTTTCCGAGGAGGAAATTAAAAGTTTAATTATAAAATCTCGTTTCTTTTTTGTGAAATTCGATTCCTTTTCTTCACCGTCAATTCTCCGATCATTCATTCATTCCTTTCATATTCCTCTTTCTTCTATGCTCTCTGATCAGACAACAAAACCAAACCAAAGAAAGAAACCCACTTTGGCTGTCTGTAAATTCTGAGGTTCGATTCTTGTCTGATGATGATTTGATGCAGATGGGTTTCAGAAATTTCCCCCTTTTTGTCTTTAACATGTAATCATATTGATCATCCATCTGTTAAATCTGTTGAATTTTCCTTTGTTTTTCTATCAATGATTGAATCTGGTTAAATGATCATCAGATTGTGTGTAATATGAACATTTGCTCAAATCAATTGATCTCTCTGATTTGTCGGTTCAATCAAAACTGATTTTTGATCTTCTGGGTTTGTGTTGATCGTTGGTGGTAAGGTCAAAATTGAGTTTCCGTGTGCAGAGGAGAAGGAGAAGTCCTTTGCGTGTGACAAACAGTTTTCTTTTTCATCTTCCGTATCAGATCCATCTTTCTTTAAAGATTCAATTTTTGTTCTCAATAGAATAATCCTCATCATTATTGATTACTACACTTCTCTTCCAAGTTTCCTTCTTTCTCCATTCTTGGGCTCATTTCATTTGATTGCTCATAGATTCTCTGTTTGTTCTTGATCATTTATAAAGAAAAAAAAAACTAGCTTTTCATTTTATAACCACAAACTTGCTTCCTTGAAACTAGTTTTAAGCTATAGTTTGAGAATTATGACTTTGGATCCTTACTTGTTTCTGTTTCCTCTGTAGATCAAAAGCTTTAGAACAATACTAGACTACAAAATCTACAGGTAAATGTTGGAGTCTGGTTCTGTTTTTTTCTCTCTATCTTTCATGCAAATCAAAATGTGACTTGTCTTGATTAATTTGCAGATACTCTGTTTTGTGTCCAAAAAATGGATGCTACAACGAGTGGAACTCCGGCTTTACAGTACCATAACTTACCGGAGCAACCAGTTTCGACTGCTTCTCCTCCACTGTCTCCATTTCAGAGACAAAAACGCCACTGCTTCGGAGACTCAACTCCTGGAGAGTTTCCTTTAGCAGCTAGTCCTTCCATTGTCCTCCACGTTCTCACCGAATGTAGATTGGATCCTCGTGACCTCGCAAATCTAGAGGTTCCATGTCGACAAAATGCTTTACTGAAAATTTCAAGAATTGATGGCTCTGCTTATCTGATTCTTGATGTTCTTGCTCTTTTTGTAGGCAACATGCTCGTTCTTTAGCCAGCCAGCAAACTTTGCTCCGGACTCTGACTTATCGCTACCGGAGCTAGCTGCTCTCGACATGTGTAACAAAAGAGTGATCTTCAAGCCCATGGACGAAGAAGAACGTCAAGAAATGAAACGCAGATGCGGAGGCTCGTGGAAGCTAGTCCTTAGGTTTTTGCTGGCTGGTGAAGCGTGTTGTCGAAGAGAGAAATCTCAAGCCGTCGCTGGTCCCGGCCATAGCATCGCCGTGACATCGAAAGGCCAAGTCTTTACTTTCGGCTACAACAACTCTGGTCAGCTAGGTCATGGCCATACCGAAGAAGAAGCTCGGATCTTGCCCGTCAGGTATCAATCGTTTTAACACATAACCATGAAGAAGAAGATGGTTTTCATTATCGTTGTTGCTTAGATCGTTGCAGGGGATTCGAATCATCCAAGCAGCTGCTGGTGCTGGTCGAACAATGCTTATAAGCGACAGTGGAAAGGTTTACGCTTGCGGGAAAGATTCGTTCGGTGAAGCGGAATACGGAGGGCAAGGGACTACACCGGTTACAACTCCTCAGCTAGTGACATCTTTGAAGAACATATTCGTTGTTCAAGCTGCTATTGGGAATTTCTTTACTGCTGTGCTCTCGAGAGAAGGAAAGGTTTATACTTTCTCTTGGGGCAACGACGGGAGGCTCGGACACCAAACCGAGGCTACGGATGTGGAGCCTCGGGCTTTGTTAGGTCCGCTGGAGAATGTGCCTGTAGTGCAGATTGCTGCTGGTTATTGCTACCTTCTTGCTTTGGCTTGTCAACCTAATGGCATGTGAGTTTTCTTTCGATACACTCTTTCTTTTTCGGTTAAGACCGGCTCTGAATGGTTGCAATTTTAGGTCGGTTTACTCGGTTGGTTGCGGTTTGGGAGGCAAGCTAGGTCACGGGTCAAGAACGGACGAGAAGTATCCTCGGGTGATACAGCAGTTTCAGCTACTGAATCTTCAACCGAGGGTGGTTGCAGCGGGTGCTTGGCACGCGGCGGTGGTAGGTCAGGACGGGAGAGTGTGCACTTGGGGTTGGGGAAGGTATGGTTGCTTAGGACACGGTAACGAGGAGTGTGAGTCGGTGCCTAAGGTTGTTGAAGGGCTAAGCCATGTCAAGGCGGTTCATGTGGCGACTGGTGACTACACGACTTTCGTTGTCTCGGAAGATGGAGATGTTTACTCGTTTGGTTGCGGCGAATCTGCTAGTCTCGGTCACCATCCAGCCTTTGATGATCAGGTTAGATCTTGATCATGGCTTCAAAATGTTTCTTGTTGCTTACGTTTCTATGTTATAGTGAGTGTTCTTTTAATCAAACACAAACGCATTATGTTGGTGAAACGTGCGTTTCAAGCTTGTTTGAAATTTTATGTTTTTTGTTTGTAGGGTAATCGGCAAGCGAATGTGCTGAGTCCAGCGGTAGTGACATCGTTGAAACAAGCAAAGGAGAGGATGGTGCAGATTAGTCTAACGAATTCGATATATTGGAACGCTCATACGTTTGCGCTCGCTGAATCGGGGAAGCTGTTTGCGTTTGGTGCGGGGGATAAAGGTCAGCTTGGAGCAGAGCTTGGTCGTAACCAAACGGAAAGGTGTGTACCGGAGAAAGTGGATATTGATCTCAGCTAGTGGTTTGTTGTTGGGCAGGAAATTGCGTTTTTAACATCAAGAAAAACGGCAAGGAAATTGCGTTTAGTTGTTTATGTTCATAAGACTTTGGAAGTTTGTACAAAAGGGGGAAACATAAGTTAAGGAACTTGTCTTAACATTTCCAATTGTATAGGTTTTTTAGATTATTCTAATTTGTTTCATGGGTCTAGTTCTTAGTGTCATGTTGTTAATATTTCTCGAATATTTATTTTCATTTAAATCCATTTATTGTAAGGTTCAATTGTACTATTTCATTTGTATAAAAGCCTAAAAGGTTAAAAATCCAATTTGTGGTAAAAAGGTCAACTCATTTGTTTGCCAAACAAACTGGGGAGTGTGATTACTTAATGAACACGGAAGCTATGCCCAAAGCTAAGGAACATACAATTAGGCCCAAAATTGCCCTATCTAACATTTTTCATCATCTAATTTTACTATGACTTCAAATCATTAACATTTGATAATTGGCTAAATACCCAAAAAAAAGAACCCACGTTCTTATCTCGATTGAGGAAAAATTAGGCTCATGTTTTAATTGGCTAAGAACTCACATTCTTATATCTCCCACTACCAATTATCACATTCTTACATTACTAATTGGCTAAGAACTCACATTCTTATCTCCCATTACTAATCTCGATTGAAGAAAAATTAGGCCAAACATTTGTATTCACCAATTTTCTTTTTGCTATAATTTGATAGGATTGAGACAAAAAAGAAGAAGCTTAAATTAGAGGTAGAAGATATATGCAACTGCAAATTTCCCCAGCCGTTAACTTTTTTGGTTAACCTAAAATTTCGCACGTTCATCAGCAACTATATAAATAAAGATTCACACTTAAGGAAAATAATATATAAATAAATAAAACAAAATACCCATAAAACATTGAAAAAAGTTTTTTGGGGATTGCCTAACTAAATTAACTAACATAATGGCGCGCCTTCACCTAGTTCTCATCCTCCTCGTTGCCGTCTCCGCCGTGATTGTATCAGCCGTTGATAAACCATCGACGACAACTGCCGAAGCTCCTGCTTCCTCAACTCCAACAGAAGGAGGTGGAGGTGTGTCAGAGGGCCCACCAGACGCCATTGGAACAACTGACGATGATGCACCTGATACTCCTGAAGATGATGACGTGGCAGTCGCCGGTCCCATCGGAAGCGATTCTTCCTATGCAAATTACCCGCCAGAGCCGCCTCAACAGGATTCAGGAAGTAGCGGCTTACCAGCGGCGCTTGGCTTTGCTTCTGTCGCTGCTGCAACGGTTGGATCGCTCTTCTTTTTCTGAGTTGTGATCGGTGTGTGAAACTAACAAATTAATAATATTTGTAACGAATATCTGTAATATTTTTTTTTGTAGATGTATTGTGTATAAGTATTTTCCTCGTCCGTTTTGATCGATAAAACGGGACGACACAGGAAATGTAAAATATTTGATCAAAAGTATTTATTGCTTCCTTTTCGGCAATCTGAATTTCTTTTTCTTGTGCTCATATGATATGTTGTGTTTTGATCCGTAAGTCGTTATAGTCGTTAGTTCATATCATTTGCTTGTTTCAAATGTTATAGTCGTTAGTTAATGGGAAAATGTCTATAGATCTATATACAAGATGGGCCGTGAGCTTTCACATGTCAGGCCCAGACAGATCTAAAATAAGCGCGTGTCTTTCACGCCGAAAGACCTGTGAAGCTAGACGCGCGTGGATGAATATCTCCATCGCCACTACTCTTGAGCGGATAGAAGAATTTGCAGAGAAGCGACAATGAAGGTCCAACGGTCAGCCATTTTCGCGGTGAACGGAAAATCAAATCTTCATCACTTTTACTCCTCTCAGGTTTTTCTTTTCTCTGTCTCTGCCTCGCCAAGTTAAAAAGTTCGGTTTTTTAATCGCTTCTGAGAATACCCATTTGCAATTGCAACTATATTCTTCATAGGTTTAGTAATTTGACTGCGATTTTTTTCAGGGATGTCAGAGAATTCCCATTTCCGAGCTCGAATCAAGAGATTCTGTGTCGAAATTACTTGATAGAAAATGGGGATTACAGAGCCCATCAACTCCAATTCAGCAAATTAGCTTTTCTTCTGCTGAAGGGACTTTTAAGAAACAAGGAATCGACAAAGTCTCCTTCTTCAACAACACTCGTCCACATCTCGGAGACGAAGTCTCAAAAGGAAAGCAAGAATCGTCTTTTTACATTCTGAGAGATGATCTTTTGCATCCTCTTGTGAATGGTAACAAAGCTAGAAAGCTTGATGCTTTGTTACCACTTCTTCAAGATCACAAAGTCACTGATTTGGTGAGAATGAGTTTATCTTCTTCTCTAAAGTTACAATATTTCTCAATTGGATACTTTAATAAAGGCTTAAAAGCTTTAAACTTTTTCACTGTCTATAGGTGACATGTGGAGGCTGTCAAAGTGCACATACAGCTGCAGTTGGTATAAAGTTTGAGTGTTTTTTTTAATTAGAGAGCTTAAACCGAATTAGGTTTTGACTGAAATGGAAATCAGTTGCTTATATTTTGCAGCTGTTTCGTGTGCTGAGAGAGGTGTGAGATCACATTTGCTACTGCGTGGAGAACAGCCTGAGGTTTTGACAGGTTATAACCTTGTGTCAACTATGTATGGAAATGTTCAGTATGTTCCAAGATCAAGGTATGCGAATAGAGAGGAAATGCTGAGAACTCACGCTGATCTTGTCGCTGGGGAAGACGGTTCTGTCTTATGGGCTAAAGACATCGTTGAGGCTATGGATGATGCAAAAAAGGATGATCTTTTAAGATCAAAAACTTCTCCTAGAAAGGTTCTGATCGTCAATGAAGGCGCCGGAGATGCTCTTGCATTACTAGGTAAACATTGGTTCTGGTTTTGGATGACCAAGATTGTTGTTTATGCGTAATTGCTAAGAAAGGCTTTGTCACTACGCAGGTATGTTTCGGCTTGTGCAGTATCTGTCACAAGATCATTTACTTGGGAAGAAGAGGCCTGTCAAATTTGTAGTGGATGCTGGTACTGGAACAACTGCTGTGGGTTTAGGAGTTGCAGCTATGTCTTTAGGGTTAGGCTTTGTTCATAAAAATTTATCAATACTTTCTTTGTGTCTGTTTCCTTTTTGATTACATGTTCACTTAAAATTCTCTCTCAGGCTTCCATGGGAGATCAATGCAGTGATGCTCGCTGATACGCTCGAAAACTACAAGAGACATGAAGAGCGCTTGATAGCAGAATTTACGAGGCAGTTTCTTGCTTCCATCGTCTGCAGCAGCAGCTTGGATATGATCAAATGGGTGGATCGTCAGAGACCGAGAAAGTATGCAAGTTTCTTCTTTTCACTCCAAGTTTGAAGCTTTATAGTGGTTTGGTCTATTAGTTATTTATTTCCTTTTGGTTCTTGCAGATTTGGGAAGGTCTTGGAAGGAGAAGTGGAGATGTGTAGGAGAATTGCGCAGGAGACGGGAGTTTTAGTTGATCCGATGTATACTTTGGCTGCTTGGGAGACGGCAACAGAGCTTGTGCAGGAGGAGAAATCGAGCATTGTGGTGATGCTTCACACTGGAGGCACTCTTGGGGTGTTTGGTCTTGCTCAAAGATACAAATCTTGCTTCACTAACTTGAAAGATTAGGTTTTTGCATGTATGATATGATTTTTAAGACGTAGAGACAGATCTTGTAACTTCAAAATTTTAACCGAAGGTATTTTTGGTCCATTTTGACTGGTTGGACTCAGTTCGGTTCGAATATAATATCCAGCTCGATTTGGGATTATGAACAAAAAAACAAATAATATATTGAGAAACCATTTGTTGCACTTGCACACCAAAAATAAATAATGAAAAACCATTAAGCAAAATCTATAATATTTTCACCATAAAATGTACAGTAAACTGGTTTGCCACTGTACGCTTGCCGAGAAGAATCATATTTGTACAGCAAATAAGAATTTTTTTTTCTGATATAAACGGAAGCAAACGTGGTAAGCAAGAAGTGGTATTAAGTAACAATATTATATTATCTGGAAGAAGAAAAAAAACGAAAACCAAGAGTATGATTCTGGTCGTTGGTTTTGGGGAGTCTTCTTCTCGAACCGAGTTGTTCATGTGCACGTGTGTTTGGTCACTACTTCGTGTTTAACAACACTTTCTTCACTATTCTAATATCCACATTAAACAATATTCCGATTACTTTTCAAGATCCTTGATTCTGATATCATTATAACTTTCTGTAAATTATACTGAGCATGCATTTTAGTGGTCTTTTCAATCTGTAATGTAACCTTAGACTAATGTATCCTTTAAGACTTAAGAGTTAAGACTCGTAGCTAACCATTGCCGACCTTAAATGTTTTGGAGATGAGACATTCGTATCGTACGTTGTAAATATAGATAGCAAACCCTTTCTCCAAAGTCCAAAAAAGAAAATATAAATTTTCTTGAAAGATTTTTCCTTTTACTCTTTTCCTTTTACTCAAGTGGATAAAAACAGGTTGTCATTTTTTGGAAAAATCATATATAGACACCAGATTATGTATACTTGATCTTTTGAAATAGATTCACAAGATTTGTTTTTCTTACAAAAAGTACTGAGGATACTTGAGAAAATGTATATTCGCGTTTTATTTTAATTTTCCTATATCTTAAATTCTTAATTGTGTTAAATAACATTTTGCGAATCAAGGATAAGACAAAATTAAATGCTCTGATAGTACAAAAAGGCCCTTGCCACCATCCCCAAAATTACGCTAACCTTTTTCTGATCAGTGATCACATTCTCAAGCTCAACTAATACGGAGTACTAGTTTTTATTTTTTTGGCTGTTTCAAACATTATAAAAGACCTGCACAAACGAAAACTAAAAGATGACATTTTCCACGTACTCAGTATTCGTGTCGCGTAGAGACTTTTTAATCTACATCTCTACATGCCTCGTAAAACCAAGAAGAACCCAAGCTACAACAAATAAAAGTGAGTAGGGGTATTGATGTAACTTTCAAAAAAGGATATAATCCGACTTTTTCTAAAAACAGTCATTTTCAAGAAACTTAAATTGGAGAGACGTCAAAAAAATAAAATAAAAATAAACATTTGTTCTCTTCCACTGTCTAGTCTATAGAGAAGAGAGAGAGAGAGCCGACGTTACAGTATCTTTCACACGATCAAGAAATCTTCACATTCGCCGGAAAAACCATTCCTCCGGTAAGAAAAGAAAACGAAGCCCTATCGATGGAAGATTCTAGAGATTTTCATTTTACCGGAAACTTAGACCCTAGAGCTCAAGAGTTCGTACCACTAAACCCTATCTCCTCCGGTTATTACTTTCCGTACAGTCCTCTCCCTCCGCCGCTTCCTCCTTCGTCGTACGGATTATCTCCGACGGAGCCAAGAGTCTTCACGTTCTTCAATCTCCCGCCACATCCGATGATATTTCCTCCTCCTCCACCACGTCCGCCACCACCCCGTCCGTATTTCCACGGCGTCTCGGCTGTTCAACGGCTTCCTCCGCCGTCAAACTCTCCGACGCGGTCTCTCTCTTTGATCTCCGTACCACGCGACGTCACTGAGACGAGTGTGAGACGCGACTTGGAGTTATTCGGCAACGTGCGTGGCGTGCAAATGGAGAGAATCTCACAAGGGATCGTGACCGTCCATTTTTACGATCTCCGTCACGCCAAGAGAGCGGTTCGCGAGATTTGCGCTCGACACATGCAGCGACAAGCAAGACTCGGTGGTGGTGGTGGAAGCGTAAGCGTTTGGAGCTCACCGTCTTCACAGGCGCGTGGATTTGTCTCCGGCAGAGCTGTGTGGGCCCACTTTGTAGTTCCGGATACTAGCGCCGTTCCCGGCGGCTGTAACCAAGGGACGTTGGTGATATTTAACTTAGACCCTGAGGTCTCTTCCATTGCTCTCAGACAAACTTTCCATGTTTACGGTATGTTTTTTTTTTGTAATTTTCTCTATCTTGATTTTGTTAGATTTTTAGTTTTGCTTCCTCGATTTGTGGATATGTCAGGAATTAAAATATTTTCAATTTCAAGAATAAATCAATAATGCCCTTATTAAAGCTTATGAATATACACAATACTAGACCGTTGAATATTTGTGGAAATTTATGATTACAATTTTTTGTTATAGGTACGATCAAAGAGTTGAGAGAGACACCGTACAAGAAAAACCAAAGATTCGTGGAGTTTTATGATGTAAGAGATGCTGCGAAGGCGTTAGATCGATTGAATGGTGAAGAGATTTGTGGGAGGCAAGTTGTGATCGAATTTAGCCGACCAGGTGGACTTAGGAACAAGTTCATGTCATCTAGGCAACCGCAGCTACCGTTTCAACCCCTTCAGCCACCACTAAGTCTAAGCCCTCCTATGAGGCAGTCTGTGTCTCTCATGAAAGATAAAAACAAGAATGTGAGCCCTAATAATGGCGTTGTTGCTGTTAAAGATTCTATGCGTTCGTTGTGTATCACCGATGATGATAATAGGACCCGAGGAATGCAATCCGAGACAAAGAGCAAGAACGTGGCTAATTGGGGAATGAAAAGACAGATGAGGAACACGGAACTAAGTCAGTTTCTTATCAGTGAAGAAACCATGAAGGATCCGAGTTGCAGAGATCCACGTACCACTTTGATGATCAAGAACATACCGAATAAATACAGGTTCGACTTTAATAATCTAATAATATTATAAAGTTTGGAGGTTTTTCTTTCAGTTATTCTCTAGGACGGTTGAAGACTAAATCTTTGAATAAAGTATTTAGATGGATTTTTAGTTTGAAGCTTTTTCAAACTCTAGGATGATTAAAGACTTAATTAGATCTTTCTAATCTTTTATTAAAATATTCACATGGATTCGTGTGCTAAGATGCTGTTTATATATATTCAAAGATTTATATTCTAGATAAAATTCTCTTATGTTATGTTCCATCAAGCTTTGATTATCTTCTTGTTTGATATTACATTAATTGACTAACATTTTCTCGGATGCTCTTATATTTCAGATGTATTAGATTCCATCTGAATTTCTAAGGTTCATTTTTGTTTTGTTTTATATAGTCAAAAAATGCTGACGAATATGTTAGACAATCACTGCATTCATATCAATGAAGCGATCACCGAGGAGAGCGACAAACACGAGTCTCATCATCAGCCATTTTCTTCTTATGATTTCGTGTATCTCCCGATGGATTTCAAGTAAGCAAACATCAAAAGTCCACTGACTGTATAGTATCGGTTATATTTTCTTAGCTAAAACCGTAACTCTTTTATTTGTTTTGATATTAGCAACAAGTGCAATGTTGGTTATGGGTTTGTGAACATGACATCTCCGGAGGCAGCTTGGAGGTTTTACAAGGCGTTTCATCTTCAACGTTGGGAGGTTTTTAATTCGCAAAAGATTTGCCAAGTCACATATGCGAGAGTTCAGGTAATTATAAACACATGCTTGTTTTGAAATCGCAAACTTCATAATTTTTGATAATTGGTCACAATGTGTTTATTTTGTTATAATTAAAAGGGTTTGGAGGATCTAAAGGAACACTTCAAGAGCTCAAAGTTTCCGTGTGAGGCTGAGGTTTACCTTCCAGTGGTCTTCTCTCCTCCACGAGACGGGAAGCAGTTAACGGAAGCCGTCTCTATCAACATCAACGGCTTCACCAGGCTCGATCATAGTCATCTTGAGCCAAATGACGGTGAAGATCACTATGTGAGTGGATCATGTAGTGGCAGTGACCATGATAATAGTCAGGAAGATGGATTTTCCGGCAGTAGCATAGATGGTGGTCGGAGTATCTCCGGGTAAGGAGAGACATCTTTCTAGGTGTTAACTACCTTTAATGTAAACTATAAGATGCAAAAAATTGTAAGTAGACATAATTTTGGTTAGATTTTGTACTTGTTTTGTTGCCTCGGTCTAAATTTCTTTTTGGTCATTCAGCATGATTTCGGTTTTATCATGCAAAGTTCTTTTTCAATGGATTAGAGCAAAGAATGAAGACAGTTGTGAAGATACCCTATGTTTAAATCTTTTTTGTGAAAATACCCATTTGTATATATGAACAAATTACTCCTTTTAACCATAAATTTAAAATTCTGAACTTTAAATCCTAGTAGTTAAATTTAAATCTGAAAGATTAGCTTTTTTAATTCTTAAAAGTTAAAACCTGTTTCCGATTATGAATTATTATTATCCCTACAAAAAATTTAGTAATGGTCTGTAATTTTGTTTTCCTTGTTGAAAATGATATGGTTAAAAAATGAAATGGACTGGTGACCAGATTTGGGTTGACCTAAGGTAAAGAGTTCTTTTTCAGGCAATACACTATCGATGTTATAGTGTCTTTAGCTGTCTTATTCAGTGACCTGCTGAAAGGGACAATAGAGGACTCTGTACGAGTGATGATCACATTCTGTATCTCCCTCTGATTCATGGGGATTCGACACGTGGTGACATATCCACCTTTCATGTTGTGCATGACAGGGCTGATAGTGATCGTTGACTACAACTTTTTAATTTTCTGATGTCAGATGAGACTTCTGACGTTAGATGTTTTTAGGGGCGATACAGATTTTATAGGATTATTAAATAAATGAAATCCAATTAGAACCGGAAACCATCACACCCTAATGGTGATTTAGATTTATTTTGCCCGTAAATATTAAAATCCAGTTATACTTTCTTTTTGTCTTTTCATTTTTCTTATAGGATTGGTTTTGTTACTTAACTGGATAATCCAACATAGATACAATGTACTGCATTTTCACTTGAACTAGCAAAGAACACAAGACACAAAATGATTTGTTCTTTTCTTTGTGTGTAATGCATTATTTCATTTCGGTTTGTTCGTACGACCAAATCGAAAATTCTACTGAAAGCGGCCCAAACTCCCAAACTCTCTACACTTATACACTATACAGACCCAAATTTGACAAATATTGGGCCCAAACTAAATGGGCCTACATAATACAGGTCCAGTAAATGGCATTACCCTAATTCGATCTCGCCGTGTCTCTCTCTATAAGAGTAAGACCTTATGAACCGTAATTCATCAAGTTCCAGCCGATCTCTACAGCCGTCTTTTTTTTTTTTATCATCTTCAGCTTCATAGTTTTCGTTTGATTGTTTGTTCGTTGACAATGTTTTTGAGATCGCTTTCGAAAGGCGTTGCGCTCTTCGTCTGGGTTTACGTACCCTGAAGGGCGTGTCACCGGAAGCGTATATCTGAAAATCCTCAATTCGATCGATAGGAATGTGAAATTCGGATTCGTTCGAATGAACAAACCTCGATATCCGATGGCTAATCGTTTTTTGCCATCAATGAATCGTTTTGAGAAATTTTATGATTCTGAATCAATACATATTAAATCTGAATGAGTCTTCGAAATTGATTGGGTTTAGAATGGAATTTGCTTCATAATGGTGAACTCTCTTAGAATAAAGTGAGAGATGTTCAAGTTTCCGGAGCAAATATAAAACTGGCCAGAATTTAACAGCTCTGTGTTTATCTCTATCTTCACAGTGTTACCTGTCTTCTGGTATATTTTTTTGTATCACTAATTCCATTACCAACTATTTTGTTTTGTTTTTTTTGCTAATTGTCCGAATTATCATATGTCGACCGAGTTTGCGGATTTGAGGCTATAAAATTGGAACAAACGTCTTTCTACAAAAGATGTAGAAGTCAACCCAATAAGTTTCTACTGCAATGCGATTTTAAACTCGACAAAAAGCTTATGAATACACAACCCAATTTATGTCCCAATTATGAATTAAGACTCTTAAGATGGGCTGTTGATTACTTTGTTGGCCCCAAAATTCCTTGAAAGGCCCAATGGGTAGGAAGGAAAAATATGGTCGAAAGTATGCTTATCAAGCAATGTGACCGTCATTTATCATGGCATCAGTTAAATTGGATTATACTATGAGTTTGTCAGTAAACGTGAGTTAACATATGACACGCAAAAACGCATTTTTAAAGCCCTTTTTTTTTAAAAAAATTTCGTTACGGCACTGCAGCCCACCAAACACACAGTTTGCGTTAACAAACTCGGTTCTATTACTTTACGTTTTGAACAAGAAAATGTTGTGTACTTGAAATAGACAAATCCCTAAAAAACAGTCTTAGTGCTTAAAGCAAAAGCACCAAACGCACGGAGATTTCTCTCTTTGAATCTTTGTCGATTTTACATATCTTTACGATACATAAACCAAAAACCTTGAAATCCAATTTTCATGTTTCATATTTATTACAAAAGAAGGTTTATCACCAAGATATACACAACAATGTCTAATAAAATCTCTGTAACGTCATTGATAGATCGCATCTGTGGTCATCTATGTCTTCAAGATGTATCTATTGCGTTGTTAAGTCTATTCCTTTTCTGTTGCTTGCGAGCGAAGCTAACCAGCAAAAGCGGACCAACGCAATGGCCAGTGTTTGGAATCACTCCCGAGTTTTTCTATAACGTAAACGATTTGTACGGATGGGTCACAAGGTGTTTAACAAGAAGCCAAGGTTCGTTTCCTTACAGAGGAATCTGGTTTAGCAAATCCTACGGAGCCATGACAAGCGTTCCCGCAAACGTCGAATACATGCTCAAAACCAATTTCAAGAACTTCCCAAAAGGAGAGTTTTACAAAGAGAGGTTCCACGACTTGCTCGAAGAAGGCATCTTCAACGCGGACGACGAGTCTTGGAAAGAACAGAGACGGATCATCATAACCGAGATGCATTCGACTCGTTTCGTCGAGCATTCTTTTCAGACGACGAGGGATTTGATACAGAGGAAGCTCTTGAGAGTGATGGAGAGTTTCTGCAAGTCGCAAGAAGTGTTTGATCTTCAAGATATTCTTTTGAGGTTGACGTTCGACAACATCTGCATCGCTGGTCTCGGAGATGATCCTGGGACTTTGGATGATGATCTTCCTCAAGTTCCATTCGCTAAAGCGTTTGAAGAAGCGACAGAGTCTACTCTGTTTAGGTTTATGGTTCCTCAGTTTGTGTGGAAACCTATGAGGTATTTCGATTTAGGGTATGAGAGAGGGATGAGGAAAGCGGTTGAGACGGTTCATGGTTTTATAGACAAGATGGTTGTGGACAGAATCAAGATGCTTAAGGAAGAAGGAACATTGGTGAATAACAAATCCGATGTCCTCTCGAGGCTGATACAGATCGAGAGTCACAAAAGAGGCGATGAAAACGATCGATTCACGGTTAGGTTTTTCAGACAGTTCTGCACGAGTTTCATCTTAGCGGGAAGAGACACGAGCTCCGTCGCGCTTACTTGGTTCTTCTGGTTGGTAACAAAACATCCTGAAGTCGAGGACAAGATCCTTGAGGAAGTCAGAGAGATCTTGAGGCAAAGAGAGAGCAATCTTGAGACGCAAGAAACAGAGAGTTGTTGTTTCTTCACCGTCAAGGAACTTAACGATATGGTTTATCTACAAGCGGCGTTGTCGGAAGCTCTTAGACTCTATCCACCGATTCCAATGGAAATGAAGACAGCGAGTGAAGAAGACGTGTTTCCGGATGGGACTTACTTGCCAAAGGGGTCACGTGTTTACTTCTCTATCTATGCGATGGGAAGGATGGAATCGATTTGGGGGAAAGACTGTGAAATGTACAAGCCAGAGAGATGGATACAAGGAGGACAGTATGTGAGTGATGACCAGTTTAAATACGTCGTGTTCAACGGCGGTCCAAGGATCTGTTTAGGGAAGACATTTGCTTACTTGCAGATGAAAATGGTGGCTGCTTCCGTCTTGTTGAATTACTCGATCAAGGTTGATCAAGGTCATGTCGTTGTTGCGCGAGTTACAACGACGTTGTATATGAAACATGGTCTTAAGGTCAGGATCATGCCTAGATCTTTTGAAGAGAAGAGCAAGATTCATAAGTAGAGAATGAAAAAAAAACCAGCTAAAAATGCTACTGAAATATTTGTTCATATATGGCTGATGTAAAAAATCTAAGAAAATGTACAGTGTGTGTAATTATGTGTATTGCAGATCAAATGTTATATATACAAAGCAAGAATTGCAATCAAAAGCTTATAACTTAGATCTTCCAATCTGGTTTAACCGATGCAAAAACCAAACCCAAATGAATGTTTTTCTTGTTTCCATTCGGTTTTTATACTTCTTAAACCGAAAGATTAAAAAAACCAAACCTAAAACCGGATTAGATATCATTGTGAAAGCTATTGGAAACTTTCTTGAATACCTTATCAGACTGATAAAGACTTCTGAAGAAATCTCTTCGAGTATGGACTAATTTGAAGAAACGGGTTTGGTTTAAACCGGGATCTTGTGCTAGTAACAAGCTTAAACCACTGGCTTTTGGGATCGCAGGTCGAGTTTCCTTCTAAACATTTGCAGCTTTTTGTCACAATGTTGTTACTATCTGAATCCACATCCAAACAAACAGAAGCTCCACTCTTTGTTATCGACGAGAGTTGCATGTTTGATCCAGACAAAGGTTTCCATTTTGAGCAGTAAAATTCAAAGAAAAACAGACGCAGCTTCACGGACTTTCCTTTCTCATAAGCTTTTAAGCAGAAGATTTGTTCTTCTGATAGTGACAAAACTCGATGAGAAGAAACTCTCCAGCTTTCAGGTTTGTCGCAAGAGCCAAGCTTTAGTTGAAACAGTGATTTTCTCACGATGCAAAGTCCAGTTGATGGATGGAAAATTATCTTCTTGGGGTGAGTTTCCATTAGACCTGGTCCTGAACAGTTCAAAGTTGTTTGGTTTTGCCATTAATTAAGGAATAAAATGTAAAACAAAAATAGCAAGTTTGAAAAACCAATCTACTATATAGGCAAATAGCAACACTGTTTTTTTTAACAGCATTTTTTTTTATAATTATTTCAAAGATAAATCCATAAATTGACAAATATTTCATCCATTTCACAAAAATGTTGTTTTGGGACCTTTTTCATATTGGAAAAAAAGAGTATCACTATACAAGAAAATATATAATTTTTTCTTTAGTTAAAAATCTATAAAAGTGTTAAATAGGACATAACTTGTGAAATGTGTTAAAATGCAACTTTATATTTTTCAACAATTTTTTATAAAATTTGTGTACCTCTAAATGGAGACTGAATAGCAGAAATCATCTGAAGAATGGTTGAATTTCTTATGCTTGACCAACTCCAATCCAAAACACCATAAGATTCATCTGGTCCAATTGTTTTCCCCCTTAGATAATAGCTTCCGGCAACAGTCCATATCGCCCAATCTACATCAAGATCCGCTGCTAAAGCCATAAAGCAGCTCAGAAACCTATTGTCATTCACATTGCTCCCTCTTTGATCAATCCCAAACTCGCTCACAAACAAAGGAAACCCTTTCTCGAGTAGAAACCCTGACATTCTCATAATGTTTTCGGTTTCTCTCCTGCAAATCTTGTTCAAGTCCTCTCCTTTCCAAGAACTCCAAAATCCATACCAATGGATCTCGAACACCACTTTCCTCCTGAAGCTAACTTGGAACGGTCTGTCTCGTAGAAACGACAAGTCAGTAGCGTAGTTTAAACCAGAGACAATGATGAGAATGTTCTGATTCACCGAGTGGACCGCTTCAGCTCCTTCTTGCATATACTTGTACCAATCTTTGATGTTCTGTTTAGGACCTCTAAGTTCGTTTCTTAGACTCATGGCAACTACATTTGATGAAACATTAGCAAACATTGATGCCATTCTCTTTAAGCCTCTGATCCAAAGATTAGGGTTTAAATGCTTATCGCCGAAGAAACCGTTTCCATCATTGTCACTGCAACACCAACCAGGTTGGCTTATGTGATTGTCTAAAATCACCATTAATCTGTTCCTTCCGAGACAAGAAACCACTTCCTGTTTCAGAACAACAAGACCCTAATTGATTATCATTAATTTTTCTTCATTCCTATCTAATACAGGAAAGAGTCAACAAATTAAATTAATAACATAACAAAACAAAACTCATAATTCTCTAGGAAAAAAGTTGAAAGAAGATTAAGCAATATTTAAACCTCAATATTTAGAGGTAGAATCAATGATAGATACAAAGATAATTAAAAAAAAAAACATTTATACTACTTGTACACCAAAAATGATCAAATGTCAAGAAAATACAAGAACACAAAAGAAAAAGAAAAAGTCAAAACTTTTCCAAGAAAATTTATTTAAGAGCCCATATAAGAAAATCTAATATTTTGTGTGTGTGTGTGTTTTACCTGGAAAGCTTTGATTAGGGGAAGATCAAGAATGGAAGGATTATGAACTTGTACACCAGAGATAGCTTCAAAAAGACCAAATTTGCGAAGAGATTGTCTCACAGTCATAACACCAGAGAACGTTTCGTCGGTGGCTAAGTAGAGAGGCCAAGTCAATCTAACGCAGTTGAAACCCATTGAAACGATCTTCTCGGCAATCGAATCTAATGGCTGCTTGCTCAGCCCTTCCGCCACAGCTGCTTCCAAATGCGACGGCCAGTTGACGCAAGTGAGCTTCACGCGCCGCCCTTTGTTACCGTCGTCGACGATCCAGCGTGAGTCGGTGGAGAGAGGGAATGCTAAGGTGATGTTGATGTTGATGATGATGAACATAGGAAGAAGAAAGACAGAGATGAAAAAGAATCTTTCCATTGGTCTCTGTGTCTTTTTTGCTTCTCCCAACCTTTCTTCCTTTTACCGCCAACATGTATACATGTGTGTCGTATGTGTATATATATTCGAAACAGCGTGTAAATGTCCATTTTATTTATTAATGTTGTAATTAGTGGAATGGTCTATAAATAATGATTGTATAGTCCATTTGATTGATTATGTCTCATTTTCTTATCGTTGTAACAAGCTTTTTTCAAGACGATGATTTTTCTTTTATTGGCACAATGATGATTCTTTCAATATTTTTTAAAGACTAAACGTCTTTTAGTTAGATCATCGTTAGAATTAGTCATATGTAAACATTCATCTTTTTTTTTTTTTTTTTTTTTTATTTTTTTTTGTTGACATCATAGATATATTCATCTACCTTTACAATGATGCTAGCTTTTTAGACATTCGAAAGTATTGAGACGTGATTATATTCAACTCGCTCAAAAAATATACTGATGTGATTTTTTTTTGGTTTCAGTTCAATCGTATAGTTTTTAAATAAGTTTTTCATTTTTTTAATTAAAGACTAAAACATTAGAGAAAAAACTTTAAACTAATCTTTAACACGTTTCGGACCGACAAGACACGACTTAATAGCCATAATTAATCTATAGACTATAGTGCAGGCATATGGAGTTGATTTGTCAAAAAGGCCGCATATATAGGGTAGATTTAATTATTTTAACATATAGATTAATTAGTGCACTATATAGAATCATATATACGCTGTACTCGATTAGCGCACAACAAATTAAATATGAGTAGTATATGTTTAACGCATGATTCTATATATATAGTTTACCTAGATCATTAGTCATTAATCAAATGAATTACCAATGCATAATCTGTTTATTGAAAGCATATTATTATTATATTTATTTGGATTTGACACTTCCAATAACACTTGTTACGACGATGTAATTTAAATCCAAAACACTTGTTTTACTAATTTAACGACGACGATTTAGCATATTACTAATTTAACGACGATGTAATTTAAATCCAAAATACTTGTTTTGCATGTGGCAGCGCAAGAACTTTAAAACATATACAAGTGTGATTGCATACTAGCTAGAGTTGCAACTCGGAGCCTAACCAAATAGTCTTAACCAGAAATTTCTTACGGAGAACAGAAAATAACATACAACTGTTACTCATTTTTTTATATAAATATGAGATGATTACATAATCTTATATTTAACCTCATTATTTAGTAACTTTAACGATCTTAAACCACTGGCTCATCGCCATACACGAGCTGTCTTCCCCCTTCACACACTTGCAGTTACTAGCCACGAGGTTATTGTCTACATCGACGTCAAGACAAAGCGAGTTATTGGTTGACTTCGCAGCTAAGAGCATATTAGAGGCTGAGATGGTCTGCCATTTCGATAAGTTAGGGCTCGAGCAACTCATCTCACTGAGCCTAACCGGCGCATTTGGTCCAGTATTCTCTAAGCATAGAGACTTATCTTTGAGTTTCAAGGTGTTGTCAAGAGTGTAGCTCCATGGTTGAGACTCATTACATAAACCGAGAGTGACCTTGGTCGGATCTTTTGAAGTTTGTAGCATGCAAAGTCCGGTTAGTGGGTGGAAAACAAGATTGTAGACTTTTGGTTGAGGGCCCGGTCCTGGTAAATAAGTTAATTAACCAAAGAATAGTGAGATAACATAAAAAATATATTTTATGTCATTTTAAGATATTTGCAATATAATTATGTTGTTGTAATAACAAAATATTAGTTTTTCTACTTTGAAGTATTCGAAACTCTCAAAATTAGTGACTGTAATTCTAAAAATGAATTTGAATACCTTGAAGCGTGGATTGAATAAGAGACAATCGTTGCATGAAACCGGAGTTTCGAACACTGATCCAATCCGAATCCAACACCCCGTAATATTCAATCATTCCGACCACACCTTCTCTGAGATAATAACTTCCTGACAGTGCCCAAATCGACCAATCTACGTCATTTTCCGCCGCCCAACCTAATATACATCCAATATACTTATCATCGTTGGCGTTTTTGCCTCTCAAATCGATTCCAAACTCACTAAGAAACACCGGGAAGTCCCGGAGGATGAAACCGCCTCCGTCGTCGATACTTTTCAGAGTCTCGCCGCATGCGTCGTTAGGGTTTTTGGAACTCCACGTGTTTGTGTTGGTGAAAGAGTATCGATGGAGCTCGAATACGAGTTTTCTGGTGAAAGTTAGGGTTACGGGTCGTGATCGGACGAATGAGAGGTCGGTGTCGTAGTTGAAGCCAGAGAGGATTAGAAGTACATTAGGGTTTGCTCTGTGAACTGCTTCGGCTCCTTGTTGCATGTACCTACATGCATAATAGTATATGATGATGAGACATATAAAATAAAATCTCACCTTTTTTATATACATATCTCATTTAGCATTCCCAATTTTATTTTAATCAAATATAGATAACACAATCTTAGATGTTTTGATGAAAACATTTATGTTTCACAAATTACAAACAAAAGAATATTAAAAACAAATACACTAGTACTATTTATAAAAAAATTAAAAAAAAAATACACTAGGACTAGGTTATACAAATAACGTACTTGAACCAAACGTCGATGTTTTGTTTAGATCCTCTAAGTTCGTTTCTGAGGCTCATGCCAACTACATTGGAGACACCTTTGAAGGTCGTGGCCATTTTGGTCAGACCGGCTATCCACGTGGCAGGGTCAAAGAAAGTGTCTCCAAAGAAACCGTTGCCGTCGTCGTAGCCGCAGCACCACCCTGGCTTGGTCAAGTGGTTGTCTAAAATCACCATCACATTTTTTCTTCCTAGAGTAGCCACCAACGTCTGCCAGAAAAAGAATAAAAACGAAGAATTTTGTTCCCAAGGAAAATGAGTCATTTGAAAGAATTAAGTACCAAACGTTTGTTGATATATAAGTTTAATTACTTTCTCTTGCTCAAACGACTTATAGTTTTGTTATAAATTAGAAGTTATTGAAAAAGTACTAGTAAGCAAAAATTATTAGAATATTGTTTAATCTTTATTATATCTGAAAAAGATAATCATCTAACAAATTAGATATCGTAATACCTTAAAAGCTTCAATGAGGGGTAGATCAATCATGGATGGGTTCTTGGTTTGGAAACCAGAAATGTCATCAGTAAGACCAAGACTTTGAAAAGATTGTCTCACAGTAACATTATTAGCCAATGTCTCATTTGTAGCCAAATCAAGTGGCCAAGTTAGTCTAACACAATTGAAACCCATTGCCAGTATCTTGTTGGCCACAGCATCAACCGGCTGCTTGCTCAGTCCTTCCGCCACAACAGGTTGCAAATGCGCTGGCCAATTTGCACACACCAGCTTCACTCTTTGTCCTTTTTCGTCTATGATCCAACGAGAATTTGTAGAGAGAGGATAGGCCATATTTTTTGTGATGAAGGAGAAGAATAAGAAGGTGATGATGAAGCAAAACATGCGTTTTAGCACTTTTGTTGTCTTCATGTTAATTTTGTTTATAATTTTTTGGGTTAAACTTTTTGTTTTGGTGTTGGTGAATCATTTGGAAGAGACACACACACATATATATATAGAGGGGAAAGAATCAAGAAGTAAAATTCTATTATTTGTTATTCATAAATGTGTAAATTGTATTTATTTATTTCCAAATTTGTTTCTATCCATACAAATCCTTTTTGAGAATTTTTAAGAAATACATTTCTTGGGATGTCAATTTTGAAAAGTGTGGGTAAAAATTGTATTTTCCAACCACTTTTAATATGGGTAAAAAATCTATAAATTATATTATTTAGAAAACAGAGAGAATTGTATTTTAAGTAACAAATACAACCGGTGTAAAAAAAAAAGTAAAAAATACGACCAAAACAATACTCAAATTTAATTTAGTTTACAGCATAAATTAAATTAAAGTTGTCTTACTCTTATAGTCTAATGACATTAGTTTACCCATGAATGTATCCAAAATATTCAAAAACATTAACTAGATCCACACATTAACTAGTTTGTTTACGGATACTTAATATCTATATTTGATCCACATTCTAAACTTATCCACATAAACTAAACCTTTAAATGTTTGATCCACCATAGCTAGAAGATAAATTCTTGTTCACTAGACAAATGTACTGTATTTGGTTCATTTAATTAATTTTAAATTGTTCGGCGCAGTTTGTAGACATATCATTTTATCAAACTTCTCAGAATAGAATCCAACATCTCTTGTTTTTTGTCGGCGGCCATATACAGTACTCAACTTTTCCACCATTTTAACGCAAACTGAACACATGTGCGGTCAAAAAAAGAAAATGAAAACTGAACACATGTATAGTCTTATTTAGTCAACTGAATTTGTCCACAAAACTCGATTCACGCATTAACTATTGTTCATGAAAATTTCGTATTTAATTTTGGTCCACATCTAAACTGTCTACATAAACTAAACACTCATATACTATACAAACTAACATATTTTGGCCTGCTATACTAATTTATACTGAATGGAATTGAACTAGTGTATTCTTAGGCAAATCATTTCATCAAACCTTCCTAGAATTTGTGGATGCAAGATAGCTAAAAGTAGATTTGGAGTTAAGCTTTATAAATAACACATAATCAAATTAGATCGAAAACTGGAAAACGAACTAAAAATGCTTATTTTTATTGATAATTTGAAGGCAATTCGATATGACTAAAGATAAACAGAGATGTGACAAATTGCTTGTAGTTTTTGCAAAAGAAGTGATCCCTAATAATATCTCCAAGTAATTATGACTAGTATAATACCTTATTATCTTAACATAATCTTACAGATCACTTATACTTCCATACATTTCCATTATTATAGGGAAATTTGATTTAGAAATTTATTCAAAGTCTAATCAACAAACTCGAACTGGGACCAACTTCAGAGGTACTTTCTTGACGATTGTAAGAGTGCCAGCTTCTTCTACATCGATGTCTCTATGTGTCATCCCATCAGGCAATTTCCAGTCGAAGAAGTAAAGCAAGTTCAAGAGTCCCAGTTCAAAAGTAACCAACCCGATCGCCATCCCGGGACATATCCTTCGACCAGAGCCAAACGGTAAGAGCTCGAAATGTTGTCCTTTATAATCAACAGGGCTATCGATAAACCTCTCGGGGTTAAAGTCTTCCGGGTTTGTCCAGAGTTTAGGATCTCTTCCTATCGCCCAAGCGTTGACCAAGATCCGTCTCTTTGGAGGAATATCATAGCCTTGAACCTTGATGTGAGCCATTGTCTCTCTTGGGAGCAGAAGAGGAACCGGAGGGTGTAATCTGAATGTTTCCTTGATCACAAGGTCCAAGTATGGAACTTTTCCGATATCTTCTTCGGTGATTCTCTCCTTGTTGTTGCCAAGACGTTCTCTGATCTCATCTTGAACTTTTTTCATCAGTTTAGGGTTTCTTGCGAGCTCAGTCATTGCCCACATCATGGTAAGAGCTCCTGTGTCTATCCCTGCGAGAAAGATATCCTAGCAAAACACACACGGAAACTAAGTTTAATATCAAGATTTGATTTTTTTCAATGTGAATGTGTTCAAACTTCAAAGATATGTTTGCTTTCTTTACCGTGAGAAGTCCCTTGATATGATCTATCGTGCGCATCAAGGAATCATCTTTGCCTTGTTGATGCATGACATTCAACATTGTATCGATGATGTCTTCATGATCTTTTGATCTTTGGGGATTCAAATGATCATCGATGACACCTTGAAACAGAGCATCAAGCTTCAAGTAAGCGTCGTTGAGCCTCTTGTGTTGACCCGAAAGCCAGTCAATGAGCCGTCCAAGTCCGGCAACGGGAAATAAATCAGAGAATATGAAACCAGCCTCAGCGTTCTCGCCTTCAAAGACAAGCTCATCGACCTTGTCTTTATCGATGAGCTCGCTTTCTTGGAAACTCTGTCCAAAACCAACTCTAAACACAATACTTGCGTTTAGCCAGAAAAAGGTTTTGCTCAAATCGACTGGAGATTGATCCACAGCGGATTCTGACAGTTTCTTGACAAGAAAGTTACATTCTTCCTCTCTAATATATCCAAAAGATTGAACCTTTTTTGAACAGAAAAGCTCACGTCCCAAGAACTTACGCCGTTCCTTCCACTCATCACCGTATGGCGTAAAACTGATATCTTTAAAATCATGAGAGATTTTCTTCGATCCGACAAGCTTAGGCCTGGTGCAACAGTCTAGGTCATGGGTTTTAAGCACTTCTTCAGCTGCTTCTTTGGACGAGATTACCGTTACAGGGACAAAACCTAAGCGAACAAGCATAACATGTCCGGTTCTTTCGGCTAGACGTTGGAGTGACCTGTGAGGCAATTCTCCAACTTGGTGTAGGTTTCCGATGATCGGAAACTGTGGAGGACTTGGAGGAAGATTCCATTTGGAGCGTTTGATCTTCTTGCCGACAAAGATTAACGAAGCGACGGTGATGAGGATAAGACAGAGCAAAGAGATTGCCATTTTTTATTTTGCTTTGGGATATCGAGAATATGAATTTGGTATAGCTCTGTTTTGGTATCTTATTAGTTTCAAGCGGCAAGAAGAAACCAAAAACTTTTAATTGCAATAAAATGGGCTTATATATTAGCTTTTTTTTTTTTTTTCATGTTTTGTAATATGATTCGTGTGAATTACATGGTTATCAAATTTTTACTTTTTTCTTCTAATGCATAAATAGAAGATTTCTTATTTACAATCACAGAGATTATCATAAAGATTCTTTCTACCTCTTGTATCTTAAACCAAACAAACTGTATACCCTACCTTATTTTTCTTTTTATAACTAGTAAGTTTGCTCATACCATATGTTAGTGAGAAATTTTATGAAATACATCTCTTGAGGTGCAAATTTTCAAAAGTACACCAATAGTGTGGAAATTTTCAAAAATACATGTTTTCCTAATTTTAATATATATGTTTGGATTCACTAATCCTATATCAGGGTTTAGATTTTGGGGTTAGGGTTTAGATTTAAGGGTTCACTGTTAGATTTTAGGGTTTTGAATTTATATTTTAGGATTTAGAGCTCTTTTACTAATTGAAAAAAGTGTAGTTTTGAAAATGGACACCATAGAAGTGTATTTTTGAAAATAGGCACCTCAAAAGGTGTACTTTTGAAATTTTCCCGTTAGTAGAGTTATATATTTTATTAATCTTTTGACTTTTGGTCTCCTAACATTATTTTTTTCCAATAAGACCAAATTATTTATTGTTGTGTTATTCTTCAGGTCTATCAAGTTTATATATACAGTAGAAACTCTATAAATTAATAATGGACTTTGATATTTTATTAATTTATAGGTTTTGATTAAAAGAAAAAATTTCAAAAAAATAAAATTTAATATTTATAATCGTTTAAAATTTCATTCAAATTAAATAAAAACTTTCATTTATAGTATATTTTATAATTTTTCTGATATTTTTATATTTATTTTATTATTAACATTTTTTCATACTTATCATATTGTTTTAAATTTTATTTTTCTTCTCATTTCCATATATATCTGTTTGGTGTGTGATAGATTCATACTCCCTCTATCCTATATTACAAACAATTTGGAAAAATGTATTTGGATGTATCTGGACGTGTTTTGAGTCCAGATACATCCAGATAATTGCAAATACATTTTTCCCAACTACTTATAATATGTGACAGAGGGAGTATTTTAGTAGCTAGATATTTTAGTTATATATATAATTTTAATATATGATGACTATTAATTTATAATATTATTGGGACCATAGTTTACATAAGAATTTCAAAAACATTATTATCTTATTATCTTATCGAATTATGTCATATTTTACATCGGCCCAACTCGGGACCGAAAGATTTTATTAATTTATCGTGTTTCTTAATTTATAAAGTATTAATTTATAGAGTTTCTACTATATATATCAATTTTCTATCAGTCTAAGATAATTAGAAATATATAATCTATACTATTATTTACAAAATAATTTTAGAGAATGGAACTCTCTCTTTCACTCTCACGAAGATAATGACACTAATACCTTTAATAAAATTTCTTATTTACATTGCCATTATCTATAACTTACGAAAAAATTAACAATATCCTAGCCAATTTTCTGATCGGCTGCATTTGATTAACCAAATTTCTTCACCCCTAATAAATATTAGGGAGGCATATTGAATCAATGATTTGAGAGGATTTAGATATATAAAGAATTTAAGGAACTTTTAAAGGATTTTTAAGAATTGAGCAGATTTGCAAATTTTCTATTAAAAAAAATCATATAGAAAATTTGCAAATCTGCTCAAATCTTAAAAAGCTTTTAAAAGTTCCTTAAATTCTTTATATATCTAAATCCTATCAAATCATTGATTCAATATGCCTCTCTAATATTTATTAGGGGTGAAGGGATTTGGTTTATCAAATGTAGCCGATCAGATCAGAAAATTTGGCTAAGTTTTTGTTAAATTTTTTTTTGTATATTATAGATAATGGCAATTTCAGGGTATTTAAAAAACAAAAAAAAATCAGTTTTATTTGTTTTTTCCCTGTAAAAAACGTGAATCTTAGAAAAAAAAAACTAATTTAATTATTTATTTATTCAAATCTCATCTCATTATATGGTATTTGGATATATTTATTTTTAACTACCAAATCTCTGTGGGATTTTAAAGAATTTGTATAAATCATTAGTCACCTAGGATTTTGAGTGATTTTTGTAAATATCAGATCCAATAAGAAGTGATTTAAAAATGATTTGAAATCCTCCCAAATCATTAGTTCAATAAGCCCCACTTAGTGATTTTCAGAAAACCCTAGGTATGTTAAACATGTCGGATCTGCCTGCCGTGAGTTCGGGTTAAATTGATCTTAAAAAAGGGAACCTGCTTGACTTGTAGATTGTATATTTGATACCCACATCCGCTCCAAATTAATCAAGCGGGTAACCTGTCACCCTTCACATATGACAAAAAAATTAAAGTAAATTTGATATTTAAAAAAAAAGTTTTAAACAGAAATCTGAACAATGAGACATAAGTATTGATTGGTTCATCTACTACCACCCGCAAAAACTGCATCTGTAGGTGGTAGCGGTTTTTAGTGTTTGAGAACAATCATAGAAAATGCTTTTTACCGTTTCTTACCGCTCCAATTCTCTCAAATTCAAAACTGTTTTCAGTAAGCTTGCAGTTCCAGGCAGTTGTGAGTGCGTAATTGAAAACAAACAAAGATTTAAAAATGTTATTAAAAATCAAAATATTATATAATTTGTTTTTAGAAAATACTTTAATATTATAATGGTGACTTTTTTACATAGTATTCACTAACCACATATTACAAATATATATATATATATATATTTAAAATTATTAAAAAAATTCTCTAGATAATTTTTTTTTATGATCACTAATACTCCCTCCGTTTCATAATAAGTGTCGTTTTGACTCTTTACATACCCAATTTATCTGAATATATCTAGATGTATTAAGACTCAAAACACATCCAAATACATCAATAAATAGTCAAGATTCATTTTGTCAAAATGACACTTATTATGAAAAATTAACAAACTAAAGAATTGATAATTGACATTAATCTTCACAATTTTTTTTCCATAAAATTATAACTTCATTTAATTTAGAGAAAATAGAAAAGGTATTACAAATGATTTTAATTATCAAGTTACACTGAATTCGTTATTTTTATAAATTATTAAAATTATATATATATTTTTTTATACTTTATAGTTATGAAATATGTTTATATTGTTAATTTATTGTTTAACCGCATCTGCAAGTTAACCAGTCACGACCGTTTAACGCTACTAACCACAACAGCCCATTTCTGCAAACTGCTACACCCCCAACCGCATCAATTAAACTAATCAAGCCAACTAATAATGTTCAGTTTAAGAAAACGGGACCGAGTCTAATGACTGACTGATGAGTACCCTCACCTTGGTATCATCAATGATCTGCTTGAAGACGAATATGGCTCAATGGACAGTCATATAACGTATACCACAATGGTTGAATAACAACCATTACTCATATAATGGCACTGAGGATCTTTAGATCCCTGACATATCATAGTTATAGCGAATATATGTCACATTTTTAGGTAGAAGAATGTGGCTATATTCACTACAACTTGGTGACTTGCCAAAGATCCCAAAATTGCAGTGTCATTATATGTCGAGTGAATAAATATAAATGGATGGATAAAAAAACCAATTTTCCTACCCGAAGTCGTTACCTTAACCGCAAGGAGGGGGATGCCGAAGGCAGGGCTAGTGTATTTTTTGTTATTAAACTATTGTGGTATACTGATATAAGTTATTTTTTTATTGACCATATTTGTCTTCAAACGTGTTATTAATAATATCAAGATGAGAAAACTCATCAATCATTAGAGTATGAGCCGTTTTCCCAAACTGAACATTATTATAAGTAGGTTGTAAATAATTTATTTAAAATCATAAAATAAATAGGCTGTAAGTAGGCTGTAACTAATTTATTTCTCCTTTGATAAAAAATAAGAGATATTATAATCATAAAATAAATAAATAAATTTTATATTTTTAGTTAATACTTGTTAGAGACATGTCATAATTTTATATTTATAATTTTAATAAACCAAAATTTCTTTGATAAGTGTTCTCTTCATATAAACAAAAAAATATAACAACTAAAATTCTCTTAATCTAAACTGATTTTCCATTTCAAAAATTAACTTCTTAATGAAATCCCAACATTCATCCAAATTAATGAAAAAATAAAATAAAAAAAAGTATTATACATATATTTTTTTATCATTAGTTATGCTGAAATATTAATTTTATAGTTTTTCTAATAATGTAGTTTTGATGTTTTTATTGTTATAGAATGTGTTTATATAGTTAATTTATTGTTTAACCTTTATTGCGGAACCATTCATAAGTATGCATCCATTTTCAACTGTTATACCAGTCGTAATCGCTTAATAATGTTCTTAACCATAATCGCACATTTCAACAAACTGCTGCAAGTACAACGTTTAAACCAGTCAGACCGTAAATATAACTACAAAATTGTAACTGAAATATCAAAAATTATATGTTACTATTGTCATATGCTTCGAAACCTCCAAGCCAATTACGAACACATATCAAGGCTTGAACATTTTGTGGGAGAAGACATGTTCTTACTTAAGGTCCGTGATCCAATGCTAAAAGACGACTCAAACATTATCGATGTGATATGTATGCTTAAATTATCATAAGCCATCCTAGGTAACTCTCCAAAGCGATGATAAATTGTTTTTCCTAAATCCAAGACATCTAAACTTGAAAACATCTTCATGACTACTAATGGTTTGAAGTATAAATCAAGAGCAGATTTCTCATTAACACTTACTCCCTCTGTCCCATATTATAAGCAGTTGGGAAAAATGTATATGAAAAAAGTGGATGTATATGGGACAGAGGATGAGTACTTTTTTCTTGGAAAGTTGTTTTGTTTGTCACACTCTAATTGTTGACATCAAAGACAACAATAAATTCACAATTAAGAATTAGATTTCCTTTCATTTCCACCAAGAAATCTCCTAACAATGCTTTAATGGAGAACAAAATTTAACCAAACAAGCAAAATCAGTTAAGTTCAATTGCAGAATTTTTTTAGAAATCTTCTAAACAACAAATAAATAGAAATACTACTAATTAACTTTTGAAACTACCTACTTTAATGATAATATGAGAGATATAGAGTAACAAGAAGATAAACCTGGTGAAAGAGAGATTTGCTGAGAGCTATTGTCGATTGGAAACCAGTGAAAAAGAGATTCGACGAGAGAAACAGAGAGGCATAAACAGGTCGAGATACATAGAGAGAGAAAGTCGGTTTGCATAAAGGAGTGATAGATCTACAGTTTGGGAGATGAGACAAAGAGAATCGCCGCCGTCGTAAGACAAAAAAAGTGAATGAAGAAATGAGGATAAACAATTAGGGATTTATAGTACAACTTAATAGGTTTTTTTTTCTTTTATATTGAAACGACACACAGTTTTAATCAAAACGATAAACATTTACAAATTAAAAATTTAAAACCATACCCACTCCTCCAGAAATAAGATATGCGCTTGTCTTGCCAGGCCTGGCCCAATTAGCTATTGGATCCTATGCAAAATTAATAAAATTATAGTCAAATATGGAATGTAAAGAAAATATTTACCTTTTTGTAATACTTTCAAATTTCAAGATCTTAAATTTTAAGAAGTTTTTTTTGTCAAAAAACATAAAATCTAGTACAAATGCACTCTCAGTCCATGCTTAGGCTCGGGTCTGTCCTGCAATATACAAATATTGCTCCTTATTTGGAAAGATTAAATTTGATCGACCCGAACCCGCTCCACAGTCCTATATGTATTTTTAATGAGCAAGTCACGCATGACACTTTTTAAATAGTTATTTCCTAACGAAAGAGCAAATGGTAGTATATATACCTTTTGTTTGGAATATTATCGGTTCTTAATTTTTTTATCTCTATTTTTTCCCAGCTAATCGTAAGTCTAACTGATCCGGATTGAACATATCTTTTGTTATCCTGTGCAAATAAGATTAATGGTCAGAATTATGAAAATAATCCACAAGAATTTGTTTAAATCCGAATTCCATGAATATGAGAATATCAAATGTTCAAGTCCAGTTCATGGTAAATTCTAGACTGTTTTACGGTTTTATAATTTATACTATGACACAAAGACATTACTGTCGAAACTAAATAATACATTTATTTATGGGGAAGATTAGTAATAAACTCTTTATGGAGGAGAAGATACACCTAACACGAAGCAAAAATAATGTATTATATATCTTTTTAATGAGTTTTTAATATTTTCTACTATAAAAGTGTTCATTGGTGAAAGGAAAAAAGAAGAACAAAGTGAGCCAAGGTTGCATTATATCTAACTCCTTTTTAGGTTTTAAGTAAGCCTTTTTGAACCAAACAGCGGGTTCGGCCATGTAAGACTCAGCGACCACTGCACCGGAAACATTTAATGCTAACTAATTCCCTTCACCCCAAATTTGTGTTTATTAATGAGACTAAAATACAGTTCTATGTATCAACGTTGGAGTCTTTTGAGGTATAACAAAAGAGGAGGAAGGAATCAAGAGAGTTTTGGTGAGATAATCTCCTAGGAATTTGGGATCGGAAAGAGATCTATTATCTATTTGGAATCAAAACATCTGATGCTGTTGATTCATATTATATTAAAGATTGTATAGATTGTATGAAGGATGGAAAGTGTATCAAATTAAACAGTGCGTTTGATGGTTGATTTATCTAGGTGGAGACTGTATCAAAAATAATAATAGTTTTATCCTTAATCGACCTTAAATATGATAGGGGTTAAGATGAATGTATGCGATGTTAGTTTTGTCATATGATTAACTAGAAAAATAGTTTTGGCATGGGATACTACGGAAGGTTCAGGCTTTTGTTGAATCCGAGATAGCACTCGTCAAGACGGGCTATCTTAGATGTGAGTTTAGGAAACTGGAACGCTTAATTCGACTCTTAGATTATCAAGAAGATTACAAGAGAGCAATCTCGCTAACAAGCCTAGCGAGATTATGATGGTGAACAAGAGGATAGAGTAAAAGCTAATGTGAAAGCCTAGTGATTCTAGATGATTTCGGATCCTCTCCAATGGGGGGGTCTTCAATATATATGGTTGATAAGTCGGCCGAATGAGAATATTCTCCTTCAGGCGAGATGGAAAACTTCCTCTTTTGCGATATGGAAAATTCCCTCTTGTTTTTGGATCTTTCTCCATTCTTTAAGTCGGCATGAAGATTTATTTACATTTCTCCATGGATTGTGCCTTTCTCTTCAAGTCTTGCCTTTTTCTTGAAGATGTTAGGCCTAAAATCGGATTGGGCTTTGTACTTTACTAATGATGACGGGCTCAGGGAAATGTGCTAATTTCTCCTCTAACAATAAGTCCCCCCGCCAGCTCGGCAGGTCAAATGTAGTTTGATCTCGGCGAGCTTCATGAATAGAGGACGAGCTTGAGAATCATTAGTAAAATACATCACTTCAATCGGATCTTAGTGCCTAGGTGCATGCTGAATGTAGATTCGTGCCGCCTCATTAAAACCTTGGTACGGAAAAACCCAATTGGGACAAAAACCATAAAAAGGAAAAAGAGTACGTTGACGTCATCTAATTCATAGTAATTGCTTCGAATGATTTTTGCCGCGACCAAAAATGCTTTCTTGGTTCGAATGTTATGACGGGTTCGGTTTTCAGCTGTGACTGGGCGATTTTGCCACGTCACTGCCCAGCGGACCTGTTTGCAATTGCGTGGGCTGAGTCCGATAGTCGATTAAATCGCGCGGAGGCCCAAGCCCATTAATGCTTTTCCATTGAGCGGGAAAGAAATGAATAAAAAATTCATAAGGGCAGTTGTGTCCCTTGGAAGTCGCGCGATCTCTATTAAGAGACCGTTCGAATTTCCTTTATTCATTTTTGCTTCTTTTCTTCTTCTCACTCAACCGTCCCGACGAATCAAAGGTAACTTCCGCAATCCGACTTCAAATCTTGCCTCGATTGATTTCTCGAATCGATTCTTGCGGGATTTAGGACTAGGGAATACGAATTGCTTGGATCTAGTTAGGTTGTGCTCCGATTTCGTCTTCTCATCCGCCGATTCGGGTTTTAGGGTTTTCGATTCGTCAAATATTTCGTCTCGGTCGTCGAGTTTTTCCGATCCTTCATTCAATTGAGATGAATCCAAAGACAGAAAGGGAAAGGGCATCGCCATGGATGACGGCGATGAGACGATTGCTTCGATTGCGCGTCAGACGCGATCCTCCGCTCGTCCGGAGAGGCTTCTTGGTGGAGCCATCCAAGCGGATGCGGCGGAGCGTCGCAGGAAGACGGCGGTGGATGAAGCGACGGCCGCTGCTGAGGCCGAGAAGGTGGTCGAGGTGGCGAGATGGAGGAAGCGGCGAGAGTCGCCGCCGAAGCCGAGCGTCGGGAAGAGCTGAGAGACAGAGGGGGGGGAAGAGCATGATTCCGGCGACGAAACCGACTCTGATGAAGACGAAGAAGCGGGGCCGTCAGCCAAGCGAGACTCGAGGGCATCCCGGATGTAATCAAGATGCCGAGTCGTACGCCGCCTACGGGCCTAATCCACGATGGGAGGTCGTGGATGACGGAGGAGATCCTTCGAGACCTCATAGCGGAGGCCTGAGTTCCTGACTCCGTGGAGTTTCGTATCCCTGGCCATCTTGAAAGGCCCTACGACGCTCCGGCTGGGTGGATGTGCGTTTACGAGTGTATGTTCACCGAATTTGGGATGAACTTCCCTCTGTCTCCTCTATTTTTGCAATTTGCGGCTGATCGTGGCGTCCTACGAGTCAACTGACCCACGGCGTGGTTCGCCACATCGTTTTTACCGAGGCCCTGGCTAGAGCCGCCGGAGTTGTATTCGACCGTCTCTTATTTGAGCACGTTACTGATCTCCGGGCTTCGTCGCGAGAGGGAAACTTCAAGCGGTTTCATACCACGATGAAGTATGATATTGTTTTCGGGGATTACCGAAACAAGATTCATTGGTGGAAGAAATATTTCTTCTTTGTGAAGATAAACCGAGCCTCAGTCGGGAAGATCAAAGCTGATCAGATTAGGACAGAATGGGTTAAATCACCGGGTAGAATTCTTGATTAGAATTGCTATCTATGCTCACTGAGTTTGCGTTTTCTGATGTTGTTTGTTTTTTCGCAGGACCGTCCAGGCGAGCGAGACCGAACGGCGAACTCAAGGAGAAGTTAGGCTGCTGAAGGAGCTTCAGCCATCGATTGTGGCCTGAGGTAGTGGCGGCGCTTGAGAAGAAAAGCAAGAGAGGAAAGATAAGAGGGAGGGAAAAACAAATCTGCCATCCCTGCGACTCCGATATCTAGTAAGCGTTTGCTTCTTCTCTTTTTTTGCTTGGTTCTATCTTCGGGTATCTTAACGTTTGCTTTGTTTTGTAGCAGCGAAGCCATCCCGTTCTAAGAAGAAATCGATGGGTCTTAGGAAGAGAGCGGCCGTGCCTATTGACGACGTTGTCGTTGCTTCCGAGCCGGCGCCTAAAAAGAAAGGGTCGAGTCCCCCAGACTGAGGGATTCTCCTCCTTCTCCCCTTCGGAGCTCTTCCATTGCGTCGCGTACGAGGTAAGTCGCCTATTGATGGATCTTCAGGAGATAGGAATTCCGATGTTAATCGTGGACGTTCTTTGCAGGGCTTCGACGAGGAAAGCCTCGACTTCTGTTCCTGAGGGCGTTCCGGAGCAAGTGATCGAGCTTGACTCTCCTCCTTCCTCGGACCATGACGAGTCTTCCCATCACGATGAGAGTGCTTCTCATCACGATGATGGTTTGAGGACTCCGGCGCGTGGTGGTTCGCCTTCTAAGGGGGACGAGTTCCTCACCCCTGGTGGCGGCGTTCCCTCCTCTGACCGGCGTGATCGTGGTGGTTTCGAAGGAGGGGAATCATCTCGGCGTCCAGGTGAGAATGATGAGGCGGCGTCTCGTCACTCGGAGGCGGGTGGTTTTGCTCCTGGCTCGAACCTCGGTGCTGAGGGTGGCGCCGGAATTCCAAAGGATGGTCCTGAGGGCTATAATCCTCACGCGTTCAAGACATGGTGGAATGGCGGGAGTCCTCTTATGGAGGACCAGGATGCTTGCGGAGGGGCGACTTGGATGTCTAAAGTTCATCCCGGCTTGGGGATTCCGCGTGAGGAGCTCACCTTTAGGACCGATTTCGACGAAGCTGCTCAACATCATATTATGTCTGGCGGGAAGTTCACCGCGTTGGTCCAGAAGTACGAGACGGCGCTTCGGGCAGCTAAGGACGAAGCCTTTGTGTTGCGGCGAGAGCGGGAGATGGCCAAGGATGTCGATACAATGGTGGCTGATTTGCAGCAGGATAAACTGGTGCTTGAGTCGAAGGTCGCGGCGCTGAACAGGGAGATAGTGAAGACTCTCGGACTCCAGGAGGTAGCAGACAAGCTGAGGGCTCAAGTGAGTGATCTGGAGGAGAAGCGCGTCGGGATGCAGAGGCTTCTGCTGCTGAGATGGAGCGTCTCCGACGGTCTCGTCGAGAATCGGTCGAGGCGGCTGTGACTCAGGTCTTCGACTCGGTGAATGACTGGTATGCTCCTCGCCTCCATCGCTTGTCGGAGTTCGTCGCGCAGCGGGACATGGTTGAAGCCGCTGTGGGGAGGAGGCAAGTCGACGAAGCTCTCCTCAACTTCGTGAAGAAGATTCGGGGAGTGGATCTGAACTTCGACGCGGTGGAGGAGAAGCTCGCGGCTAAGCTGGCGAAGAGCATCGCGGATGGGGATGCGATTGACGAAGTTGTTATCGATGATGATGACTTCGCTCCGCCTAACAGGTGAGATTTTTGCTTCTCTACTCGTTATGTGCGTGCTTTGCGTAATGTTTGCTTATGTGTTTGCTCTGCTTTTGTAGCCTTAAACGGCTGGTGCTGCCGGGATCTCCTTCTCGTCGAGATGGTGGTGGTGCGGATCCGGGTGCGGGACCCTCTACTTCTGGGGCCAAGTCTGCTTAGGCCCCATTTTTATTTGTTTTAAGACTTTTTGGCTGCGGCCTTTTTGTTGTAATAACATTGCCTGGGAAGGTTTTTATCCGTATGCTTTAGGATTTGTGCTTCAGATTTATGCTCAGATACTCAAGATGTTTAAGTATTGATTTTTCTCTTTTTTTTGCTTGCGTGCTTGCGTGGTGATGCGGTCACGGCTTTTAGACATAATTGATTAGTTCGCAGCGCAACGAAAGTAATCCGGCTTTTGGTTATGTCTTTTAATAAAGGACGATGGTGTCGTCAACCGTATAAAATGAATTAAGTACTTGGTCGTCACCGAGTAGGAAATTCGATTATCGGGATGACTCGTTACCTTTAAGTGTATCACGACATGGTGCGCGTGATGGTGCTAGTGCGTCATGACTGGACGCGATGCTTTCGGGTTTCGTCATGACTTCTCATTCGAGACACCGACCGGCGCGTATTAGGTCTGTGTGCTTAGGATGTTAAACCTACTTTCAGCGACGAGCTCTAGAAACTCGATTTATGCTTCCGACTTCAAAGCTTCGTGCGGGTGACGAGGTAGCGGTTTTTCGCTCGTCCGACGAACTGAGAGCCGTGCGAGGTGCGTGCTCTCGGCTTAATGAATGGGTGATCAGTCCATGTTTTTAGGGTGCAAAGTGCAAGTGCTTATTGAGTTTGCCTCAATAACTTGGTTTGACGTCAAACGGGTGCGTGCTGGGTGTCGACAAGTTTCAGCTTATGCCAGAATGAGGCGCGCTTGTCGAGAGAAAAGGTTTTAATAAAATTAAAATTTTATTAAGTATTATAGCTGCGCCCTTGGTGAGAAAGGCTGCCTACGTACCCGTGCCGGGATCAAGCCATTCGTAGTTCGTTACAAATGTTCATGCCGTGGACTGCGGTGCTTCGCGTCTAGTCATGGAACTTGCGCAGATCCGACGAGCTCCAGAGGCGATCGGACGTGGTGCCGAGGTTGTCTTCTAGCTGATAGATACCTGGTTTGACGACTTTCGCGATGCGGAATGGTCCTTCCCAGTCGGAACCGAATTTGCCGAGACCATAGATCGTATCATCATCGGTTTTGCAAAAGACGAGGTCGTCTAATGCGAAACGGAGGTGTTGCTTTAGGAAAGCGGCTGCTAGATCGTCGAAGCTGTCGATGGAGTCGGCACAGAGGTTGCTGAACCATGTTAGGGCGTCGCCGCGCAAGTGTTCGGCGAGGGCTTGGCAGAAGTGCGCGCTTTGTTCTTCCGGCGATGTATATTTCTGTCTTCTCATGGCCGTCATGAAGGATGTGATCCACTGCTTGGGATCTTCTCGGCCGTCGTAGAAGTTTAGGTGTAGTGAAGCGCGCTTCTTCAGTGGTACCTCGGATAGGCGGCTTGTCAGGGGAGTTCTTCGAATATCGGCAATGATCTCGAATATCTCCTGATCGGAGAACGAGCATTGCGGGGGTGCATGGCGATCAGTCTTCGCGCGATTCTCCATGTTTCTCCTGGTCTCGCCATCGTAGACAGGGGCGTCGTCTCGGCGAGGGAGAGATTCGTGATGGCACCTTGGTGCTTTATGCGTGGACTTCTCCGGGCGAGAGGATGATGACTTTCTCTTGTTTCTTAGCCGGAACCGAGGATCTTCGGGGTCGAACCGTAGCTGCGGGATGTCTTGCTCGAGGCGGATGTAATTCTCAGCGCGAAGGAAGGCGTCCTTCAAAGTTGGGGAGGGGCGGATGCGGATATCTTCCCAGAATCCGGATTCGTATCGAAGTCCGTTTCCGAGGGCTTGGACGAGTACCGGTTCCGCGATTGGGGGTGCTCCCGGAATGTCCCTGAGGTCGAGCAGCGCGCTCTTGAATCTGTTCAGGTAGCTTCGTAGCGGTTCGTCCTCGAGTTGCTCCATCTCGAATAGATCGGAGAGATCCTTGTGTTTAGTGCAAAGCTGGACCTTAAGTCGGATTTCCAGGCGGGCTCGGAGTTCCTTTGCCGATGGATCGGGGGATCTGCATTCTGCGTCGCGACGGCTCGTTTTATTGCGTTGGACTCGTCGGTTTCGTCGTCCGATACTGGCTCGGTTATCATACAGGACGACGCGGTGCGGAGCTTGCGCTCGCGAAGGAAACATGATCTCGTCACTCTTTGATCTCCACGTAAGGTGAAAATTCCAGAGGGTATCGGAAACTTCACGCATTGGTGGAACGTCGAGATGACAGCTTTCATTTCATGGAGCCATGGGGTGCCGAGGATAGCGTTATAGATGGCCGGTTTGTCCATGACGATGAACTTCAAGAGCTTTGAAATTCCGCCGACATAAACGGGGAGCCGGACTGTGCCACAGCTGTAAACATGCTCGGCGGTGAAACCGGTGAGGGGACGGGATGTAGGTTTGATAGATCCTTCCTCCACCCCATGCGGTTCAGTGTTTCCAGAAAGATGAGGTTCACCGTGCTCCCGGTATCAACCAGGACCTTCGCGACGTCACAGTCGTGGATCTGTAGAGTGATTACGAGTGGGTCAAGGTGAGGGATGTCCAGCCCGCTCGCATCCTTATCCGTGAAGGAGATGGTAGGGATCCCTTTATGGATATACGGGTAGCGTTGTGCCGCGACGGCCTTTCGTTCGTATTCCTTGATCGCCGATATGGAATCGTCGTTATCCAGGAGCCTCCCATGATCATGCTGACTTGTCGCTTCGGTGGTGGAGGTAGGTCGTCGTGGTCATCACGATTCCTTTTCCCAAGGGGCTTCCGCCTTTTCTGCATCCTTCCTCGGACGGGGTTGTCGTCCGCGCTTCTCCTGCTGCCCAGATTTTGGTGGTTTCGGCGGGAAGCTTTTTCCTTGGGACCTATCACCGTCCATTGGCGGGATTTCTCCTCGATGGTACATGCGCATGAGGTTGCTCATTAGGTGTTTGCAGTTTTCAGTGGCGTGGCCAGTTCCTCCCGTGGAACTTGCAGAAAGCTTTGGTATCGTTGTCATCTCCGAGCGAGTTGATGTCTTGTGGCATCGAAACGGCCGCTGCGTGTTCTTGCTCGAACTCGTCGTCGGCTGCTGCGAACGCTGTGAGGAGAGACCTCTTCGGATCGTGTCTTCTTCGTGCCTCCATGGGTTCCTCTCTGGGTTTCGACGAGGTTGCCCTCCTATCTCCATGTTTCTCGGCGTAGAAGCGCTGGTCTTCCTCGAGGAAGATGTAGTTCCGAGAGCGGTGGAACGCGTCCTCCAGAGTCGCAGGGGGTTTTAGTGACAAATCCTCCTTGAACTTGGAGTCGTACCAGAGGCCGTTGCGGAGTGCTTCTAGCGGGACGCTATCGGGCATGTCGCCAGTGTCGCGAGCTGCTTGTTTGAACCTTTCCATAAAGCTGCGCAATGGTTCGCCTTGGGTTTGCGTTGTGGTGAACATGTTCCGAGTGATTCGGGTCATGTGCATGGAGTAATGCTTCAGAAAAGCATTGGTTAGGTCGTCGAAGTTATCGATCGACTCGGCGGGGAGGTTAGAGAACCAGGTCAAGGCATCTTTCGCCATGTGCTCGACGAATACTTGACAGTAGTTGGCCTCCCTTTCATCGTAAGATTTGTATTTCTCCCTCCTCATGGCGAGGTTGAACGCGGTTAGCCACTTCTTGGGGTCTTCTTCGCCGGTGTAAGAGTCGATTTTGAGTCGAACTCTTTCGTGTAGCTCAATCTGGCGGAGCCTGCGGGTGAGCGGGCTTCTTCGGGTGTCGGCGAGTGCTTTCGTCAATTCCGGAGCTGAGCTGGTGGCGCGATGAACTTTCGAATCGACCTCGTCGAGGCGACGATTCACCCGTTCAGCTCTTGGTGGTAAGTCGCCTGAAGTGCGCAGGACGGGGGGTTGTTCCGTCAGGTGGGACTTGACGGATCTTCATCGTCTTCTCGTGCTAGGGCTTCCACCTGTTCCTGAGTCTTTTTCTGCTGTGCTCGCATTGACTCGAAACCGTCGGCGAGTGGCTTGACGAGATTCTCCATGAGTTTGAGGATCTTCTCGCTCGAGGAGGATTTCTTCGAGCTGCGGGGTTTGTCGCTCGAGGAAGATTTTCTCGAGCGGCGTGGTGCGGACGGAGGGGGCTCTCGTCCTTTCTTGGCGGAGGGGATCGTTGCGGCGAAGTCGATCTTCGCGGCGAGACGGATCTCTGTGGCGAGAAAGATGGGTTTCTTGTAGGGACAGGCTTGTCCCTACCTTCAGCGGGTAGCGACTTGTCTATCGTGCGTGGTAGACTGTCGCTTAAGTTTTCTTCTGAGGGAGACGGGCTCCCGGTGGGAGTGTTCTCTTTCGAGTTCGCCATCGTTGCTAGTTCGTGAAAATCTAGATATCTTCGAGATGAATAGCGAGAAGCGTTTCCAGCCCCACGGTGGGCGCCAATTGTTGAATCCGAGATAGCACTCGTCAAGACGGGCTATCTTAGATGTGAGTTTAGGAAACTGGAACGCTTAATTCGACTCTTAGATTATCAAGAAGATTACAAGAGAGCAATCTCGCTAACAAGCCTAGCGAGATTATGATGGTGAACAAGAGGATAGAGTAAAAGCTAATGTGAAAGCCTAGTGATTCTAGATGATTTCGGATCCCTCTCCCAATGGGGGGTCTTCAATATATATGTTGATAAGTCGGCCGAATGATGAATATTCTCCTTCAGGCGAGATGGAAAACTTCCTCTTTTGCGATATGGAAAATCCCTCTTGTTTTTGGATCTTTCTCCATTCTTTAAGTCGGCATGAAGATTTATTTACATTTCTCCATGGATTGTGCCTTTCTCTTCAAGTCTTGCCTTTTTCTTGAAGATGTTAGGCCTAAAATCGGATTGGGCTTTGTGATTTACTAATGATGACGGGCTCAGGGAAATGTGCTAATTTCTCCTCTAACAGCTTTGGGAGTCATATAGATACATAACTTAATTCTCTGCTAAAATCATTTTCACGTAGGAACATCAAACTTTATCCAATGGTATTCTGAAAAGGTTTGTCATAATACATACGCTAACATCTTCTCCAAAATATGGTTTCACTCTATAATCTCAATTTGTATTTTATTTCATTCTGTTTCTTTTTTTTTGTCTCTCGCTGCCTTACTCTCCCTTCAATACAGTAAGATCATGAAATATTTTTTGCTTCATATCAATCACTAACATAATTCTATTTAATTTCGTTCATCTTCTTACACGTATGACTATATTTTCACATGAAATTTAGATCTATTTCTTAGTCTTTGCAATCGAGGCTAGGATTTAGCTATTCGCTTCATGTTTTGTTACAAGATGAGGTGAGTAGTTTTTGCTTGATCAACATGCACAAAAGGATCTCACGCCCACATGTGTGGGAACGAGCATAAGATTAATTTCTACATCAATTAGTTGATCTCACGCTCCAACTTGCTGGTGTTTTATTTGCAGATGTGTGATTGGGAAATACATGGAGGAGGATGCAAAGACGGTTATGATACAAATTATGAATGTGGCGTGCCTTTTATCTCCAAGATGTTGTACACAGGGCCGGCGCAACATGACTCAGGAATAAACGTGCGTGGAACACGAGAGATATGTGGTATCATCCTTTCAACAATTGATACAAATATGACGTTGTGATCTATACTGCTAGGCTCATACCAACATAATTGTAAATTTGTAACTCAAATTTTATGAAATTGTTGATCAATGTGCATGTGGTTAGTAAATACAAACCATAATCTATATTTTTTTTTTCATTTAAACCTATAAAATCATCTTTATATTATTAATTGAGAAGTACATGAAAAATTTTTGACCAAAAAAACCAATCTAATTATGAAGAAAAAGTGTTTGGCAATCGATTTAATTAGAGTCAATTTAGTACATTGTAATGTTTGGATACAAAAATAAGAGAAAAAAACTATTTGGATAGAAGAATAAATGGAAAAGATTGTTTGGATACAAGAATAATAACTTAAAACAAACCGATGGTTTAGAAAACTTCCGTTTTCCAGCTCTTACAAATCTGCAAAAAAAAAACTTAACATAATGTAACGATAATACCAAATCAAGATAATATGCTTTTTAGATTTTCGGGTTTTTATAAATAAGTTCGGATTTGGATGAAAATCTGAGACCTAATTTTATAGAGATATAGAGATATAGAAATTGTTCGAGTGTTTCTTTGAAAATTTATGTTTGGGTTGGGTTCGGGTTTTTTTTCTTCAGTTTAGGATTTTCGGGATTTTTTTGGATTTCGGATTTTCGGGTTTAGATATATTAAAAAAAGTGAGTATTTTAAAATTTTGATTAAGGTATTTGGGCCGGCTTCCGGGTGAAAAAGTTTCCAGATTTTTTTGTTCAGTTCAGGGTTTTCGGGATTTTTTGATTTCGGAGTTTCGGGTTTATACATATTAAAAAAGTTTGGGTTTTTAAAATTTTTGATTAGGGTTTTTTGGTCGGGTTCGGATTTAGGGTTTAAATTTTATACATAAAACCACAATGTCACACCGCACAAACGTGTGGGTACTCTACTAGTATGGACGCAATAGTAAAAGAAAGCAAAATTGTGAGTAAAATTATTCAAATCTAAATAGAATGTATTTAAAAAAAAAAGTTACTCTGCGCAAGGGG